TCCAATGATTGAGCTCATATCGCCGTGGGTGGCTACACACACACAGCATGACGGTGGCGGCGGATATAACAGCAGGCAAGCTCCCGCATACGCAGACAAACCAGCAGCTGCAACACAATTAACCGTCCATGATATTGGAAGGCCACAATCACATCCGCCACGTATCGTACAAGGCACACCGGGCATTTGGTGGAGTCCCGCTGAAGAAGCAGCGGCTGTCGCCTTACTGCAACTGTCGACTACATCGCCACTTCTCAACAACAGTCCAACTGTGTCAGAGGACAATAGTACTTCTTCTCGGTACCACCCAGCATCGCCTGACTCCTGGATTTCGGCCGAATCTGTGGGGCAACAATTGCAACAGTGGCAACAAGAGCAAGCTTCAGTTATGTTGGCCCATCCTCTTCCGGAATATCCGCCCGTTTCCCATTCGTGGACACTGGGACCATTCTTCGAGCAAGCTTTCTATCACCTTCCTGCTGTGGAGCCGCATGTAGTTTTGCCACAGTTCGATGTAAAGCTGGGTTTCACGTTTTTCATGGGACACTACAGGGTTATACCATCAGTGTTGCATGCGCAGAAGCTGCTGTCGCTGCAAACCATATCGGGTGAGGGACTGGTGAGTTTGAAGATGCACGCCCAACGTATAGTTTCGCACTGCATTAGGTACGAAAGAAAACCTGTGACTTTCAACTCAGCTTCACGTGGAGTGGTAAAGCTGGGACTACGCTTTCTGATGCTGGACATCGTCTTCTGTACATTACAGCTACTGCATGGAAATATGCTTGCGGGATGGTGGATCGAATTCGCGAAGGCTATGCCTCATGAAGCTCCACCCTACAGGCTCCCTGGTTTTTCAACACAGCAGCGCCGCTTCAATGGGGCATTGGTTCAGTCTCTTAGCAACGCCATAAAATGCTTTAAGTCGGGGAACCGCCCTCCTAAGAGTTGCGTTATCCATCTGAAGAGAATGCTCTTCTGTTCGCCATTTGCTCCCAAATTGTTCAGGCGTTTCCTATTATAAACGGCATGGAAGTGCGACAAAATCTAGAGGTGGAACCTGCTAATCAAGCGAAGGAATAGCCGGCAGTTACAGTACGAGAGTCTGATGCGGAGCACACACAACACAGGGAAAGGCGAGACTGTCACGTCTATCTTCCCGTGTATTTTACAGTTTTTCAGGGAGATAGTTGAAGCAGGACAAACCACGCGCACCCATTCAATAATGACGGGGAATAGGAATCACAGTGCTAGTTGCCCCGGTCTACCGTCAAGGTTTTTCGGGACGCACAATTTAATGGATACGGGGACGGGTGTTATGATTGGTGCGATGGGGCGTGGTCCTGTAACTCTCAAACAATATATGGGGGATGCATTTCCCGCCCACTAAGGCTCAAATTTGTGGCAACTATTTTGTAAGAGGATAGATGATTTTCCTAAGCAGTACAACGGAGCATACGACTGATCTTGTTAGGCACTCAAAATACCATCACATCCTCGTACAGTATCCACTGCATTTTGAAATTACCCCGCATATTAGAAGAGCCTTTAGGAAATGCACGACTCCTACGTGATGCCCGGCGCTGCTACTATACTCGGCCCGCGTGAGCTCGCGTTTGGCACTAGGCCACTCCTTGCATCTGTCAACAAGAAGTGTTCTCAAACCTACTATCTACATAAGGCGCATTACATCGAGGAGTACGGCAGGTGTCACTGATGTATGTGGATGTAACCATTTTGTGGAAGACTGTTCACGAATAAATGCAACAAAAACTCTAGGAGCACAACTTCCCTGTACTAGGAAATAGGCTGTCAGCGAGGACATTGAGGCACTTATGATGCTGCGGATAGCACGAAGATCTGAATGAACTGGCAGGTGATCCACCAACGGCTCTTCTTGTGCACTCCCCGTCACTACCCCCTTCGTACCTAGCTTCGCTTTCTGAGCGTGTTCGGCAGTGTTAGTTTCCCGTTAAATCGTCACATTCACATGGCAGCTCATCCGTCGATGAAGAGAGTCCTGGCAAAAAATGCGAACGGTAAAGGATACGATGTCTCATTATCTTGGCTTGCTAATTGCTGACGTTCATTCCGTTGGGCGAATTGACCTGAAAATACCGTGTCCCCAACATCGGGCAGAGATTAGGAGCCGTGGAGGGTTTTGCCCTTCATTATCCCGTAGGTGCGGAGTCCAACAGCTAATACTCAGAGAAAGACTATGACACGGCCAATGCGTTGCAAAGCATTAGGTGAAGCAGCCCAGACGATTGCAGTCTTGTCGTGTCTCCATTACTCCATATAACTCAAACGCATCGGATTCTGATGCCCACACGATGCAACTTCCACCGTAGGCATGCGTATTCAGTGTGAAGGAAACGCGCTGTTTACGGATCCATGAAGAGGCGTCTGAGGGCGCAAATCCACCATCTGAGTGCTGTAACATTCACGTCTGTGACCTCTGCCGTAGCAACGCTTATTCCTGGACACGCACTCGAGTAGAGGCCACGAAAAGTAGAGGGTTGCATGCTTAGGTATGCGGCCTTCCCAGTTTTCCACTGACTCTTGTGTGCTGGCGGTGAAGGCCTCTAACTTCCGTCGGCTACCGCATTTTATTCTCTGTACCCCGGCACTCGACACGACATCCAACTTGCCACTTGGAGGAACTAGGGCCGACACAATGTGCAGAAGACATACAAATGATTAGTTCCAGCACCATTCAGCTGCTCCTAGAAGCTACCCGCATTTTTCTTGTACTTTGCCAAATTTGGAGCATCTTGGCGCCTGGTACATCAATATCGGGCGCAGACCTCACCAGTTATTTCCTAGGCAAATTGCCTCTCGAGCTGACCACCGACGTAACCCGTAGAGGAAGGGACCAGTTTCAAAATTCATTTCTCCACGGCGAACCACCGAATGACCTTGACCTTCCCACATACAATAGGGGTTAGTGATGGCCATTCGAACGATTGTTGCCGAGTCGTTGTAAAAGGGTCTTTCAGTTCGACTTTTCACAACACAAGAGCAAGTCTCGATCCAACGATGACCAATCTGCCACATCCGCCCCTATGGCTCGTAGGTTCAGCCTGTACCCGAGCGCAACCCCATATTGACACTCCATGAACTCTTGCCCCATTTGTTTTGCTCTTGACCCATTTTCGTGAACCGGACTTACATCACCTCTATTTTGGGTGTGCAGGTCAAGGTCATTCGGTGGTCCATCGTGGGGAAATGAATTTTGGGACTGGTCACTTCCGCTACGGTTACGTCCTTGGTCAGCTCGAGAGGCAATTTGGCTAAGAAATAGCTGGAGAGCTCTGCGCCCGAGATTGATGTACCAGACACCACGATGCTCACAAACATTCGCCATGCCTGGTCCGCTTTCACGAGGAACCGCAAGGTAAGGGAATGGAAGCTGCACCGGGGTGTTTTCCGGTTTTTCGGAGCAAGAAACGCTTGATTCCGCGCGGCTGCATATCCAGCTCACATCATGTGAGAAATCTCTCTGCTGTGTGCCTGCTGTTTGGGCCCAAAGGTCTCTTCAGTGTCCTTGAATGTGGGCTATGATGCGTTGATCTGTCCTTCTCGACTATTCTCCCCTATCGCTGGGCGGGTTAGCGTTCGTCCACCTGTCTCGGGCGTTTCGTAGGTTCTCAGGTGTATTCGCCCCATCATGCTATGCGAGAGGCCCCATGTGTTCTTAGGAGATATATTAGCTCCACAGCTAAGAGTGTGGAGAGAAAACGTTCCCGGAGCAGCCCCCAAAGTACATAGCCTGCAGTTGTCTGCGATTACTTAATCTTCTGACCAAGCTACAGGTGCAAGTACATTCCTAACCACTAAAACTTTATTCTCATTTTGAAATAACCATATCCAAGCTTTGTAAACCAAAACAGCAATATCCAATCCCCCCATTAAGAAAAATAGATATTTCTCTCCATGAGCGCTGAAAGTGGGTCCTTGTCTCATCGTCCCGATCATCCCCACGGCCGCTACGGACTGTCCGAGCACGTGTCTGGTTCGCCGCACTTCATTCGTAAATGCTCTCTGTTGTCACTAATTATATATTATCTCATTTACTTTCGGGGAAATGGCCTATAGAGGCTTCACATGGCGAACCACTGTAGTGCTTTTGCACTACAGCCTGCGCTCGAGAACGCGGGCCTCTATCAACCCGGCATTAGCCAGCGCTGCGCTACACTGAGTAGAGCAGAGATGCCAGCGTGCATGGTAGGACTTCTGGTGTCGTGATGCAAATTCAGGCATTGGGGGCCCGTGTGGCCTCAGCTGCCATGAACTATGCACTTCTGGTGATGTTTTCACGCGGTGCTCTTGGAGATAGAACGGCCACAGAGCTTGGAGTTTGCCTGTTACAGTTGCCACTGCTGCAGCAACTTGTCTCGTTTATTGCTCGTGAGGGGACAACTCGAGCAGCAGCCCGCTGCGTGTCGTCGGCTGCACAGAATGAGCAGCAGCAAGCTACCTCCCAGAGGCAAGAGCGGAGCGCATTCAACTTGTCGTACCTTGCATTCTTTGCGTGCTTCTGCGTTTCGCTGTTGTTGTTTCCGATGTGGCTGTACCTGCTCCCACCGGGGCATGGCAATTCCCATTCAGGAGGGCCAGATGCCGGACACGCCTACAGCCTTGCCGCTGCGGCGTTTGCCGCAGCCGGCTTGGTGGATGCAGCGGCAGAAGTTCTTTCCCTGCGGTGTTTAATGCTTCATTCACCGGGCTCACGCAGCTTAGCAGAAGCACTCTCAGGAGCAGCACGCTCGGTGCTTTTGGCAGCGGCGTTGCTATTGCAGCAGAGAGCACGAGGTGCTGGAGTAACATTAGCAGGAAGCGTGGTTATGCACCCAGTTGTGGCATTTGGGGGAAGCCATTTGTGTGCATCCCTAATATTTCTGCAGTTGCTGTGGCTGCAGTGTCACCGGCTACTTGCATTCAAGACTGCCGCACAACGGTTGTCAAATGCAGCAGAAGCAACAGCAGAAGCTAATTTAGTAGAGACCCCGCGCCTGTTTGTAGCATGGCCTGCATTCCTGCCTCTCAGCAAAGGTTTACGTTCATTCACAACGCCCACCCGCGGGTCCAGCGAGACGGCTGGGAGGGGATTACCTACCTCCGCCACACCATCAGCGAGCGTAGGAGGAGCAGCCTTGACAAAGGAACCTGCCAGTACTGCTCTTCAGTGGGCACTGGGGAGGTATCTATCGGCGGAGCACTTGGAGCTGCTTCCTACCTATCTGGTGCTTTTGGCACAGAAAATGCTACTGCAGCAGGGGGAGCAGTTGCTACTGTTGTTGCTGCTGGATAGTGAAGCAGCTGCTGAGTATGCTGTGACGTCTGGGGCAGCTTCAGTCCTCTGTCGCATCATCTTTTCACAAGTCGAATCAGCGGCGTTCGACGGATTCTGCGCCATGCAAAAACGGCCTTCTGCTGGTTTTGCTGCTACTACTACTACGGATGCTGCAGCCGGTTGGGCTGAATTCGACACGCAAATGACAACTGCTGTTGCATGGAAGCAGAAATGTAAGTCTGCATGGGTGGAAACATCTGCGGAACAACAGTTGCAGCTATGCGGGGGCGTCTTCAATCCTGAGGCCATAATACCTGATCAACAACTGCGCTTTGAGCTTCATGGCAGCAATTCCGATACGGATGGGGACGTTGGGAGAATCAACTGCAGCAAGACTGCCATTACGGGTGTACTGGGCTCTCGGTTTATGGCGATCCTGCAACGCTTGCTAGGTCGTCGTAAGATTCAAGCAGACGCAGTGCTGAGCCCGTCGCATCCACCAGCGCTGGCGCTGCTGCAGCTTCTGCTGCTGCTACAGGGGACCGTAGGCCTGGCTGCTGCAGCAGGTGGATGCCTGTTTGCTGCTCCAGCGTTGCGGTGCTTCTTTGGTCCATCAACAGTGGCTCCAGGGAGTGGCTTTGTCCAGACTCTGCAGGTGTACGCCCAGTTCAGCCCTTCACAGAAATACAACGAACCAGACGTGTTACAAACGAAGGTTCAGCCGTGACAAAAATGTGCCTGAGCTTTTGAGTTCTCTGGGGTTTCGTGTGTGCGTTCAGCTATTGCTGTTACGTCTGCTGCCTTTCCATCTTCGGACTTCTGGATGCCTATGCTTCAGCGAGTTGCAGCAGCGACAGCTTAAGGCTGCTAAAGCGATGCTACTTGGCTGTCACTGTAGTGTATCTGGCGTTGTTGTTGCCTCTGTCAATCCGCTTCTCCGCCGTATGTTGCGAACTTTTAGGGAGCCACTTGCCTTAGCATACTGAAGCTGCTCAAGCAGCTTGAATCTCTGGAGTAAACACTTTTTATGTGGTGGTCTTTGCTTTTTCAGGCCGTTGGGATACCGGCGGGGGCAGGAGCTGCGGCAGCTCAGGTTGCAGCGGCGGTGCTTCGCATCGGCTGCTGCTGTTTTTCCATTTCAAAAGACTTGGGTCAGGCGTCAGGCTTTGCACGGAAGCTGAAAGTACACGGATATTGGACTGCACCACACCAGCCGGTTTCACAAGGAAGCAGTGACTGCAGCCGCCGAACGAGAGCCAAAAGCAACAGCGTCACCACAACTTGCAGTATCTTGGGAAAGCCGCCATGCAAGGCTGTGGGGGTATTGCAAATTGGAGATGCGACAAGACATTGGAACGCTGAGGTGCTGCCAGTATTGTGGACAATCTTGCCTCCCGGTGCAAGGGCGCTGGTGTTGAGATACTCATGTTGCTTTGTAGCTGCTGCCGCTGCCCGGAGCATCCTGCGGCAAGCCAGCTTCGACTGTGGAGAGGGCACAGCTGCAACAACAGGCTACGACTTGCAGCAAGTGATGGTAGGAGGCCGGGCGGTCCCACTGTGGGTAGCCGAGATGTCATTGGCCATTATTGCCTGCGCTGCGTCAGTTGCTGCTGCTGGACCCCTGCTGATGCAACAGGCGCGAGACGCGTACAAGTCGGTGGCAGTTGCGACGAATCCAGCCCCCGACAGTTGGCAGCCTGCTTAATGTGATAAAGGATAAGCTGCTGTGCTCCATGATCGCCTGGCAACTCAGTAATGGCTCATTGCACTGTTTGCCCAGAAAGCCGTGATGTGTGTGAACTTCATAAATTTTCGATCGCTTCGAGGTCCCCAAGATATTTACAGTTTTAGCTGCCCCAGGTTAGCTTGTAAACCGCGCTTCTTGTGTAGACATCATTGGATGTAATTGAAGTGTTAAAGGTTCTTGTGCATGCTGATTACGAGCTCAAATGTACAAAATGCATACACAGGCCCAAATAGGTTATTTGGCTTGTTTTTCGATGCTAAGTGATATACAGCTGTACGCAGGAGGAGCCAGGAACGCCCAGGCAGGATCCAGCAGGTTGGCTGCAACGAAATTGCCTCGCCTAGCCTGTTTTCCATTGGCCGAAAAGAAGGGATGTCCTTCTAGAGAAAAGCTTTCTGATATTTCGCAACTTCCCAGCTGCTGTTTACCCAACGCATTGACACACATGGATAGTTTTTCCTTTTCCATTTGACACTTAACCTGCGACCCCGGCTTCGTGCAGTGTGGAGTTGCATGACTGTTCAGTATCGCACTCGTATCTCACAAGTAGGGATGGGTTGTAAACCACAAGACCCTGAAGGGTGTTTCGGTTGAGATTATCAACGGGTCTTATTCCAGCCCTTCAACTGACTGCATCACTGTCGTCCTGCATCAGGAGAAGGTTGTGCAGGTAACAAAAAATATATACCTGTGCAGCGTACACAGCTCCCAGCACACCCCAAAAAACAAGGAGTAAAGAGTATTCGGCCACAATAGACTGTCGGCCAGGACTAATATTTGATATTATCTGGCTAGTGCGCTTGTTGAGGGCTTGCTGCTACAGCCATTATACACAGGTTGATCAACCGCAGACTGCAATGTCACGATGCACCACGCTTTTTCCGCCGGCGGCGACCATCACGGCCCCCGCCGGGGGCCAAAGCAGACTGCATATGCTGCTGATGATGTGCCTGCTGAAGCTTTCCAGAATGACCGAGTACAAATGAGGGAGGCACAACAATGTTTTCGTTGGCTTCGTTGGATACTACGCCGCCCATGAGCTCATTGCATCTGGCAACGTCGGGTGCAAACGGCGCGCTGTGAGCGGCTGATACATTTGCAGAGACCACAGCAACTGTACCAGGAATCCGCTGTAAAGATGCCTCTGTAGTTATCCTGTCAATGCCCTGACCTCTTACGCTCCGCGGTGCTCCTTTCTGCTGTGTTGGCTCCGTCTCGTGGGTTGGGTTACTCGCAGAAATCATGTGCGCAAAAACACCGCCTGTACTGCTTTTGCGTCGATCGCGAACAAACCTACTGTCGCCGTCCCCCCAACTGAACGCAGCCGACTGTTCGACGGCACCCTCTGCTCCCGTCCCAAACTGGCCAGCTAGGTCGCCAACAGTCAGTTTCCTCCCAGCGAAGGGGATGGTCAACGCCACGTTGCAGCTGCGGTTGTGTCCCTGTGAAGCTGCTGTGGCAGTTCCGCCTGAATAGGTATCCCCGTAGGCACTGCTGCTGCTGCTAGGGTTGCTTGGCGGGCTTACCCCTGGGTCAGGGCTATCCCGAGGCTTCCCAGCGCGCTGACTGTCCGTCGGACGCTTTCTCGGTTGCAACGAAGCAGAAATATGCGCAACTGTACCACTGCGCTGGAGGTGCGATGCGCAAAGTGACTTCAAATAGGAATTTGCCACCCCGTGTAGATTACGGCTCGTGCTGCACACGCTACTGCTTCTGCTGCTGCTACATCGCGAAGGGGCTGCAGACGAGGTTGTAACGGCTGCAGCTTCCGCGCCAGATGATATGTATGTATTTGGATTCGGCCCAACTACTGACCCGACAGCTGCAGGAGATAGTAAAAGGCTGTCACCGTCCGCGACAGCCGCAGTAGCAGGAGAAGCCATCGGCGTTGTGGCAGCCCCCTGGCGCCGCTGCCTCAATGTGTGGCGCTGAAGCTTGAGACTTCGGATAGCTTTCGTATCAAGTGCTGGCAGGAGCGCCGCTGCAGCACACTGCACCGGCTGTTCCTGTTGAGTTTGCTGCTCATGAGGCCCGCAAGAACAATCTGGCTGCTGTAGCATGATCTCTGGGCGCTGTAGGAGCATTGCGTCACTATTGCGGGCGGAAGAGTGGACGGCAGAAGTATTGCCGGTACTAGGGTTGCTTCTGTTGATATTGCTGCCCCCATAATCCGCAGTCACCATGCAGGATCTTTCGCCTGCGTTGCGTGTTAGCCCGAGGAATACTCTAGGGGCCAATGAAGTAGATAGTCGCCGCAGAAGAGAAGGCGCCGTAACGGATTCAACTGCTGCTTCTCGCTGGGCTTCGCTCCCCAACAGAGATACAAAAGGCTCTGCGGTTCCTGTGGACGGCGCATTTTCGTGCGTAGGTGCAGTCCGTACTATGCCCGCAGACAACTCCGCTTGTACAGCATTACCTAGCCGAACCTCTCGTTGCCGCTGCTGGATATCTGTTTCGTATGTCTCATACTTCGTTTGATGCAACGGTCCTCGGCTGGCGTTGTTACTGTGATGACTTGCCGTTAGAAGCAGTAGCAGCTGCTGCTCCCTCTTGTACTGTTGCAGCTGATGTAAAAGTGACTGATGCTGCTGTTGGAGGAGCTCAAAGGAGCGGCGCAACAATGCGCACTCTCCGGCAGCTGCAGCAGCAACTCGCTGCCCACGACGAAGTCGCCAAAAGAGTGCAGCACTAACGGCTAAAAAGGAAGCAAGAAGCAGCAGGAGTAGAGTCGAAGCAGAGGAATCCACAGATTGAGGCATTCCCCGTTCTTGAAGCATCAGAAATCTTTCAGTCCAGTGGCCGCTGCCGCTGCTGCCTGTGGACCAGTCATGAGAAAGTGGTGGAGGCGCCTGGTTCACAGCGGCAAACAGCCGCATCCACGCCGTTGACACAAATGCTGCAACGATAGAAATGCCTCGGGACGTGATGTTAGCTCCCATTGCCGCACCATTTGCAACGATTCCTGCAGCCGAAGTTACCCAAATATAGAGGCCATATGCTGCTGCGCAGCTCTGCTGGACCACTGCAGACTCAGCGTCACTGCAGAATAGCTGCTGCAGCATCCCCGCTGATACTCTAGCACCCAATACAATGCCGCCTAACCAATGCACCAAAGGCAACGCTAGCACTCGCCATATCCACTCTAGTGACTTCACAACCTGCACTTTTACTATATCCCACGGCCAACCCCAGCTGTGTTGTTTAGCAGCGTGGCGACAGGGCTGCTGTTGCCGCTGCTGTTCTTTCTGCTGCCCAGAGCTGTTGCGGCCGCTGTCATTAGCATCAATCATAATGCAATGAGGGTCACGGTGCGGTTTAGCTGCGGCAGGGACAGTGCCGTGCAGCACTTCCTCTTGAGCTGCTGCTGCCGCCAATGTAGCTGCGGCCTCCGACTCATCAAGTAGCTGCACCAAGGGGTTCAAATGCGGAATAAGGCCATCAAATGCAGCTAAACGTTCGAACTGCGAGCACAACCGAAAGCAAAAACAATGGCAGCAGACGCCTTACATAGGTATCACCTGGAACACCACACAGCAGCTTTCCCTAAAAGAAAAGCCTACCAGGAAGGAACCCAACTGCTGCTGCAGCTGGACAAGCAGCGCGAGGTGCAGCAGGTGTTGCTGCTGTATCTGTAGCTGTTGCTGACGCTCTGCAGCCCTGCAAACGAATAGGACAGCCCGCAGCGACTGCGTCCAGCCTCCAACCTTAAACGCACTAAGTGGTTGCACCAGCAACTGCTGCAGCCAGTAAGAGACAGAACCGCAACGGGCCTTGCGGGAGGCAACGTCAAGAGGACACGCGGCGTTAAGTGCATAAAAAGGGCAACAAAACAACACTGAAGCAGGAAAAAAAATGCAACCGAGATTGCAGCTACGCTCACGCTGCCTTAAACGCTGCAGTTTCAACCTCCAAGGACTTCATTCTCTCTAACAGCATTACCAGCACGTGCTCTCCTTTCGTATCTCGCGCTCCCAAGGATGGTGCCGCCGCCATTCCGCCTTTTGTGGCATCCCCACTGGTACCTCCACCATTTACTGCAACGGACCAGGCAAAAGATAACATCATGAGCAACGGCAGGAATATTTCTCCTAGCAAAGAAACCAGCCCAATTACAAGTGGAGCAGCAACGCCTGCTCTTTGATGTGCACTATAATTGCTACTGAAGCTCTCCCCCCCTCTCTGTGTCCTGTGGGTAACCCTATCAATCAACCCCTTGCAGTCCCCACACGTATCCCTTTCCCACTACTCGGCCCTCCCGATGCATTCCCTCTTTACGAGACGTACAGCTCACGTCCACTGCAGGTGGTTGAAGCAGCAGCGACAAAACCCGGAGTGTCTCCGCCTGCTGGTCTTGCTCGCCCGGTGCCGTTGTCATGAGAAAGCGTACGAACGCTGCTCCAATGGGACTCTGCTGCAACTGCGGCTGCTGGTGCTGCAACGCTTCCAAAAGGAACGTTCTTGCGTAGGCTGCTGCCTGTCGCAGCGCCTCTGTTGCAGCGTCGGCTACTTGCAACTGTTTGCTGGTCTTGCTTGGATTCGCGCCTGCAGCTACGAGGTGAACCTGATGTGCTGCGATGGGTTTGTTTCCCGTGGCAGCAGCAGCCCCAGTCGCCGACGTTCCTTCTACCAGGGAAATGCAGATATAGCGGCCAGTTGTTGGCCCAATGAACGGGTTGTAGCCTGGCCAAACGCTCCTAGCGTTGTTGCTGCTGCTGGCCGTACATACGGCAGAATCAATGAAGCTGCTTCTGAAGCTAAGCGCTTCTTTCAGACCAGGAATTGAAACAGAAGGGTAGCCCACGTCAGCCCACATCGGGTCGTCCAGTAGAACATCATGTTGAATGTCGAACGCTTGCTGCTGGTGCCTTTGGCGTTTCTGCTTAAGAAGGTGCTGCTGCTGTTGCAGAGCCTTCTCAAGTGCACCAGACAAGGCATGCAGCGCAGCGGCGCTTTGTTTCTCACCCTCCTCAACTCGTAACAGGCTGTGACGTTGCTGTTGCGGCTGTGGCACCTTGTCTCCGGAACGTTCTACCTCAGAGTCTGCTGAAATGGCTGAACGGGCAGCAGCCTCAGTGGATGCATCCAACGGAGGGCTTCCATTCTTTCCAGGCGACATGCCTCTTCTTTGGCGTTCTCTGTGTGACAACGTTGCCTCCCCATGTGCATCATCTGCTCCAGTATTTTCGTTCCTGCTGTGCAAACCTTCTGCATTCGAAAAAGCTGTGGCATCGGTGGAGGCTGGATTGCGATCATCCAAACGCTCCAGAGAGGCAGCACTGGAGTGGCTGCCCTGCACCTCGTCAAGTTGTTCTGGCATATCAGCAACTGCCCTGCTTTCTCCCGCCAGATGCTGCACGTCTTGAGGCCCGTTAGAAGCGAAGGATGTGCTGTGTACAGTTTCCAACTGCTGGGATATTCCTTCTACAGCACCGGGTTGGCTGGGACTGACTGTTCGGAGTGAAGCCTCTACCCTAGTCGCTCGAGAATCGTTTTTCCCCAGAGCAGCTGCATTGACAGCAGATGCACTAACAGCAACAGGACTGGTGGAAGAAGGGATCCCTTCAGGGGCTTCCCCTTCAGTCCCACGAGTGGCTTCGCCGAATTCGTCGTGGATTTGTGTCTCGAGAAACTGCACGCCTGTGGCGCCGAAAACCTGCAGCAGCAACATGCGGTTTGCACTCGAACGCTGCTTTTGGACCGCATCCGGGTTGGATTCGTACAGCGGGCGCTACAGCGGCCGCGATACAGCGCCGCGGATTTTTGAATCACAGAGCTTCAGGTAAGCACAAATGTTAGAATTGCCAGGCGAATTAATGGCAGGTATCGATGAAGATAACCATGAACGAAGAGAACTGTACCTTACCTGAAAGGAGGTAAGGGAGCAATAATAATGAGGACCCTCGTCATGGTGGGTCAGCAGTCGAACCTTAAGGAACCTGTGCAGATAAGACAGCCTATCACCCGTTCCTACATCCGATAATATCCTCTACGTAAATACATGCAGAAAAAAAAAAGCAGCCACAGAAGCACACGAAAGGCGCAACAGACTTACTTCGCCCAGCAGCTACTTAGGGCAGCGCATTCAGATTTGAGGTCGAAAAGCTCCGAAGAGACATCCGCTGCAGTCTGCAGGTTGGCTATAAGGCGCCACTGCCGTGTTGGGTATGTGTCAGCCCTGGACGGCACAGGTACGTACAAAAAGAAGGGACACGTCCGCTGCCAAGGAAACTATAAGTCCAACTTATAACCCTTGGCAAAAGAGAACTCACGAAAACCCGCGCGTGTACAATTTGCAACCCCACTCAAAAACGGTTCGGCACAACCTAGCTAGGTACATACGGAGAGAGTGAGCAGCAACCAACCAGGAGAAACACACAGCACAGCAAGCAAGCGATACCGGACCCGCGTCACAGGCATGCAATTCCTCGAAGGACAAATCCACGAAGGGTTCGTACCCGAGTAGCTGAATATGCCAGAAGGCGTTAGCATAGATCTCGAAGGACTGTATCACTACGAAGTCTATCTTCAGCGTCTCCGAAAAAGACAGGACGAAATACTTTGAAGGAACATAGCAGGGCACCAGCATGTACGTATCGGCGTCTGGTCGCTGCAAAGAGTACACAAGTCAATTCCATGCACAACAGAAAAACGCATGGCAAAACCTGAATGCACCTCTCGTCCTCCAATCACGCCGCAGGCATGCAAACACTCTCAGGGTAGCGTTGATGTCCACCACTGACGCATTTCCTCAAATACCTATACGACCCTGACGCAGATATGCAGATGCCCCCAGATGCACCGATAAGTCAAAAGAATTTCTGCAAGCACTTACGCTAGCTACCATTCTCAAGCCTAGAAAAGGCAGTACGGGCTCACCTGCACCGCTTTAATGTGCTGCATCCCAGGGCTCGAGGCAATGACCCTGGCGCCAGCATCTATTGATGCAAAATTGAAGTGCAGTCGCAAAAACGATGCGGGCAGTTGTTCACCATGCACGAAGCCCCGCCCATACAGCTGAGGAGCTCCTGGGACTCCCCCAACTGCAGACTTCGCTGGACTGCCCTGAGACACTGCATGCAATTTCCCGGAAGAAGCACTGCCAGGCGCCGCCGGTACAGCTATACTGCTATCCGCATGCTGTTGAGACTGCTGCCCCATCACTCCTCCTGGCTGCTGTTGATCTCCCTCCAGATTGCCTTGGCGCTGCGGATCTAATACCGGTTTTGCAACCTGCTGACTCTGCAAGCTGTCGCTACCACTATCGTCTCGCACCTCCTGCCCATCCGTGCTTGATTCTTCTGTTGTTTGTTGCTGCTGTGTGGCCTGACCTTTTGCATGCTGCCAGGACGGCTGTTCGTGCTGCTGTTGTTCCTCTTGTTGTATCTTGAATTTCATGCCCTCCTGAGTATCCTGTCCATCTACTGCTGTCTGCTGCTGCTCTGGCTCGGTCCCCACCTCTGCAAATTCGAACGGTAGCAAATCTGGATTTTCAAACGGGAGTTCGCAGATGTTTCCACTGTTCAGACGCTCCACAGGAGCAGCGCAGCTGCCCTGGGGCGCTTCATGGTGCCCCGAATGGTTCCTTAGACCCCCACGCCCTAAAAACCTTTCCCCGTGTTGCATATCCACCTGCCACGAAGCCTGCTGCGGCTGCTGCGGCTGCTGCTGCTGCTGCTGCTGCTGTAGCTGTTGGCACTGAGCAGTGCTCGTTTTGGCAAGGAGCCGCACTGCCAGGTCGTGCGGTAGTAGCAGCAGCAAGAGTTGCGGTGCCAGTGCAGTGGACGCTGGGGGTCTGTAGCATAACGCAGCTGCTGCCACTGCTGTTGCTTTAGCTGCCGCTGCTGCTTCAGTGTTTGACAGCTGAGGTTGCCGCATGCATGCGCGCCTCCACGTCCACGATACAAGCTGCCGTCCCCATATCGATACGAGTTCGTGATGCTGGGACTCCACTTGGCGACTGATTGGCTGCTGTTGCTGCTTTTGCTGCCTCCCTTCTACCGGCTCATGCTGCTCTCCCTCCGATTTCTCGCCTGGCTTCTGCTGGCGGACTGGCTCCCCCTCAGTCTGTAACCGCGGCCATGAATACTGCAGCGCTTCCTCGTGCAGCACTTGTCGGTCGTGTTGCTTTCGTTGAGTCCCATAGATTGCGATTGGATCTGGCGATAAGGAGTGTGTATTAGTAGCTGCAGATTCAGCAACGGTAAATTGTAGAGGTGTTGCTTCGCCGGCATCGTCATTTGCAGCTGGAGAAGTGGTTTCATATCTGGGTGGATGCAGATTCTGCTCGTCCTGCTCCTCGTCAGGTGAATACCCTTTACCTAGTGCTGCTGCTGGTTCTTGTGCCAAAACTTGGTAGGTCTTTGCAGCTGCTGCTCTAAAGAGATGGTATTGGAATTGCGGCTGAAGAGCACCACCGATATGGGGAGGATAACTTGCGTCCGAACAGCAAAGCAGTTGCTGCTGCTGGTGCAATACAGGGATTATTCGCCCCGCTCCTTGGTGCTTATACTGTTCCGATATCCGTTGCTGCAGAGGCTCCTCGTGCAGCAGGACAGGCATGCCCGAGACAACACAGTGGCATACGACCTCTGCAGGTGCATTCGATGTCAGCTCTACACGCTGTGCTGCTGCACCTCTCTGGCTTCCATGAGGTTCTGCTGCAATGCACGTGTCTAATGAGTAGCACACCTGCATCAGCCACACTGCAGATAAACCCCAGCTGCACGCAGCAGTCGGGACAACTTCCTCGTGGTGATGCCACAGTTCCGCCTTTAGCGAGCGCCGCAGCCCCACTGTTACTTGCCTGTCACTAGGATACGCTGCTCTTGTGGGGCCTGATGCAACTTCAAAAAGTGTAGAAGGTGCGTCAGCTGCAGCAGCTGCGGCAGCCAAAATGGGTCCGACATCTGCAGCAGCATGAGTCGCTCGGAGACGCTCGCTGGCGTTCAAACGTGGAGGGTTTCTTGACAGGGGATTTATCCACTGGTGGTGTGGCAGTGATTCCCTCTGCTGCCGTTCTCGTAGCTGCCGCTGCACTGGCAACTGCAGTCCAGAGCCAAACACCCCAGCAGACCTCTTCCTTGTAGCAGCTGCAGCACCTGCTGCTGCTGCAGCTGCAAGCTGTTTGAATGCAATGAACACCCCTGAAGTTTTCCTGCTCAGACTTGGGCGTTGATGCTGCTGTCGTCCTTTTTGCTGCTGCAGGTGGTGCTGGTACGAATCCTGTGATACCGAGCCTCCCGCAATGAGGTCGGCTGTGGCAAAAGCCTCACCTTTTGCTGCTTGGGTTGCACTTTCTTGCGGCAATTGCGGCTTGCGATCTTCTGAAGAGCTTGAAGCAGCAGGCGGTACTGCTGCTCTCGGTCGTCGCCCAGCGCTGCTGCTAACCTCTTGGAATGCAGAGGCAGCGCCCCATGCCGCTGTTGCTTCATGCAACGCTAGCTGGCTTTCTCCTGCGCCAGGTACTCCTGCTGATACTCCTTCTGGGCCAAATAATTTCAGAGTAGTGACTGCAGAATCCCGCTCCTGCTGATGATGATCCTCCTTCCACTCCTGGTAATGGTTTGGCTGCTCCTCCTGCTGCCCTGGCTGTTGCTGGTGACTTAACAAATGCTGTCGTGCGCCAAATAGGGCATTCTCCACAGGAGATCTGTCTTCAGGAGCTGTTTGTGTTGGAACACCACATACAGAATTTACAAGCAACAGCAACACCCCAAGGAGTAAAAAGTATGGCCATGACAGGAGAGAGCTGCGGCAGCTGCTGCAGCCGTGTTTGGCCGCTGCTGCACAGCAGACCATTTAGCTGCACCATCAGCACTAGACGTTCGCAACACAGCAGGGAAGTGCTGCTGCTGTTGGACACGTTTGTTGTGCTGTCGCGTCTGGCAAGGTGTGTGGGCGGCGCGTGTGGTCCGTGGTGCGTATGCTGCTGCTGTTGATGCTTACATATGGCCTGTAACACCTTACATAAGCTGTTGGTTGGTATGAATTTCACAAGTTTCCCCAGATGCGCCACAAGCAGTCCCCAGTCTGCTGCATGCGGACGCAATTGAGGCGGCACTGGCTGCAGCGACAGGCGGTGTATTTATTCCACTTCAGAGACGCAAACAAGACAGAGGTGACAATCAAACAGCTAATCACCTCATAAAAGGCCAGTTAGATTCATCTGTATACACTGTTGTTGTTGCTGTGGCTGTTGTGGAAGGGGGCCCCCAGGTCCTTCTCGTAGAGGAGACCGCTGTGTATGTGCCTGGCACTTCCGTTATATCTTGTACCATCGCAAACAGGGGCTGTGAGGCATTTTCCATCATTATATATATGAAACTACTGACATGCCTATCGGTGACGGTGAAAGCTTCTGCAAACCACGCAACGCAGGGCGCTTCCCACGGACCACACAGAGGCGGGTACACCAACAGCATTCTGGGGGGCTGTGATCCAATTGAAAATATAGATACCATACAGACATTCCGAGAACCTAGAAAGAAAGAAGCAACGCGGTCGCTAGGTTGCAGAGGCTTACAGGGAATCGCCAAGGCAACCGCTGCAGTATCATTCACTGGTACAGCAACGGCACTTTCCCGTTTGCGCCCATGCACACAGTTAGGATTTCAGAACGAAGGGAACCGTAAATGGCGATGGATGCTTTCCGCGCATTTCATCGACGTTAACTACCACAGGCGGGCCGCAGCAGAAGGAACTGCCGAGTGTGTGCACAACAGACGGCGAGAGAGGAGCCAGCAGCCTAGACTGAGGACGGTTTTGCCTTCAGATGAGACATTGCCGCCGCCTTCCGTGAGCAGATCGTGGGCTTCAGCAGCGACAAAAGTCCCAGACGAAGCATAAGCGAAAACGGACTCGCAGGCAATGGCAACAACAGGAAGATGAGGAGCAGCACGCGGGCGCTGCGATCAGAAAGAAAAGGGCGAAGCTTTGTGGCGACCGTAGCCACAGAGGTTTCGCGTCAAGAGGCAGAGGCAATCAAACTGAGAGCAGCGAGCAAAATGGTTAGTTGCGCGCTGGAGAGACAGCGAACTTCCCAGCCAAAGCACAGCAGCAACCCTTAGAGGATAGCATGGTAGAGCTCAGCGCAGAGAAGTAGCCAAAAGCACCGCCTGTGACAGCTGGTTTGCGGTCTTTGCCTATAAAGCGGGAGGTTCTAGGCTGGTTGAGCTGTTAAGGGATATTCGCACTGTAGTGTTGGAATTTCGAAGTGTAATTCGAGCTTGTGACCGTTGTCTCATCAGGAAGGGGAGTCTGCAGCAGTTGTTGCAAGGGCAACAGAAGCAACATCAAAAACAGACGCTGCTGCTGTCACAGCAGCGCACAGGAGATTCTTCATTCGTCTGCGAAGTAGCAACAGCAGCGCCGTTTCAGGGAGCAGCGGCAACACGCGCTACCCAAGCACCACCACAAATTACAACAAGCGTGTCACTAATGCAGAGCACACCAGCCACCACCATGTGGTGAGAGGGCTTCGTTCCCGCGGAAGCTGTGCTCCCGCACCTTCTGAGGTAGAGCAGGTGGATGATCCTGCTACTGTCGCTGCTGTTGTTGCAGAAGAGAAACGACTTCTGGCTGCTAGCATTGCTGCAGAAGCTTCAAGGGGCCCCCCGCGGGAGCTGATGGCCCGCCGAGTCTCTCACAGGAATCATAAAGGCTGGGATCTTTCGCTCTCTTATGCTGTACAACGCCCCCATTGCCCTTACTGCTTGTGACAGTGAACTGAGAGCTGCGTTCGCCGTTGGTTGCGTCAAAGTACATGGTTTTTGGTGCTGCAGCTGCTGCTCGTCTGTGCGTGTTTTCTGCGGCCTTTGGCGTCTCTTCTACTAATTTTGCGAGTAGGTGTGCGGTTTCTCTTGTTTGGTGCATGTGCTCCAGGACAAAATCCGTCAGTTAGTTGACGGAGGCTTTGTGCGGCGGTCTCTCCTGCAGAGGGCGACACCTTCAACGGCCTCTATCTGCGGCCAATTCGGCATACCCAACCACCTAGTAAGGCTTCGCAGTGCCTGCTGCTGCGTATGCATTCTGTGTGGTGGTGTCATCGCCAGACATCTCGACGAGCAGCAACAACACCGTGTGGCAATTCTAGGCTCCCTGTATATGCAGTTGTGTATGCATTGCCTAGATTCCTCCCTCTTTTTGGGCACGGTTTGCCGCAGGCGATGCTGGAGGATGATGACCGCGTCAAGTTCTACAAGGAGGCTATCCTCTGGCAGGGCCATTCGCAATCACACCTACAGCAGCTGTTGCCCTTGCGGCAGACGAAGTTGCCATGCGAGCAACGAGGACCCATGCCACAGGACACCACAGCACAGGAGCTCAAGCCTAGAAAGACGGGGCGGAGCCAGGTCTATGGGCGCCGTGTGTTGGAAATCGGGTGCGGTCCCCTTGCGTTGCTGTCGCTGCTCGCAGTGCAACAGGGGGCAGCGCAGGTTGATGCCTTAGAGGTGAGCATTGGCAGTTGCTGTTGCAGAAGGTTTCCAGCTGCTGCTTGTGGGGTTGCTCTTGTACGTGTCTTCCCTGGGGAACGGGCAGCCCTTCTCTACCCAACCGCAAGGGCACCTTCTGTTGCTATTTTCCGCCGTCGTTTCACTGATTCATTTAAGCACTTGGCGGTTCTTGCGGTGCCTCTCCCGTGTCCCTTTCCACCTCTGCAGCTTAATCCAGGCGTCTACCAATTTGCGAGCACATTTGTGAAACAAATTGGCGTCAACCCCCCACCTCCTCAAGGATACGATTTGAAGGGACCTCAGAAGCCGAGGCTCCGTGTTTTCAGGTGTTACTCCAAGCTGTTTCCTTTGGCATCATGGAGCTCTGCTGCTGATTCTACACTCAGGACGCCCTCTGCCAGCAGCTCGCCCGCATTGCTTGCAGATGCACGACCAACTACTTCCGCCGCTGCTCCTCCTCCTTCTCCAGTTGTCCTATCCACTGAGGGAGCAGCAGCAGCAACAACTGCGGCTGCTGCTTCAGGTGCTGGAGTTGGACTCACCTGTGGCCTTGCTAATGCAGGAGCTGACGGCGACAAGACGACCTGTACAGCCTCTGTTTCCTCGGCTTCTTGGTCTCCTGGTACTGCAACCGCACCACCCTCATACATGACGGTTGCGCATTCCCAAGGCAGTCTTGAAGGCTCTTCTGCTGCGGCCCGGGCAGAAGCAACGGCCGGTAGTGCTGTAGATGTTGCTGAATCTCATCCTTCCACACCAAGTTGGTTGGCCAGGCCTCTCTCCTGCAGATCAACGCGAGTAGCGAAGCGTCTGCGAGCTTCTCCTGGAGGCAGCAGAAGCAGATGTAGGAGGAAGAGCAACAGCCTCTGGACACGCAAGTGTACTACCTCTGCGCAGGACTCACCAAGTGACCATCAGGTGCAACAGGTGGAGGGTGAGCTGTATGACATGGTGCTTCATGAAATTCTGGGAGACTTTGCTTCGCAGGAGGGTGCAGCGGACGTCATAAGAGATATCCAGGAGAGGACGGGGACAATTCCTCATAGCATTCCATTTGCTGCCCGAACATTCGTCGGGGTATCTGAACTGCCTTCTCCCTGCTGCATCAAGTGCCCCGTGCGTCATGTAGAACCAATGCATGGAAGCCCACCCTCACTAGGCGGCGTGTATACTCTTTAGGCTGAATACACATTTGAGCACCAGGTGCAGCAGCTGCCTGAGTCGCTGCTGCTGCGGCGATTACTGCTGATCATGCCCCAGTTGTGCAGAATTTTGCTTAGAAGTCACCGACACCAAAGGAAAGTTCCCCGCGTGCTGCAAACTTCCGTCTTTCCGTCGTGCAATTTGGTTTAGGCCAGCGAACATCCAGAACGCACCGTCCTTTCCCCCAGAGAACGTCTGCTGCAATCGGTGCGCTCTCAGGTTTATTTTGGTGAATCATGCTGATCTAGTTCCCTTTTTGTAGACACGATGATGCAGTGCTGACGCATTGTCTGGACTGGTGGTGCCGTTGGTGCAGGTGGGACTACGTTTTAGCGAGGTCCTCTTAAGCACCCAGCTGAAAGCCATCGAGGAGTTGGACTTTGAAGCCAGAATGGACACGCAAATGCTGCAGGTACTTTCAAATGGATCACAGCACTGTTTTAGTTTAATCTGAGTAGCAAGAGCAACAGTAGTAGTGCCAATACGAGGAGCGCGCTGGCACGTTGCCAAAGAGCAGGTTCTGCTATGTTATCTGTCAGCGGCGGACACTGTTGTTTGAGGTGGAGAAAGACGGGTTCTTTGCTGGATTTCTCGCTGCTATGGAAGTCGAGATTCGCCCGGTAGGTTCCCGTTCCACAATGTTTTTCCTATTTCAGACAACGCCAGTACACCGAACCTGAATTCTCTGCGGGGATTTCTTTTGCTGGGGCTGAGCAGCTCGGTTCAGTAACCTCCACCATCGTTCTCCCTTCGTATGCCATCTTTTCCTGCTTTTCATACTGGCTTGTAGAGCAGTGTTACTTTTTGGAGGTGTCTGGCAAACTTTCCGTTTCTTGGGGATACCTGAGCAGTGTGTCCGTGCGTAACGTTCCTGGCGTGTCACATTTTTCTTGATTCGGGCTTTTTAGGGTGTGTTCTTCGGCCCCGTGTACGAAGGGCAATGCGATAGCTGGTACACCAACGTGGTGCTTCTTGGCAAAGAGATTGCCGTATTCAAAGGAGACAGAGTTATTCTCAAGACTGAAGTTAATTTGACCAACTTCCAAAGGGAGCAGCATATGGTGGGTCTTTGCCACAGCTGCTCGCCTGGTAATGGCTTCACTGCGTGTAACACGTTGAATGTAGTAGTGCTGTTGAACTTCCGTGCATTGTGTTGTTGTACTCTGTAGCGACATGTTTGTTCAGCCACCTGCACGTGCAACTGCTTTTACAGCCTGCATGACTGTCCATTTGTTTCAACTGATATTCGACTTGTCTGTCATTGCTGGTGCTGTTGCAAAGGGTCCGAAGGGGCGCCAGTGGGTCTCTGTTTCGCGGCCTTCCTACACATTTAGTGGACAGGTTCTCCCGCAGACAGGTTGTGCCGAGACGTTCGGGCCTATTGTCATCGACTTTGATGAACAGGCCTGCTGTGTCTAGACCACTTGCTGAATGCCCTATACGCAGCGGCATTACGAACTCAGCACGAGCTCTTTGGTGATGCAGAGGGTCAGCAACATCAAACTGGAAGCGACCCCAAGAAGGTTCAGCTAGTCGGTTTCCGTGGAAACCGCGTTCATCTCTACAGAACCTTTCAGTCGCGATGTAGTAAGGCAAGCAGCATTGTATTAGTCCACCGGCAGGTGCCTCGTCTGCAGCTTCATCGTTTAGTTTCGTTCATGTTTTGTTTTCTCTTGTCTCTCCTTTGCATTTGCGGGAAAACTCGGCTGCCTTTTATGTAGCGAGCGACACCGCTGTTGCAGCTGCGGCCTCAGCTATGGTTGCTGCAACGACAACGATGGTTTGGAAGCCTCTGCCGACTCTGGCGGAACAATCTGCAAATGGGAGCGCTTTTAGGCTATTTTGAACCCATGGCGCGCTGTGCACACATACATGTACACGTTTGCGTTGGACAGTTTTGCGTCGGATGCCAATGGCTTTTCAACTTCCTAGAATGAAGGAAAGACTGCTTAACAATCTTCCAGATGTAATGCAAGGGTAGGAGGCACTGTAAGGTCTTAGTTCTGTAATCCATAGAGGTGAAAGTGACACCGACCACTACGCAGGGAACAAGCAGGCGATTGGTACGGAAGGGAAGGAATGATGCAGCTAGTCGCAGTTGGTAAGGCTGCCAAGTAAAACCACATTGCTGGAAGCTAGGTTTAGTAGAATGATGAAGAAATGGTTGGAGCAGAGGATTCAGCTGTACTGCAAGAGAGTTCGTCCAACTGAGAGCCAAAGAAGTTTTAATCTGACCCAGTGGTGGGTCCCTTGCGTCCGGAACCAGCTATCTTACCAGGAGAAATGTTTACTGTCAGTTCTCCCCATCGGTATGATTTTTCGTGCATACGGAGCAAATTGGAGACACATATGTCGATGCTAGGATTTCACTGCCCCATACGATTACAACCGGACGTTGCTTAAGCGGTGTACTGCACTGTTTCAGTGCTAGACTACTCCCACGCTTTGTTTTGTTACAACCAATAGCCATGGCAGGACATGCGTACCAATACACTGTGTCTGGTGTGTTGCACACTGTTGGAAACCTTGGCTGGCCCCTCTTCTTACGCGGCCAAGCCCACGGGTTTTGGAAGCTAATTTGGACTAGTTAGCCACTCTAAGGCGCATTGAAAAATGTGTTGCCTTGAACAGCAAATAATTGTGCCAGAAATGAAAGGGATGAACAGGGATAACCCCACGAAAGGCAGGAGGCAGTCCCAAACCAGCTGTGGTTTCCCTGTGGTTTCGGCGGAACGTGCAGCAGCCAGGACGTTTGGGTACCACAACTTGGATCTCTACCGCTAAATGTGCCACGTTTCCAACTTCCCTTGTATACACATATTTTTCTTTTCTCTATTCATTTCATGGGCTCCTTCGAGGAGATGCTGCTGTGTAGTTGCCCTAACCACGATAGATTACATCGAGACTGCCGGCTGGCCGGACGTCCCACTGGTTACGAATCCTGCTAAAGGGAAACGACACAAAGCAAGGAAGTTTAAGGAGTCATTCTTATGTAAAACAGCCTATTTCGTAGTGGTCGTGGAAGTAGACATCTTGTCTTCCAAGTGTAAATCCCTCGACTGAACTCAAAGGCCAACCGGAGTTAATGGTACACATATTAATGGTAAACACCATGGAAGGAACGGAAGTGGAACTAACGGAGACTGCCGTACAACACATGAAGGAGAGACAACTTAAAAATATGAAACATACTGGGTCGAACCTTGCTCAGCATTCTTCTGTCAAGTATATCTTCATGGATGGTTCAGTGCCCCGTGAGCAGCTGAAGGGGAAATACAGAGGCAGACGGACTCCCCACACAAAGGTGTACTTCGCTACTGTTGTGGCGGTCGCTGCATCGCTAAGCATGCTTTTAGTTTGTTCCTTTCTTTGCCGATCCCTTGACAATAAAAGGAAGGCGGCAGGATTAGTGCAACGGAGGCTTTCACACAGTGACAAGGGGTATACGCTAGCCAACAGAAAGCGGAGTTGCGCAGTGTTAGAAAGAGACCTAAAAGGTTTGCAAAGTGTCCTGAATACAACTGAAGAATCATATTGGAGGGAGGCCACCCTTTTGCCAAATGTATACGGGCATACCGGAAGACCAGCAGTAGGAATACCATGGGTCTTACAGACATCCACTGGGACCTCTTCATTGCCTGTACGCGGAGGCGGTAACACACAGGAAAGTACACTTGCTGTTGACTTGATGGGCTCGCCTAATTCAGATATCAAAAGGGAAGCACGTGGGGGTGTTTTTCTTCCGACACCCCAGATAGAACAGCCTACAACTGCTACTACTAATGGTGCGAAAGCAATCTTGTGGAGTTCTGCTAGAGAGCCGAAGAAGGGGGCAAACGAAAGCTTAAGCATTCCGTCTCTGGGGCCCCTGTGGACTGCGCAAGATGATCCAGCACAAGGGAGTCCTGGTGAATTTGATTCGATGCTATTCCATTCTTTGTCTTGTGAGAGGACGGAGGGAACGAAAAAGGCTGCATTGAGGGGCACTACACAAGCGCGTTCACAAAGCCTCTTTGGATTTCAACCTTCGACCATCGAACAAGATGACGAGGCGGTTTTGGCGGGATCTACTGCTGCATCTTCAGGGTCGTTAGAGAGAGACTTTGTAAACCAAGGAGAGGACTTGGATTGTCAGGCACCGGCAGAAGATGCTGGGACAGGTGACTCCCGAAGTAGAAAGATAGCTGCAATTGTGAAAATGCTCTCCTCTGCTGCCGAGGAATTTGAGGCGGGTTCGAAAGGTGCTCAAGGACGGCTTCAACAGGCCTCTTGTGGACCATTTACTCCAAAGGCGAGAACGCTTGAAAGGGCATCTCTGGATCGACCTGCTGCTGAGTCGCCTGCTTCTCCTTCGGTTGACAATCGTGGAGTGATGGAGAGTTTGTCTGTGCAGACCCTGAAGACGTCCCACCTCGCAAATCGTATTGCTGATCCGCAGAGCGTAGATAATGGAGTGGCTGGCGATGCATCGAAATTGTCAGTCCCACAGTCACCGAATGAAAAAGCGCAAAGCAATTTACTCCACCATGACGTGGCATATGGCGTTGGACCTTACGGAACGCCAACCATTCCCTTTTATTCTGTTGTTTTGCGGGAAGCTAGTGAACCAGTGGTACAGGCACCGTTCGCAGGAAGCATGCTGGCAAACTTGCAGCTGGAGTCAACAGAAGATAATTTCTCAAGAACTAATGGGGTTTCTAAGAAAAGCGGGTGCAATGGTACACAAGGAAATTCGAATTTTGGATATGTACCTAGCTACATGCTGCAACCCGTGACATCCTGCCAAGCAACTACTATCAAAGCAGGCCCTTCGTCCGTATCTGTTTCTGTCTCGAAAGCCCCTGGAAACGGTGCAGGAACAGACATCCCCACTCCCACCTTAGCCCATCCATACGTTCGTCTGCCATTTGTTCCTCGTGAGGCAATAACACGCACTTTTGACTTCAAATGTGCACTCTCTTGCGGCCTTCATGATAGGTTCGTATTGACACATCTGGAGACCATGCGAACGCTGTTCGCGAAAGAATCCTTGGATTGGATTAGCGTGAACAAGCTCCTCTCTACTAGCCAAAGATTGGTCAACCATGCATTTTTCCTCCTACGGCTACCCCAGGTCCCTGATATCCCGAGCCGTGTAAATAGAAAGCTGGGACTTCTATTTCTCACGTTTGACGCGGTGGTATGTACTATTGAACTACTGGGGGAAAGCATGCTAACCGGCGCATGGTGGCGGAAGTTTACAGGTGCATTTAACACAGATTATTACCTAAAGGCAACGGGGACAATAGTTCCGGCTGAAACAGGTCGTGCTGGTTTTGGTAATCGCTTGCTTTCTGCATTGAGGATATACAAGACAGGAAGGCGGCCCCATGCAGAGGAAATCATCTCATTAAAACGATTGCTTTTCTGCTCCAATGTGTCCCCCGATATCTTCCAGAGACGCCAGTGGGACCAGTGGAGGTTGGACGATAAAGAGTGGTGTGGTGCGAAGTGGACGGGCGTGTAGCTGGCCTTCCGATGACCGAACTATGAGGGGCTGATTTGTTTGAACAGGGCACTGCTTGCCCACGTACGCTTGGGGCTTAAAGTGCGCGCATTGCTGAGTAGTTCGCAAGCTTTGAGCAGGAAGAAGCCACTCCCTTGCATGCACTAATGTGCCTTGTTACGCGTGCAGTCTTTTGGAGGAGCGATGTCAACCCGCTATACGCTATTATTTGCCACCTTCCCAGCCCTACTAGCTTTCGAAGTGCGTCATTTTGCTTGGTATTGCTTGCTATGTATTGCCGCACACCTGTCTAATGTGCCCACTCATAGGTTTTGCGCCTATATGCAGTATGAGCCCTGCAGAATGTCTCGATGTGATATCCGACGACTACCTGTATGATTAGGCATGCTGGAAGTTCGACGAGTCTACGAGGTGCAGCTGCATCCTTAGTTACCACTGTCCGTAGGTGAGGCAACAACTGCGAGACGTGAGCATCGGGCTTTTCTCCTGTTTTACTGTATCTGCATCCCCGCTACTGTTTGCATGCACTTCACGCGGTCCCCTTACCCTGGCCGGTCTTTTATTGGCTAGATCACCCTAACTGACGAACTTCACACTAGCGGCATAACGTAGTCACCTTCGAGGCGCATAAGATGCGCCATTTCGCCACATGTTTGCCAGCAGTTGTAAGTGCTTTTCGGTACTTCTGCATGTGCACATGCTGAAACTAGGAGAGGAGCAGTCCGTATCTTGTTCAGCGTTAGTGCAACGTGCTGTGCAACGCCAACTTAAGCACTGCCTTGCCAAGGGGCTGGGTGATACGAGGAAGGTGAGGAGCCAGAAAATGTGAGGTATTAACGTGCAAAATGCTCAAGTCCGTCTAAGTGGAGACACTTGGAGTGCGTTGGGATAAAATTGGACATCTTTCACTGTTTGCACCCACGTGTGCGTATAACACGCATGCATCCAGTCTTGTTATTCTGACAGCTTCACCCACAGACACCCAGGGAATACTGTATCTAAAGGAAGATTCAAAAGAACTTGAAGATGGCCTAAACCTGCACTTCTGCTTTCGAGGCTTCGCAAATGGTGGTCTTTTGTTTGGAGTGGTGGAGAGTTTCTCCTTCGGAGTTCCGGGCTGCACCTGGGTATGGTGGCTATTGCACCCCGCTGTCTCATTCCAATTCACCAATTAAGCATCCAGTTAAAGTACTTACTTGGTACTCCAAGGAGTGCGGTTGCTGCACTGTGACGGAGTGGATGCTGTTACCAATGCACACGCCCTCCTCCCCCAATTATATGAACTGATCCTCCGGTATCTTCAGGTCGTTTCTAAATAATTGCTAATGTGCAGGAAGGCTTTCCCGGTCCCGCCTGAAATCATGTATTGATTTTGGGCAGCCACAGGGAACATCACGTGTTAGTTGGCAGACGGGTTCGGACGGGATTCGCGAATGCTGGCTAAATAATGCAACCTGCATACGTCGATGTATGAAGCAGACGGTTCTGTGTCAAAGGTTTCTGCACAGTTGGGGCTCTACCTAGCACAGGCACAGCCTACAAATTAGGAAAATAGCATTCTTGCCTGAACAAGGTTGATGAAGCCAGACATATCCTCCAAACGGCGTGGAACGAACGTGTTGCAACTGCCGTGAAAGAGCGCAAAGAAAAACATCCAGGATGGTAAACATGTACGCAGATCCCTACACCGTTGTAGTTGTGCCTTGGAAAACTGGAATATTACATTGTTAGTCGACGACCTGTGTGATGCGTGTGCGCTTTATTGAAGCCAAAGATTCTCGAAGTTCCGGGACCCAATATTTTCAGCTGGCGCTACAAAATTTACCGTATACAATCGACACATCACGGGCTGTAAAGCTGTTGACACACGACAACTAAGAACTTTTGCCCAGCACCCAAATGGCCTGCAGCTGCCCTCTCTACAAACACCGCTTTGGCAGCGCACACAGTAACGCTAGAATGTACATTCTGTAGGCGACGGTATTTGCTCACACACACCTGCGGTTTTGTTTAAACATGAGGGGCTCATTCTTTACGTTTAATGCGCCCCTCCCCAGGGGAAGCCAAAATCTACTCTAGCGAAAAGGGTTTCCGCCATTGCGGCCAGATCGAACCCTCGTAGTAGCCTTTTGGTTGTTGCCCACCTGGCTGGCGCCCACGAGCTTAAACACTTCACGCTACTCCCCAATCTCCATCTGCATCCTAGTCTCCGTAGGAGTCTTAAGGGCAACAGGACCTTCCGTACGATTGTACGCCAGCCAGTCAATAAATCAACTGCCGGCTCACCCTTCACAAGTTACTGAAAAACATTTTATTGAGGCCGTTAACCGGCCGAGCTTATGGCGGTGCTGCTTTTCTAGGTGTTCAGTAAAGATCGCACAGCGTATGTAGGCTCATTTCTGCAAACTCGTCCACCCCCTACTCTTTGTTTCCTTAATGCCGTCATGTACGCCGCCAACATCCAGTCAACACAGCGCCAGAATTGGAAAATATGCAAAAGGCACGGGTGATTTAAGGTCACCTTTGTCACTCTCTCCCACCAAGGTTGCTTTCTCCTCCTTCATTGTCAAGTCTCCAGCCGTCATATGGAGCACTTAGAAAGTGCCTATGAGACAGAGGCGAGCAGAAAAGCATTTTCTTGAGCATTACGATTTCCCTGGCACATGGACGTTTTCCCTCCTTCAAAGTGCGCAGTGCCCTCGAAAGCGCATCCAAAAGTTCTAAGCGGAAGCGCGTTTGTTTGTTCGAAGGTGTTTTTCTTGGACGGGGTGGGGTGTCGTCTGGAACTAAGCTAGCAAAATGCTGAAACCACGCACTTGGAAGTTGCTCACCCGTAAGTGTTATTACGCAAAGAACAGCATCAAGAATCATAAAGCGCACCCCCAGAGCTCCAAGGGCACGAAGGAGGGTGCAGTGGGTCACCGGCATCGATTGATAAACGATAGCGTGGGAAACTAGCTTTTCCGTTATTGTCGTTAATACTTCTAGACTTTCTGGGTTGATCAAAGGTCTCCTAAGAATCCTGCGTGCCTGTTCCAGTAGCGGGGCTGGATCTGACGGTACAGAGTGCAAGCTGAAGGCAGCAGCTGCACAGAATTGCCTCAAGACAATTTGAGGATACAACAGTGGCAGGCGAAAATATACGTGGTGGAAATAAGAATCACCGCGGGGCACAGACATTGTTGGGGCAAATTGTAAAGGCAGCCCGGCAGAAATTCCTAGCAAGCCCGTCTTCAAACTCGGATCAAATAATAATGGTCGTGGGGAATGGGCCCCTTGAGAACCTTTCTTCGTCAGGCTTGCCCTATCCTGGGGAAAATCTGCAGGTTCACTACTCAAATTGACGTTGGCTGCCCTTTCTAGTTGACCGCCTGTTGCACCAACGACTGTTTCTATCCCCGTCCCTAGAAGCCCTTGAGGCTGTCCAGGTCCGTGGTGCATGTGTGCTGCCGCTGGTCTTTGCTCTGTTGAAACCGCGTCTGCTGGGCCTGGATTGCTGGAGGTCTGCCTTCCCCAATGATGAAAGACAGGATATGTTTGCTGTTCTAAAGCTCCAAAAGGACTTGCTTGAAGTGCATACCCAGTTGATAGCAGCACGCTAGGGCCTGCGGCTTCAAGAATAGGAGCCACGGATAGTGGGACCTCACCTCCTTGTTGTTGCGAAAAGCTCATCATACCTCTATGGGTAAGACTTCCAGCTTCTTCTGGGCCTACGTGTGCTTGTCGTCTGATCGGTGGTGGCGTTGGATGTCGAGGATGCCTGTGAGCCATTTGCTGCATACGGGGGGGCTGGGCTGGGGTTTCCAAAGGTCTTGAAAGAAGTTCGAGGAGGAGCGAATTCGATGGGACTGGAGATGGGGAACCAACCGGGCTGCTGATCCATTCTTCTTCACCTACACCTAACACCGCTTCGTCTCCCAAACGCACCTTCCGCTTCTTCAGTGGCAGCCGAGTCTGGGTTGGCGAAAGAGATCGACTGGTTGTACTCGAAGGATTCCCACATTGTGGGGTAAGGCTAGAGCCTGAATCACCGTCATCTGCAAGTTGGCGAGCATGAAGGTGCTCCACAGCCAACTTCCTTTGACTAACACTGCACAGCGATATTAACATAGTGACTGCAGCAACAGATGCCAAGCCAGCCAAAAGGTATGGTATGCATGGATGAGTATGCAACGGCTTTGATGGAAAACGGCGCACAGGGCTTCGGTCGGCAGATGGGTCGATACGGGTTAGTGCCGGTCCGTTCGACGGTTCGGCATCCACCGGAAATACGGCACCAAAAGTAGAAAACATTGGAATTTCCGGCTCAAAAATAAGCTTCTGTGAAAGTAAATTCTGCAAGAAAGAGTGTCTGCACAACAAAGCCTCTTTGCAGAAGAAGTTTTAGGAGAGCCATGCAGGATATCGCTTCCGTGTTAACCCGAAAGTGGTTCAGTTTCCGCCATAAGCGTCTCCGCCAGCAAAGATGCAAGAATAGCTGATGACCGCAAAAACGTATGACTACTTTCAACTTTTACGTGAAAAGAATTTCACGCCGGAGACACGCCTCTATCAGAAAGCCCTCTTTGCTCTGGATATCGAGCGCAGAATTGCAAGATGCAACGTCTTTGGACTTGCTTGTCTGGGGGAGGCGTTTGGAAGCATACGTTACCATCTTACATAATTTGATTGCTTCTGTTTGAGAGCTTGAACGCTTTAGTTTATCTATGCTTGTGAATCAACTGTATGGCACGAAGGCATATTATCTGCCACCTCTTCTTCCGCAAGGACACATTGAAGATCGATGCGCCAAAACGTCTGTGCGGAATCTACGAGAGGGATTAATTACAGCTTCATGTCCATTCGGACTCAGGTGCCACCTGTTAGCAGAGTATACCCAGGTTGAAGCGTTGTGGGTTCGGTTGTACATACGGCGTTCCACTATCCGCGTCACAGCATCCATGCCGCCTAGATCAGTGGAGTCCACATGGAAGGTTTGCTTCTGCTTCACTGTGGAGCTGTATTGGAAAATAGGTTGCAGCAGTGCTAGGTGCAACCCACGGCAGGCCGCTTCCTCTCCCGTGGTGGCGCGTGCGACATGACGGTCTGCTTCAGTATGGTTTGCAGTCGTTTTGTTATGGTCGATGCAAAGCTGACATATGAATTCGCTCTGAAATGTGCTACTTTGCGTTCATGTCGGCGATAATACGTTTCGGAAAAGCATGGAACTCCTAGGCGTGCTTAGTGGAGGGTTGAGCCACTCCCCTGCTATACCAGACCTAGGCCAAGCGATGTAAGGGCTATCCTTGCTGGGCATGTCCACTAAAGCAGGTGCTATCGTAGCTTCCGATTTATTCTAAGTCCACTGTGAAACTCATTGAAATATCTATCCAGATACGTTGGGCAGTCGAAAGTCTCGGGTAAGAGTGTGTTCCGCGGCCTTTGGTGAAGTGCGAGCACTACAATGAATATTCCATTGAGTCACTAGATACCGACCCCGTGAAAATACAGAAAAATAAAATATAATTAGTTCTCAATCGGATCACTTAGTCATGAAGTAAGGTCAACCAGACGAGTGCTCACCTACCTATCCGGAAGTTGGGAGTGTGCTGGTGGAGGAGGCACTGACCCTTATAGGGCGGCAGGGATACAGATCCCATTCGTGGACGCGACTCGACTGATATGTGCTTTAGTGTCTCATTATGGTAATTTATATGATTTTGGCTCTATTTGTAGGCGATCCACTGCCAAAGGGGGCGAATCGGGTTATACGTAGTGGCAGCTGAGAGTTGCTAGTGCGCTGCATTCGGTGCTGGCATCCAGGACACGTGAGAACCTATTTCTCCCCCTGTCGAGCGCATCCTAGATGTCAACGACCACTCTAGCAGTCGAGCGTAAACGGGGATCTTGTGTGATAGCGCACGATACAGTCGACCATCACTTTGTGCTGAAGCTTTACGCAAAATCAACGATCATGATATACCAGGTCACAGATGCGGCAATATAACAGTGAAACTAGCCGTAGGGTGTTTCACCCGTTGCCTATCATTCAGTTCAGTGATAAGTGCAGCTGCATGTTTATCCAGCGAGGAGGATAAACCCAATTTTGAAGGGAGACGGGAATGGTCACACAACAACTTAGTTGCAGAACGCCGTGCCTGGCCGGTGGGGGACCTGGAGTTGGCGCAAACTAGAATGTGGATGATGCTGATATCCTTAATCGTGAAGTAAACTTGCGTGACACCCCACAAGTATCGCACAACTCAGTCATTTTTCTAGTCCTTGAAGCTCTTCGTGAGGTGTGCCAGGGACCTATGAGCGGTTTAAACGGTGAAACATGTATACTCCCTGTAATTCTTGCATGTTCCTACCCCCCGCCCTCCCTAGTAGAGCTCTCTCGCAGATACTTTGTCTTCCTGCTCTCTGAACGGTGTGCGTAGCACGCGGAAATGCGCTGTGTCTTTGAATTGTTGACGGGTTGAAAAAGAATTCCCCCACTGCTGAGTTACTGGTTACTAAGGGAAAAGGCTTATAGAATTCAGGTAGGTCGTTTACTGGAGACGATGTCATATGTGTGATGAGGCTTCTCGCGGCCTCATCCGCACTCTCTGCCCAACCGAATTCCTTAACCGTATTAAGTGGAGCCGTTGGAGCGTCGACGGTGCTGGTGAAAACCGAAATGAAGTTGCGGTAGGGCGACTTGAGACCGACGGAAATTATGGACCTCCATTTTCTGCATTGTAGAGACCACCTCCAATTGGGCCATGTCTCCGGCGGACCTCGCTCGTCCCCTGCTGCCGATACACCACACCGTACGAACCCAATTTTTCGCATACGAAAGCCAACATTTTTGACGTTTTGACGAACCACCGCAGCCGCTAACATAGCAGTTGCCAAGCAAATCGCAGGTGTTGTACGCGCTCTTGGACATCCACAATTCCGGAGTACCCACGGATGTCATTCATGTAATATAGCGGTTAATCCCCAAATGCATTGACCCCCAAGATTGCGGTCGGCCTGCCGCTGCAGTTGGGCACGTAAATTAAGTCTCCTTAAAGGCATATAGACGCACTCCAACTTGTGAGTACGGCAATGAGCCGCAGTCTCTCACAACGAAGTGCAAGAATTTCTCCGCTCTTCCCGCCACCGTCACCGGTTCTGCGCTGTCTAGAAGCGTCTTCGCGTCTTTCTCCTCAGCTCACCGTTTCTACTCCTCCACTGAAAAAGGATACAGTAACGTGAGAAGCGTTGAGATATGAATTGCCCCCTAGCGGCCTTCCTGATACAGCATTAATGTCGTACGACGATAGTGTACACGCACTCCGATGTTTCGCCCTGGGTATTCCTAGGGTTGTAACCTGGCCGACCACTCAAACGTAAATATCCCATATCATGGTAGTATGAGCAATTCCTTATTTGATTTAGCATTTTAGGCCAATAGTCCCGGATCTACTGTGTTACAGCAACGCTACAATTGATTTGCAAGCACTGGAGGAGGCTCCGGGCACAATCGTCTACGACGCTTCACACACAAGCATTCTACCAGTACTATACTCGGGTGCAAAAGCCTAATTTAGAAGTTTTTCATCTATGTGAAGCAGTGAACCAAATGACAGGACTGCCACCCCCCCCACCGTACACAACAGGGAGCAACGCTTCAAACGAAGTAGATGTGGACAGGTTAGCCCAGTACCACTTTGTGGTGGTATACATAACAAAGAAACAATAATAGCACAGGGGTCTTTTAATATAGGTTGATGTATTCGTTATGCTACTGCAAAAATCTGCGGTTTTTGTGTGAAGTGGCAGTGGGGCTGCTTCCAGCCCCTGGGCGCGCGGTCTACTCTGCCGGTTTGGTATGCTGCTCACTAGCGCCGGTGGCTCAACCACATTTAATTTTTTTCCGGTTTTCGTTTTCGGGTTTTTTCGCCAGCCTGCCAATCAGTACTATCTGGACTCCGAGCTGTCAAAAATGGGTGAGTTTATCCTGCGTGCTATGCAGAGGATTCCGCAAGTGATGCACGCTTGTGCTTGCTCTCTGCGCATCCTGTGGACTTCCTGGGATTTTAGCAGAAGTATCAGTGTGTCTTGAATTTAGCTGCTATCCCATAGAATTTATATAAGGTGGGGGAGGTTAAGGGACTAAGGCGACTCAGGGGAGGAGCTAAACCTACTGCTTTGGCACCCCACACCATGCTTAGGAGCATTGGCTCGTCCATCTCTTCCAGAAGCCGAAGCTGCTTTAGAATGGTCTCTTATATTATGCTAGGACTTAGTTTTAAGTTCGTTTTCCTACCCAAAGGGAGGAGGCTTGTGTGAGGAAGGACGGCGGGGGTATTTGGGTCACAACTGGAGTTGTTGTTTATTCTGTCTTGCCTATCTAACCGATTTGTAGGTTAGTAAGTTATTCCGGTCATTTTTATGTATTGTGTATGACGCAGGAAAGGTTCACGGCTCCCTCGCCCGTGCGGGTAAGGTCAAAAATCAGACCCCCAAGGTGCAAAAGCAGGAGAAGAGGAAGCCCGTTACTGGCCGGGCGAAGAAGCGTCAGCTATACAACCGGAGATTTACAACCACACTGAACCGCAGACGAGGTCCGAATGCCCAGTCCCCTTGATTTGAATAACCTTACCTTAGCGGCCACTATGGAGTTATTAGTCAGGAGCAACAGGCCTCGCGGACGTGCTCGTTGTTTGCGTTTGTTGCAAAATGAACGCTGATGATGTTGTTTGAACCGAGAGGAGGAGTTTTTCTCCGTCTTTTTTTCTGCGAGAACATCCCAATAGTACATAAGAACTTCAGGGTAGTTCTTCGTTGCTAGTATGCAGCTCAGAGGACCGCGCTCTGCACAAGCTAGACTGTATTTTGCCCTGTATTGGTTAGGTTAGAGTTTGCGTAGTTTGGAGGCTACTGTAATTTAGGTTATTATATCACACAATCTGCCTAGGCGCTCAAGCGCCAGTTCAAGATCTGTAGCAAGCTCGGCCATCTGCATGGCGTATCGTAGAGCAAGTGTGACGATACGTCATGAAGATGGCGTATCGTAGAGCCAAGTATGACGGCTATTTGCACTGCGGTGCACGCCATTTCGCGCCGTACGTCTATTGTGTGGCATGAAGTGGTGTGCAGTTCGGGGTTGCGTTGCGCTGTTAGCTGTTGAGACAATCTCTTTACTGTCGGGGTGCACCAGGTTGGCTTGATTTCCTTACGGGGAAGTACCCATTGGTTAGAGCTCCCGCTGACGTCTCCTGATTTGTTCACGGTGACAGCTGAGGAAAGACCCATGCTCACATAATTTGAGCCCATTTTGTGCCTGCTGCGCCTCCTCAGCTGCGGTGACGAGTTTGTGTTCGTCCTCAAGCGAGGCCTTTGCCCCTGCTGCTCCTTCCCGTGCTGCCGAGGTTTCCTCTGTTATGCCTAACTCATCTGTAGCCGTTTGCCGCCTGACCGTTGCTTTAGAGTTCATCCCCCTTGCAGGTTCCGAATTGCCGACCTCTCTCTTTTGCGCATCGGTAGAATCAGCTCTTGCGGGCTGGCTTCCGGAGTCTTTTGTGTCAGCCGAGTTAGAGGGTGCTGCAGCGCTCTTTGCTCCAGCGAACCGCAGCCGGGCGGTCTCAATTGCCGTATGAATGTCCCTGTTGTAACGCTGGCCGGTCTGGGACGTTCCTGCTACCCAGTGCGGCTTGTCCTGGTAAAATGACTGCGGTGTATGCATTACAGGAGTCTGTTGCAGGGTTTCGGCTTGCTGTGCTTCCTGCTGTGTAGCCTCAACAGGGCTCTTTGGTTCTGAAGTTTTCGTGCTGCCTGCAGTGGAATGTTTGTGAAGCATTTGCATTCGAGGGGAAAGCATTGCTTGCCTTTGTTGTGTGGGACTACCTTCTGTACTCCTTGTGTCTCTACAACTTGATTTTCGCAGCTTTCACATTCGCCTTCCGCAGAATCAATCATGTTGTTCCCAGTCTCCTCGGCAGATGCTCTTTTGTTGCAGTTCAACTTGGCAGAATCGGATGACCCATCATCGCCGTTGTCGTCATCATCATCTCTCTCCCCTGTATTTACGGAGACAGCAGAGGCAGATGTCACTTCTCCCTCATCTGGACCTTCCATGCTGCCGTCAAACGTGTCTTCGGATAGCCCGACGTCGTTAGGGGAGTCGCTAAGGACTGTCGACTCTTCGCCATTATGTAATGGAGACACTGCTGCTTCCTCAATGTATTCAGTAACTTTAGCACCTGAACTGTTTTTTCTCTGCACGCGTTGCTCCGCTTTTTCGTCGTTCACGTTTCCCTCGTCGTTGCACTCGCCTTTGCACGGTCCACCGCCATTTTTCTTATGATGGAGTTTCTTTCCCTGTCCACCTGCGCACTTCCCCTTCAGCCCTTTGCGAGCTGCTCCATCGCCGAAAATTTCGATGCTGTCTCGCCCTAGCTGACTACTGGTTCTCCCTGCACCTTTGCCCCGGTGGTGGAGCGCCGACAGTCCTCCAGCCGGCCCAGATTGTGAGCCTGAACTGGGCAACACAGCAGCGTTTGCGCTGTATTTCGTTAAATATTCAATGGGGTTGACAGATGTGGGCAAGCTGAAGCCCAAGATGGGATATTGTATCAATGCCGAAACCTCGTCGCGGGACTTGAGGTTCTGTTGCTGAAGCCGCACTGCTTTGGTTGCCTTATATATTGCATTATTAGTGCGCACGCACAACAAGAGAGCCATAATCATACCGAGGCGTGTGTTTCGGCGTCGCTTAGAAGATGTTTCTCTTCGTGTATGCGCTCCTTGACGAGGATTGTTTGGTGTGGAGACATGAATTTGCATCATTCAGGTGTATATGCCTACTTTTGCAGAAGACTCTGCCTCTTTCAGAAGCTCCAGTTCATGCTCCATCTTCGAAACTTCTGCTTGGTCATTTTCCTTCGGTATTGTGGCTACTGCACGTAATGATATTGTAAAATGGATTTTATCGGACTTGAATGCCCTTCATGGTTGAAAAATGACGTCTCCTTTGCTCTCGCTTTATGCCTTCAAGTTCTTGGGCCCGCTGCGTGTGGAGTTTCGCCTCATTACGAAGTTCTTCTGAACCAACTTCCATACTTCAACAGGGACAGTAGTGCTTTATGAGACCTACGTGCTTCCCTCGCCACATATGCATTTGCATCCATCATTTCCACATTTCCTGCTTCAGAGTTTATCTGTCTATTCCTTTCAAGGGCCTTTTCCGACTCTCCTAAAACACAGTCCAAGGTGTCTACAGTAGTTCTGACGGGGGAATCACTGGAAATTTGCAGGTGGAAATTGTCTGTGCTTGAAGTGCCATTGTCATCCTCCTCTGGGCGAAGATATGACGCCTCCCCATGTGACAGAAATAGAGCCATCCAAACACTGCCGATTGTAAATGAATGAAATACTTTCATTTTCATGTATAGAAAGCAACGCCTATTTTCGGGTCACGATGAACTCTGGAAACCTGCTTTGCGTCTAATCCTTCAGTGGTAGTCAGAGGTGTCAATACAGGCCATTTGCCCAACTTGCGATCTGGAAACTTAAGGCTGGGTAGAACCGTCTACTTCTATATGGCATTTCGCTACACGATGTACAAATTCAAAATGGAGGTTGTGGTTGAATTCCAGATCTTAAAGCGCTTAAGTAGATCAGCTGCCTTAAAGATGCAAGTTTGAATTCTTCTATAGGCCTTTGTGCTGGTGTGGTCTTCCTGCTTATTTGCGCTATTAATTCTGTCACAGTGTCTACTTAAGGACTGTAGCGGCTGACGAAAATATCCGGGGTCAATTAGTTGCCAAGGGCAGTAGTTAGTGAGCATACGCGTAGAATTGATTAAGAGATTGGAGCACTCAACGGTCTGCATGAGCGAGACCACTCCAGCGAGCACATTTTCCTCCCTCTGGTGGGCAGTGACCAAAGCCAACGCAGCAAAATGGGGAATAACTCCTGCAGATGTACACGTGCAAGAGTATTTTGGGTCTATCAGAACAATTGTTTCAACAGTTTCGGGCTGAAATTGCCCTAACAAGCTTGGCAAGCTGCTGAACAGCGCTTCCCAGTAATTCTGACAAAGGGTCCGAAACCACGCCCGCGGACGCTCGGTTAACTCACAACCTGATTTGCTAGGAACGTGCCGAACGGTGCTATATCTAATTCCCAGTCAATAACTACAAACGTATAAACGAGATTTCTGAAAATTGTCGTCTATTGGAATCTATTTCCTTGTATCTATCGGTAAGGTAATCGTCCGCCCCCGACGCGACCCCCCGCGCAAGGTGATGCACGGATCCTGTTACTCCGACCGTCTCTGCGCATCTAGTATTGACAGGGGAGAAATGAGTTGTTTATTTCTGTTTCTGTTGAAAGGTGAAGGACACATTTCAGTGTTGCTGGGGGTTTTGAAAATCTTGTCAGGTTTAAGGTGGTCAACACGGCGCACTGGCCTACTGAAGTCCGTCGTCTCTGACAGCCATACATGAGTTTGAACTGGGAAGGTATTAAATATGGTAATTAAAAGCCTTCGGAGGGCGTTGTTGTCCTGTGCAGCATTGGCTGCACTTGCACACAGCTTGGTGCACAGCTGCTTGGCGGCCGCTCGGCCGCTCAACAATGCACCTACATCCGCTACTCAGAGTGGTGTCCAGGGACGCAGCTCTGTTGCAGGGGTATCAGACAATCCACAGGAATACGTTCCAGGACTATCGGGTTTCCTCGAAGGTAAGAACCCCGCATATCAGGTTGCTGCTTTGAACAGCCGACGCCACTTGGAATCAGCCGTCTTCGTCGGGACATCTGAGGACAGGGTGGAAGCTTATCAGCCTCAACACAGCTCCAATGAGACAAAACCACTTCCTCAGTTGCAGCCCTCTGGCGCTGACCCTGCGCCTCCTTCCAAAGTGAAAGACTACAACGAACGGCTTGCTCAGCACAAAATTTCTCCGGGCATCCCTCCACCTCGGCGCCTGCAATTGCTGGCTGGTCTCTCCCAACTTACTCAGCTGCCGCAGCTTGGTACTCTCCCGAATTTTCTTGGCAGTGGGCTGAGCGCGCGTGACAGAGATCAGCTGGAAACCTTTTCCAGAAGGGTCGCCACCAGCAGAGAACGCGTATATAAGGACTTGCTGTTCGCCACCGGGGGAAGGCTGCATGGGATGGACGAATTTGCAATGAAGCAGCTGGTGACCAAAGTCGGCCTCGAGAACTTGTCCTCCGGTACTGTTCCATCTTCCCATCAGTTTTCTCACCAGGAGTTGCGTGTACTTGACGCAGCGCGGCGAAGCCACTTCAGCGTGCAGCGAATCATTGCGTCCTATGAACGAGAGGTGGCCCAGCACGCGAGGACCCTTCGAAATACCCTGGAAGCAAGCATGAACAACCCAATCATCCGTTCAAAAATAGCATCAATTGCCTCTGACAACCTCTTCAAGCGGCCTAGGGAAGTGAGTGTTCGACGGCTTCAGGACTCCTCTCGCAACAGAAGTCTTGCTGCGCTGTTGCAAGGTCCGGGCCTGTTGGGCAGTGCGAGTTCCTTCATCCGTTCTATGGACCCCTCGGGCCTTTCCCAGTCCCTGAGCGCTGGACTCGGCGGACTGGGGCTTCAGCACTTGCATCTTCCCAATATTGGAGGCCTGGGTCTCCATCAGGACGGCACCTCTCAGGGGTTGCTGCCCATTACGGACATCAGTGGACTCCAACAGGCACTCCAGGCTGTGTTTCCGCTCTCTCAGCAGGTGACGGCTCTCTCGGGCCCCCTTCGATCGTTTCAGCAAGGTGTCGAGACAGCTACAGACGGTGCGATAGGAGCATTTCTGTCAAGAGAGGGACTTCTGCCATTTTTGTCTGTTGGTACTGCTAAGGAGCTTCTCGGTGGCCTTATAGGGGGGGAGGCAGTTGGCCCTCAAGGGCTAAGGGGCTGGGACGACTTGGGACTGTCCCCTGTTTCTGTAAGTGGGCTTGCAGCGGTGATGCCTTTCGACACGTTCCTCACCAAGTTTGCCGCGTTGGCCCATGAAGTTGATTCGGATGTGGGAGTAATGAAGAGAGAAGCCAGAAAGCGCCTCGGTGCAGGGGGGGTTTCTATGCTCCCAGAACAACTGAGCCAAGTTGACAACATCCTAGACCGACTTGTGTGGGGCACCCTGCGGGCACCGGTAAGGCGGTTGCAGCATACAGAGGCAACCGGCGAAATGAGGCATGATTGGCAACCTCATCTGCATGCTCCAGCTCAGCATATGACACACGCCTTCCCGATGGCTCAAATACCAAATGTAGAAGGGCAGAATCTACCTATGCCAGCCCAGCACAGACTGCAACCTCTAGTGGTGCCAAATCACCAGCCTAAGCAAATAACTCCCAGTAACCTTGCACTCAAACCCAACCTGCCACCCCCGCCACAACAAGCAGTTCCTGAGCCTGAGCCATCAACTCGTGGCCATGAGCAATCTCCTGCCGAACATCAGGTATCTCTTCCCGACCATGGGCAACCGTCTCCAGATCCTGTGCAGTATCCTTCCGAGCTTGAGCAACCAATGTTCGAGCCTGAGCAGCGTACTGCCGAGCCTGAGGAGCCTACTTCCGAGCCCGGGCAGACAACTGCCAATCCGGCGCAAACTACTTCCGAGCCTGAACGAACTACTCCCAATCCGGAGCAGCCTAGGTTTGAGCTTCAGCAGCCTACAGCCGATCCTCAACAGCCTGTCTTGGAGCCTGAGCCTGAGAAGCAAGCACCAGTGGGGCAGGATCCTCAAGCTGACCAACAAGAGCAAAATCAACAGAAGGAGGACAACGGCAACGCCATAGACACCTTGTTTGGCGCCATGCTCGGCAATGACATCGTAGGGATGGATCCTGAAGAGGCGATGCAGGCGGCGCTACAGCGAGTTGAGCTCTTGGCGGATGCCGTCACCGTCCTGCTAAAAGAGTATGAAAAAGCAGTGGAGCACCTACAGGACCTTCTAGATGACCAGTTAGATGCTGCGGAGGAAATCCGGGAGGAGCTTGAAGATCAAGTGACGGAAATGAAGGATCAGGTTAAAATAGCACAGAAACCAAAGCGCGAAGGAGCAGCAGCTGCGGCAGCTGCGGTAGCGAGGGTTTACGATGAAGCTGTGGAGGGTCTGAAGGCCTCATTAGAGGCCCTCCTAGAGCAGCCCGAGGCGAACCAGCCCACAGCATCAGGAATGCAGGAGGATCTTGCCGCTTTGGCCGCCAGGATCCAAGCTGTTGTTGAAGAGAAGTTGCCCTCCATTGTCACTGCTCCCTGAGAAGCCAAGTAGGCGTCTGACGAGCAGCTCGTGGAACTGCAGGTTTGCCAACTCCAACTTTCTTCTGTAGTTCAGTTTAAAGCACGAACAGCGTGCAGCGCCAAAACCAAAATTTTTCAGTACAGGATTTCGAACATGGCGCATGCTGCCCTATGCCTTGGTTGTAAGCAATATCAGTCCTTGCTCTTGGGACTGTTCAACTTACAGTGCTTTATTTGTGTCTGGCCTGACTACACCATGGAAAATGACAGCCGCATCGGCTATGTACTTAGTGCCTCACTGCAGACGGTTGCTGATGGCTCTCAAATACGCCGAACCCTCGTGTAGAATTACCTAGACTGTGGAGGAGGTGCCACAGGGACTTCCTTCCCCTATCCTTCGTTATTAGGGCAGCCTTTTGCCTGTGGCCTTACACAATTGTCCTCTGCCTACATCTACATAAACTAAAAGGCACAGCGGCCAAAATAACACAGGTATTAAATGATTTAGGACTTGTAGGTGTTTATGCCCTAGGCCAAAGCAAAACCTTAAGCGCCGGCAGGGGCACGTCAGCCCCCAACGGGTCCGAAGCTGCTATGAGGATCACGGCCCAAGTAGGGCCCTTTTCTTGCTGCTTCTCACGTCCTGCACTTGTTTGCGGCTGGCAGCATTGCTGCGTCTTGCTGTGGATTGGGGCTAATGCGGCAAGCCGTATTGCCTCAGTGAGGCTTGTCCCGGGGTCAGGGAGTCTCGGAGACTGCTGGTCATCAAACAATTCCGCAACACGAGGCGGCAGCACGGCCTCTAGCTGCTTCTGCTGCATATCTCTCTCTGGTGGGGCAGTGTAGAGGAGAGTCCCCTCACAACTTAAAGACAGGACACGTACCCGCGTGTCCTTTTCTATTAGCTCCACAAGCTTAGATATAGTAATTCTCTCTGCCGCTTCCGCCTCCCCTGGCACCACTCCTTGTCCTGCATCCTGATTGGCGATTGTATTGAAGCCCCCACCATGAAGTTGCAGTCGGAAAAAGTGCCAGGGAGAGAAATGTTGTCCACGCCAGCGACCGTCGTGGAAACGATGCGTTGAGGGAGGTAAAGGAGGTGCCTCAGCCAGAAAGGGCACTGACAATGAAAAGAAGCTGCTGCGCAGGAACTGCTGCTGCTGTTTCGTCGCAGCTCGCCGATATCGGCGTTCGCCCTTGTCTAGCCAGAGTACAGGTGACACCCTTTCCGTTTGCTGCTCGGTGTGCTTCGGTTGCTGCTGGAGTTGCTGTTCTTGATTTTCCATGCACTGACCCAAACGCCTTCCTGCGAGATTAAGCGCTACGAGCCTATATACTTCAATGCAAGCAAGCGCTGCAGCAAGGGTCGTTGCCGTTGCAGTTGCGGGAACTATGCTGCCTATTAGCTGTTGAGTCTCTTCGGGGCCCGGTAGAGGGGTTAGCCCAAAGGCTCTGCAGCGAAGCCGCGCAGCCGATGTCAAAAACCGGAGGGGCACAGCGCCATCTGCGGACAGCGAAGGGACGATAGGTGCTTTCAAAAAGTTCAAGTCTGCCCCCGTACCTGCCGCCGCTGCTGTCGCTGCCACCTCTCGCACCAGCTCCTCAGCAAGTGCAGAGACACTAAGCGTAGGATCTGCGCAGGTTCTGACTACCGTCATTTTGGCAGCTTCGCTGACTGCGGCCTCTGAAAGCAAACTCTGCACAGCTTCGGCAACGCACTGGCGGCTCCAAGGGCCCAAGCCCTTGCCTTGGAGCAACAACTCCTCCGCTTGTTCCTGCTGGAAGATATAAGCTGATCGGGGATCTAAAGAGTCTAGTTCACGCGCTGCCTTCGCAGGTTGCTCCATGCCAAGGCTAGCAGCAAGCAGCTGTCCAGTAGCAGCGACAAAGTCCACTGTATCTGCATCTGTAGGATCCAAAATCAAAGCCTTTCGGTTGCGATGGTTTACTGCGTTCTGAATGTTTGAAGGGGTGGATGCTTCTGCTTCTGGCTCTCCTCGAATTTGTTTCTTAACGGTTTTCACCTCATACAAGGCACTGAAAAGGAACATTGCAAACGATAAAAGCCTCAGGTGCACCGTCGACATTGGAGCAACTCCGCCATTACTGCCGCCACATTTTTCGTAATATTCCCGCCAGTACTGGCTCTCCTCGTTCCGTTTTTGCGATGCCCCCGATTCGAACATCTTAATCGTGCTGCGCCGAACCCTCAGCACCTCCAATGCAAGCCGCAGCAGCAGTTGGAGCCGCATAGGTCCAGCTGCAGCAGCAGACACAGCAACAGGCGCCATGCCTAATATGCCAAGTGCTCCGTGAACATCATCTGGCGCGGCATGCGGCGGTGCTGGTGGTGATACAGTCGCGCTCCTATGTTCCTGCCTTTCAGCAAATATCCTCTGAGGTGACTGTAACTCCTTTTGAAGCAGCTGCCGGAGCAGCATATGGGCAGCTGAGATGTCGGTTTTAAAAGTTTGTTGCAGCTGTGCTGAAGCCCAATGCACTGCGTGGAGAGGGGCAGTAGGGGTGCCCCTAATAGAACAAACGGGGACCGCCTTCAGGGACTGGACTGCTCGAGAGGCATTGGAAGCGGTTCCTCTCACTGCTGCGGCATAGTGCTCTGTGATATAAGGTACAAGGCTTTGAGAATGACCTGCAGAGGCACCAAAGGATCAAAAAGCAACATGCGATACAGTTGCCCCAAGGACTACGTGTTCCGCTGTGCGAGCCTTGTACAGCTAAACAGGAATGCATGGTCATGTAGCGAAAGAACGTATACAGACGGACAAACAAAGAACAAGACCACGGAAATGAAGGAAAAAGGTTTCAACATAATGCAAGGGAAGATTTGACACCTTACAGTTGGAGAAGGCTGAGCGCCATATAAACAGATATGCACACCACAGGCCTAAATGTAAACAGGGTAACCCAGCAACAAAACAGCAATCCACTGGAAACAGCTCATGTATGACAATCAAACAGCAGCCAAAGAAGCCGACTGAGAAACGGCAGCAAACCTCTAAGGCCAAGTGTGCCAGCTTCCACCCAAGGCTTGGTGTGGAGCAGACACAGCGCGTCGACGTAAAGACGAGCATCCACAGAATCCAAAGCAGCCACAATCAAGTCCTGCTCCTGTATATACATCGCGGGCAGGTGACGAAGGGTCTCTGGAGATAGCTGCGGCACCCCCAACAAGCAAAAAGAAGAGAGGCCATCATATGGGCGCCCCCTGCCCCGTCCCAGAAAGACAGCAGCAGCAACGCCCAGTAGCGGCAGAGGGGAAGAGCAGCTGTTTTCCAGATTATGTAAATGCTTGTGGGCTCTACCTGCGCGACAGGCCGACTGAATATCCACAAACAACCACTACGGTAGCAATAAGCACAGCGATGGGGTCAGATAGGCGAATCAGGTGGCATCCGCAGATGGCCAAGCCGTGTTGGGTGGCACTTACCATGAACGAGAATGGGCACAGTCGTGTGCGGCTGCAGAAGCGCAGCACAGCAGCAGCAGCAGCGGCTGCTTTGGGCTGATGTAGAGACGAGGCAGTAAAGAGGACCTGCCTGCTAAGGTTCGAGGTCTCCACCGTGTCTCCGTCCATCAACGACAATAGCCCCCGCTGGCAAACCACCGCACACGCTTCCCTCGTTGCTGCAGCTGCTGAAGTAGCTATTCCCGTTACTCCGGAACCAACTTGCCTCAACATGCTGCTGCGGATTCTGTGAATGCACCTTGTTAGCAGCCGCATGAGTCCACTGTCCCGCTGTTTGTTGCTCTTTGATGGGCCGCGACTGGAACTGCTGTTGCAGCAGTACCTGCTACTGGTAATGCCCTTCCTGCTGCTCGAATTACGGCAGTCTGAAGAAACACCCATTAGTGCAAAGTTTTTCAAGACTTCACAGCCGATTGCTCCCGTCCCCACGAGCAAGACTCGCAAGTGATTGAGTCGGCGCTGCAGTTCCAAGCCTAAGAGCTGCTGTTGCCCTTCCCACGGCACCCGCCTGGCTGCTGCCCCTCTGGAAACATCACATACAAAACAAGCAGCTCCACGAGTAGCCGTTTTTGCTGCTGCTACCGATTCTGCTTCTGGTTCCACCGCCGCTGCAGGGAGAGTTCGCCCTTTTGCTGATGCGCCAACGGGCACTGTCGCGTATCCGTTGCAACTCCGCGTGTTGCTGATACAGCCATCCTTGCCGCCGATGACACCGCTTGCTGCTTCACCCTCCCTATGGTCCTGGGCAGTGAGCGCTAGCAGGTCCAGAGCATGCAGCACGAATGGCCCCTGGAGGGGCCGATATTTCCGGGTAAGTCCCTTAAGGGTCTCTTGCGCTGCCAGGGCACCTGTAAGGAAGGCGGCACACCAGACACAGCGTCTCCACAATTTTCCCCTAATCAGTGTATACAGAAGGCAGCAGCAGCACAAAAAGCAGCAGCGCGGCTTTGCCACCTACCCATTGCGGCTGCAACAGGAGCAAGGTGTCCCCGCGACCCGCGAGCCATAAGCGCCCCAATTCGCGCAGCCTCTGCTTCCCCAATCGAAACTGCAGTAGCTGCTGCTACCTCTGCAGCGGCAGTAACTGCAGCGGCGGACTTGCGGGAGGCCCTGGCTGCGGCCGCTGCCGCTTCCGCAGCTGCGCTCGCCGCACCGAGCCCATAGCGCCGTTTCCAAATAGCAGCAGCACGGGCTGCAACTAGTGAGGCAGCAGGGAGGCGGTTGGCACTCCAACTCCTGAGGCTTCCGAGAGGTGCACGATCTGAAGCTTTGCTGTTGTCCACAGGGGCATCTGCAGCAGTTCCCGTTGCATATCTGTCCGTCTCGGATCTAGCAGCTTGCTGTCGGTCTTCACTCGCTCCACGTCCGTCTGTCTCAGCTGCATCCAGGGCTTCGAACGCAGCAATGAGGTACTGCTGCTGTGGATGAGGGGGGTCCTGCACGGTCAGGGATTGCTGCCCGTCAAAGGCCTGTTTGGTCTCCGGAAGGGACAGGGTGGTGCATAGAGGAGCAAAGTGCAGACGCCCGATTTGCTCCTGCTGCTGCTGTCTTTGCCGATGTTGTTTTTGCTGATTCTGGGGTTGCGCGTGTTTCTGCAAGAGCGCTGTGAGGGCAGCCTCTTCGCTTATCCTTGAAAAAGTGAAGTCACCAAAGTCAACAGCAACCCGCCCGGCGAGCCCCGCTGTACATACAGTCACAACAAGGGGGCCACAGCGGCGTCTGTGTAGCTGCCGCTCCTCTTGCGGTTGCCACTGCTGCTGTTGCAGCTCGCGCACCTGTTGCTCCCTACCCTGGGACCACAGTTCTCGAGCCACGGCAGAAAAGAAAAGCTTTTGCTGCAGAGGCCTATCGCATAGCAAAATTACATCAACTTGCTGTAGCAAGTTCTTCACACGCCCCCGCCAAGCAGCCGCAGTTTCTCCCGGCTGAATATGCAAGGACACCTCTGAGACGCGAGCGTACGGAGCACCAACCCGCCGCAAAGCAGCACAGGCAATTTCAGCTCGGCTTCTAGGGACGGCTGACTGGTGTTGCTGCTCCTCCGCTTCCAGCTGTTGCGCAGAAAAGGCGACTCGATATCCCAGAGGATACGATGAAGGGTCTGACACAACCCCAACTTCACTAGCACTTTGTACAGCAGAAGGTACAGCAACTGCCCCTGCTGCTGAAGTTACTACTTCCTGCTGCTCTGCATGTTCAGCCAGGGCAAAGTTTGCAGCACGTTCTTGCGGAGCCGGCTCCTCGGGGTCCGCCAACAAGATGCAGCCAACCCCGGACTGAAGCAAACACTTGGCCGCCTCAACTGCTGCACCACCTGCCCCAATCAGCAGTACACGTGAGGCTGGCAGAAGTTTCTGCTGCTCCGATCCCCACACCAGTAGCTGCCTAGAGAGCAAAGGCCGCAAGGACAAATAATTGCCTCCTGCCACCCCAGAATCCAGCGCTGCGTTTGCTTCCTCCTGTGCCTGGCTACCAGCAGAAGCAACAGAAGGCACAGCATCTGCAGCGCCAACAGCGCCGGAGGGAAAACCCGGGGATACACACGGTGGAGTGAGGGAATGTGGTGTCTGCGGAGATTGTGGGATGGACCTCTGCACATCTGTCGTTGCTGCCGTGGCTGAATGAGGGCAGTCCCACAGGATGTCAGCAAGCCTAAGATCTGCGATGGGACGGTGGGGCGATTTATGTGGCAAGACTGCGGTTGGCTTCCTGCTGCACGCTGCCTTGCACTCCCGCACTGTCAGCCTACTGTTGCGGCTATGAAGCCACACTGCCGCAGACCCCGCTGCTGCTGACAGCAACAGAAACAGCAGCAGCAGGCTGGCTAAAGGGTTCCGCATGGTGTTTGTGTTTACTACATGTTGCCTGAATCTCTTGGCCAACCCTGCAAAGGGGTCGCTGGTACTACTGCTGATGCTGTTGCTCGTATCGTTAGTCCAAGGCCCCGCTCCTGTTTTACTTTCACGTACATCAGGCGGCTTTGCTGTTTTTCATTGAAGAAGCCAGAGCCATTGCCATTTAGAAGAGCTGATTCCCGAGTAGCCGAAGAGCCCCAAACTCCGTAGAAGACACACATATGTACACAGAGGAGGCTGTTGCATTGCCTTTTCGGCACCCGACTTCTGGCGTTGCATCACCCGATTACAGACTCGGATCAATTCTGCACCTGAAAGGATATCTCTCTCGGCCATGCCTTGGAACACTCAAGGGCCCACGAGGGGGGTGTAGAGGACCCCTGACTAATGGCTAATCCGTCGAAGTAGTGGCTACGCTACTCTTATGCCCACAGCAACAACAATCGTAGGCAGAATAAGTTTAATAGAGACAAACCAACTAGTTGAACAGCTGAACAACCTGTGTGACCCGCCGAGCAGGCAGAAGCTACGTGGGTTGCTGGGGCGCTCCGAGGAGGCCTCTGGGCATCATCAGCAAAACAACGTGCATGACAGAGCTTTCCATCACATGCTTTTACGTATTCTATTTTACGAAGGCTGGCTCTATCTTCTGCCCTAACAACAGCTGCAGAGGGGCCTGCAGCATGCAAGAAAAGTTGTAGCTTGGCGACCCATGCATGCTCATTCCACCCTGCGGGGGCCCTTCAACTAGCTGCCAATCGTTATGTTTGTTTGCGTAGAAACGGCTGTTCCTGCATGTCGCACAGCAGATACCACCCTGACTGTCGAATAGGAGAAGTGAACGTCTGCCGACTCGAAGAATTTTTCGCCCTATTGAAATCAGTAGCACGCAGCTGCACCAACAGCATCGTATGCCTGGCTTTTGCCTCATTAACACAGGCTGTTCTTTTCAAATGGCTTCGTTTCAGCCGCAGACAATGCTGCAGCATCCATCCTGTGTGCAACACTACCACTGAGAGGCAGATATCGCTTCGGGATCCCGCGTAATGAAACACTGGCGAACAGCCAAGTAGCAACAGCTACACTGCTGAACTGCTGCTACTGTTGCCTTGCGTGTACACCAGCTCCCGAAGTTGCTGACACTTTCTTCTGGCGCTGGGCACCGGGGATTCTGCCCTGCCGTGCATCACAAGCCGCAGCATGGGTCAGACCGCCTCAGGCACGGTCGCCAATTACAAGCAGCAGCACCAGCAGCAGATGCCTCAAATTTACGGGGCAGAAGAAGACCTCCCTTGCGCGTCGGAGCTCGTGAGACATCCGCGATAATACGGGCGGCCGTTTGGCCCGTGCAGAACCCCTTCTTGACAGTACCACACGATGGATGCGGCGTAGTACTGTGTCTTCGCCGACAGTCAGACCGCTGTGTCCATCCATGTTGATGCTGTGCGCTTCAGGCCGCCTATCTGCAGTGTTTGCGCGAGTCCGTCGACCCACAGAGATTCCGATTCTAAGAAGCATGACCCTCCTATATCGATTATTGCTCTCGATCATTTTTGTCTGCTGTTCCTGCGAGTTGTCTGCAGGTACAGAGGGTCGTTGGAGAGGATGCTGCAGGACTGCGACGGCCGCAGGTGGAACTACAGGTAACCCCGATGCCCAAGCGGTCTTGTTGCCTGCTGCGCCACCATGTTTCCCCATGCTCTTCTAAGTCTTGAACCTTCTTTGTCTCTCATCTCCACTATGGCTGTATGTCTCTGGTGTAATGTCAACTTGTCTTTCTCGTGACCAGGATTTGTGAGGATTTGTTTTTTGTTGGGTGACAATTTGCAACAGGCGCTGTCTCCACCTCGAGCGCCCAGCGAAGTAGACACCTTCGGGCCCTTTTGCAAAGGTCCACATCTCAGAAGCAGCACCTGCAACGATGATCAGTGCGTATGGGCAGCCGGCAGCGCTGTCGGTGGCGTTGCCTTCCACGGAGGACGGAGCAGGCTCCCCAATTTGCGGTCGAAGTACCACCAGCAGCAACACTGCCATTAGTAACAGCAGCAGGACTCAGAACGGCAGCAGCCCTAAGCGGATTGTAACGGATATTCAGGTGTCACCTTGTGGATTGTTCATTGCTGTGCTTTCTCCCTGCGGGGTCCGTGTATATAGCAACGGACAATGCCGCATGCTCTTAGGTCGATGCTTGGTGCCTCAAGACTCGGAAGTGTATGGACGCTTGTGCTGCTGCTGCTGGGCATCGGATTCGTCTGCGCTCTTCGTCAGTGCCGATCCATTGGCGTGTGTGTGTGTCTTCTCCATTGGCAGTAGCAGCACTGGCAGCAGCGGGCTGGTGCAGCAGCAGCTGCAAAAAATTCAGCAGCAATCAACCGCGAGCGAGGGGAAAGGTGTATGGGGTGCTGCGTCGTCTTCGGCGGGGGTGCCCTTGACGGCAGGTACAGCAGCAGAAGGAGCAGCAGCCGTAAGGCCAGGAGCCGTGGGAGAAAGTTGGCTCATGGAGGGCTTTTCAACGGCTATTGATACTCAGCATCTGGGCAACACTGGGACTACCGGCGATGGCGATGGCCAGGGCAGTGAAGGGGAAGAAGAGCAGCTGCAGCCAGCGGCAGCAGAGAATGCTTCAACGGCTGAAGAAGCCATACGGTCTGTGCCTTCAGCGATAACCGCTTACCGGCCTCTCAATACTTCTCCTCTGTCCGTCTCATTCTGCCTGCTCCTTCGCCTTCCAGTCAGGCCTTCAGCACTCTGTTGCGCGTCGGTGCAGCGTCAGCAGCCGCTACTGCTCGCAGGCTGCAGCAGACAGCCTGCCCTCTTCTGGCTTCACTTGGGAGGGCCTAAGCAGGTATTGGGGTGTATGTACACCACTGATCTGATACGAGTGACGAAGAGAGCAGGCGTTTGTCCAGGAAATGCAGATCCTTCCTCAGCAGCAGTTGTTGGGGTTGCTTCAACAGCTGCAACACGAGTTGCGTGGTCGGGAGCAATAGCCCAGGGTAAAACCAGTGCTGCTGCTGCTAGTTTGGGCTGCGCTTGCCGGGCTTGTGAGGGTCGTTGCTGCTGCTTTGTGGACCCACTGGCACTTCCGCCGATGGGGCGTAGAATCAGCAGCAACGGGACGTCAGCAGGAGTACCCTCCTCTGCAGCAGGAGCGCCATCGCCTTCCTCAAGACGCTGCAGGTGTCGAGGGAGGCGCAGGCTCATTACCTATCTGTTCCACCCAAAAGGCTACACTTCATTGACGGAGCTTTTGCGGCTTCCTGCCCCTGCACAGGATGCACATCTTGTGCCCGATCTTCCAGACGTTTTCCTCTGTGCGGACTCTGGCCCGAACTGTGGAGGTCCTCTACATTCGCCACTGGGTTGCAGAAGCGCCTCGACAAGCAGGTGTTCTCGACTGTCGCGCATTCGGCAGAAGCTCCGAAAGAGCAGCTGCAGCAGCCTTTCGGGGAGCAATATTCAGCAGCATAAGCAAGACGAGTTAGCTGGGGTTGCTGTTTTTGACCGCTGTGAGCAGGGGCACAAGATTGGAGGGCAGGACCCTCTCAGCACCTCGCAGCAGCACCAAAGTGCTCTCTTCAGCAGCGGCACCATCAACACAACGAGGGCAAACAGCAACCGCCACAGAATTAGTTCAACCTTGAACAGGACGGAGAGCCTGACAATTAGAAACGCAGAAGCGTCAGGTTGCAAGCGCACTACCAACGGGACGGGCACCATAAGAGGCCTTCGTGATTCAGCCGCTGGTTTTGGACTGGTTAATGAAGAAATATGCAACAGCGTGGTCGACGCACAGGCTGCACCTGCAGATGACAGTATCAGCAGCAGTGACGGAGGCACAAGCGACGACAGATTACTGCAGCTTGGTACCAGCAGGCTTCCCACGAGAGGGGTGTGCACTACTCAACGGCTGGAGCGTCGGAAGAAGACCCAAAGACAACATATGATGCGTAGCCTTACGGATGAAGCCTTCTCAGATTATGAGACTCTGCATAAGCGCTGTTGTGGAGGTGTGCGTCAGCTGCAGCTGAACCAGCGGCTTGATCTCTTGGCTGTGGTTACAGCAGCAGGAGAGTTGCTTATGCTGTCTTGGCGCTTTCCCCTAAGAGGATATACACAGGTGGATGACCTCGACAGCATTCAACAACCAGCCAGTGATGCAGGTGTGGCTGAACAACCCCTCAAGGTCCACTTGGCTAGCCAGCACTGTTTGAAGCGACTGAATCCGGAAGTTCCAGCGTCAGCCGCGGCAGGAAGTGGACCAGATATAGCAGATGTTTCTTATTCAGCGAGTATTCATAGCCAATTGAACAATGATACAAGTACAAGCAGTGCCCATACCCGCTGCAGGGGCTGCGGAAGCATATGCATAGGGGCGGGCCTGGACGGTCGAGTGTCTATAGGCCACTCTACACGTGAAGGTTTCGTCGATGCTCCCTCTGTTTCGGAGACCTGTCATAGCAGCAGCAACACCAATAGCTTGAGGCCATGGCGACCGCTCGGGCTCCAGCTTAGGGCGGAAGCAGTGTGCTGCTGCGCGCTTAACGGGGAACGGAGCCTCGTCGCAGTGGGTCTTGGCAGTGGCTTTGTCGAGGTGTATAGGCTCATCTGGCCTAGGAGCCCCGTGCAACGAGTTCGGAATTCTCGGAAGCCGCAGCAGCAGCAAACAGACCAACGACCAACTAGACGCACCCACAGGAATATTGAACGTGATGGCTTTACACTGCTTCCACAGCTTATCAACGTGATACGTGTTCCAGATGACATCATGGCAGCAGCAACGCAACACGCACGAACGCGTGCAGCTCATACAGCTGCAGGCGATGACTCCACAACAAGCCCTCCTTATGTGCAAGCGTGTAGCGTCCAGAGCCTGCAGTGGACAGCCGACGGCGCGGCCCTCGCAGTGCGGTGGCTCAGAGGTGGAACAGCTGTCTTCAGCCACACGGGAAGCATACTATTCTCCCTTCCTGACCTCTTCACTGCAGAGCCGGGCCCCGCAGCATCTGGTGGTGGTCAGGAGTGTCCTTTTAAAGGGTCCCCGTGGGGATTGCATCGCCTGCGGCGTGAGCAGAAGCGCTTTCATGGAAGACAAGCTCCTGCGAATGCAGCTGCCACCGCAGCAGCAATTGCCGCAGGCGCAGCTATAGGGTCAGGACAGTTGTGTAGCTGGATAATGGGTGGTCTGTCTCTGATGTACGTATGCCCCTGTCGTAGAGCCAACTCGGGGCTCCATCCAGATGGCGAACGCGCCGAACGTGGCACCCACGTGTCGAGTTTTGAAGCCGACACCCAAATTCAAATTCCGTCGTCAGAGGAATTACTGGAGGTAGCAGTTGTGCGAAGCGCATCTGTAGCTGCGGCAGCTTCGTCTGTAGACGTGTGTGGCAGCCGCTGTGCGTCCGACATGACTGACAGGTGCGGATAGTGGCATAGTTCGAAGTACTAACAGCCTTGTTCTTGCTGGGGGAGATCGCGCTGTGGTCTTTCGTTACTGAGTCTAAGAAGCTGGCGAGGTTTTCCTCCGTACTGCTGTGTTGTGTGCAGGGTGATGGTTGGAGGTTCCCACTTGCTTGTGTGGAGTTTTCTCGACAGTATGAGGGAGTCCGCTTCATTGTCGCTTGTCCCGCTACCACCCAGTTTGTATACGACAAAGGCATTCCCCGTTCGGCAGGCAGCACTGTCTCCAGATGGATCTCAGATGCTTGTTGCTGGGAGCCGAGGCTTCGCCTTGTTTGCTTTGCTGCAGCGGCGGTGGCGGCTTCTCTGTATGGAGCGGCAGGAGGCTCAGCTCCTTACGGGCACCTTACCCCTGGGTTGGTACACGAAGGACATCTTCTTTGTCTCGACGCCGGCGTTTGACCCGAGTGATACTGCTGCATCGTCAGCAGCAGCTGCAGTAGCACCAGAACCGCTTTGCACGCTTAGTGCTCCCGATGCAGCTCCCCGCTGGCTCCTTCCTCCCAGTATATTTCATAGATTTCAAGCTGCCGTGGCTGCAGCTGTGGACTTCTGTCCCTCAAGGTTTGCATCTCATGTTCCACTGACGATTCACGAAAAGACGGCCTGGCTTCAGCAACAGCAGCAGCAACTCCACCAGTCTTCGTCACGTCTGTGGGGAGCGGCTGGAGCCGGTCGCGGCTCTGCAGAACTCTCTGCGATTGCCACTGCTGCAGCATCGCGTGGAACTAGCAGTAGTAGTGGTAGCAGCGCTATGTGGTACTATGCTGTGCTATTTCTGCGTAGTAGCGAACGACTGGACCTGCGTTGCCGTGTTGCAGAAATCAAGCGTCTCCAGGCCAGACCTCATACGACCACGGTGCTGCCAAGCATGCAGCAGCAGCAGTTGCTTCGCCCGGCAGGTTCTCTTGGGTCCCGTTGTTGTCTCTGCCACCATGAGGGCAACAGTCACGGCAGCTGCTGTATGGTTTGTAGCGGCCGTGCAGCTGTCGCCCTGCGGAGCTTCGCTGCAGGCAACACAGACGAACCTCTCCTGGCAATATATGATGCTATGGGAGTCCTAACCGCTTACCAGCTGCAGCAGCCACAACAGCAAAAGGAACATCAACCACGGCAGCAAGACGTTGTAGCTCTTTGGCAACTTGATCTATCAGACTTCTGCGATAGGCCGCCGCAGCAAATACGCTTCGTTGGGTGCGCGTGGCTTTTGCTTGCATTGCTCCAGTCTGGGGCTTTGTTGCTTCTGCGCTTGGGCATGCCAGGGGCAGGCCACCTCTCACATCAGAGGAAACACAACATTCCTCGCCTCATCGTGGAAACGTTCACTGTAGTGGCGGACGGCGTTACAGGCCTTTGGGTAGGGGCGGAGGCGCAGCTGCAACAACACTACATGCTGCCATCATCTCGCTTCTGCGTTCTTCGTCCACAGCAGCAGCACCACATGCAAATACCGCAAGGACATGCTGGCATTGGAATGGAGAATTTAGCTAGATGCTCTTGTTCATGTTTGGGGCAAGAAACGATGTCTCCACGACAAAATGACCGAAACGGAGAGTGTCTGCAAATGGCGCTGCATCAGTACAAGCCTACATCGTGCGGGCCGGGCATGGAAGCGGAGGTTGCCCTTAAACAAACCGGAGGTGGTTCAGGCCCAGATAGCGAGCTAACGCTGTCAGACAATAAGTTGAGTGCCTGGAGCGCCGGAGTCAGCAGCAGTAGCAATATAGCTGCAGCTTCCGCTGACCTTGAACTGTGGAAAGCAAAGGCTCCCCTGCCATGGCCTCTGACTGCCAGGAAATTGCGCGGGAGCTCGGGTGTCTCCATCCCCCATGGATCACATCAAGATACCCATCGGAGCAACTTATTAGCGCCAGGCACAGCACTGTCACCTCCATTTTTTGTTGGTCCTTTGTGCACGACAAACACAAACAGTGCAGCAGCGCCAGCGCCTCATTGCCTACTTCCCTACCAAAGAATCGTTGACTTCCCTCGTCCTGTGGCAGTTGAACCCGTGCTGGCCAAAAGCTGCAGCACCAGCGACCTCTACAAGGTGCCGCTCCAGCGTCAACAAGAGGAAGAGCTGCCAGAACATTTGGTGAGAGAAAGGCGTGCTCCGCTATCACTTCCTGTGCTCACAGCTGGGAGTTCGAACAAGACAAGCGGTGCAATGCAGCGGGATTACATGGTCTCTGGCAGCACGCCTGAGGACTCAGGTGGGCTGCAGGGAAGCGGAACATCAGAACGGCGGATTCGACGTCCCTTCCAAACCTTCTGGACGGCCGGGTGCCGACAGCACATTAAGTATATTCAACAATCAAAGGGCGATGGCAGGTGAGAGTAGTGGGCTGAAAGTCGAGCTATTTTTCTCTGATGCACTTTCCGTCCTTCCGTTCACTTTTTGGCCAACTAAGGAACTCACACGGAACTCAGGAGGTGAAAGGGGTCGTTGGATTGTTGGGCCGAACGGCTGCAGCCGTTGCACGCATACGACCTCGTGGATTGGCGTGTTTTGCTCAGTCTTGAAGCGTATACCCGCGGCTCATCGCCACTTTTGCTGTGTTCCAAATACAGTAAGGACGTAGCAGGAGCGACGGCCAGTGAGGCAAATTCTGAAACACAAGAGGCGGTAGCTGCTCCTGAAAGATTTTCATCTTCAGCTGTTCGAGGAGAGCCACCTGTTGTGGATTCGGACGGTTGCAGCGGCAGCGGGTTGGACTCGTCTCCCGCGGTTAAGGGCCCTGTTGTTGCCGCACAGCCTTGGGAGACTCGTATTGGAAGTAAGGCAAGCGTGTTGCACTTCTAGTGCGGAGGTATCATGGATATATCTGCATTATGCTTCGCCGGTTTGAGCACCATTCGGGCCTTTTGTGTACTAACCAGAACGAGAACACTGCCGTCATCTTGGGTCACTGGGTTTGGTGGAGGATCTTGTGTTGTGGGGAGTTAAACGTATCTCGGGTGTGTGCACTACGGCAGTGGTCTGTTGGTGGCTGTTTGGTTTGCTTGCGTGTTACAGATTGCGACGTTTGCTGCTGCTGCGTTGCTGGATGGCATATATGGGCTCAAACACCTGCAGGGCTACTACTGGCTTCCGTGGGATTCCACTACTCGGGCGCTGCGGCAGCAGCGGCAACGGAGGGTAGCTCACCCGAGTCCTTGCTCTCAGTAACTGACGTACGTTTGCGGTCAGCTTTGGTGCTTCCAGTAGAGTCGCGCCCGCAACCTCTCCAGATCGTTGGAGTAATCGGAGAGGTAAACACCACACGCCCTCGAGTGATGCATTGCAGCTGTACAACAAGGGTGCACACACGAAGCTGCATGAAGCTTTGCCGTACCATATTATTGGTGAATTTGTTTGTTCAAATGTGTAGCTCGTTAATCAATGTGTGACCATGATGGCTACGTTCGCTGTACCTTACGCTTCCTGCTGTGTATCGTGCGTCTTCAGCTCGGAGTGGCTGTTGCCTGTACTGCTAGCCGTGAAGCGTCGCTTGGTTGTCCAGTACAAATCCAGCCTGTCACTCGGATACGGTTGCTTCTGCAACCGTGCACACATGCCTTACTGCAGAGGCAGCTGCTAGCTGCTGTCGCCCGAATTCCTGAGAGTTCTAGAGAACCGTGTATGCTTGTTGAGGGACGAGCATTTGATGCAGCTTCGGAAGGGCACGTGGCGGACTGTACCAGCTGCGGAGTGAGGGGCGAAATCATCGACACCAACCAAGGCATCTGCAGCAGCCGCAAGCGGCTCTTCTTGTCTGTCTCAGCGCTTGTGCGGGAATTATTGGCATCCGCGTTTGCTCACCATCTGTTGGAATTGGCACAGTTTGGGCTATTGATGAGGTGTATATCCACCTATTTGAAGGCGGCAAAGTTGCGACGTGTACAGCTGCGACCGCACAACAACAGGGAGCATCCTCTGTTACATCCCAGTACAGCGAGAGGAGAGCCGTGTGTAGACAGCATCAGCAGGGGTGACCTTGGAGCCCTTGCTGGAAGTGTGCGCACTGCCGCTGCCGCTGCTCTCGGGAGTTCATCAGAAGGCGCTGCCCTGGAGTGGTTCCTACGGCTATTGCAGCGGAAGTCTCCCCACATGTTCGTTGCAACTCTTGTTTTCTGCATGCGGAAGACGGAGCCCCTTGTCTCGCCGGCGGTGCTGGAGTCTTTGTTGCAACGGCAGGTGCCGCCGGCCGACCCCGTCACTCTCTTTACCAAATGCCTCGAACGTGGACTTCTGCAGACAGCTTCGCTTTATTTGCTGCCCATTCAGACAACAGAGGGCCCACTTCAGGTACTTCTGCGGTTTTAGCGTCTCATGACGTTCCTCGCCATCGTAGTTCCATTGGGCCACTCCAATTAGGGTGCAAATACGCGGTGAAATTCTGCCATATGAAGGTTGTGGTTCTGGCTCTGCAGGTGAGATGTCGCCGCGTGCTGCCACTTCTCCGTGCTGCATTGGCAGCTGGAGACTTCCTTCTAACTCGCAAGCTGCTTCATTTTTTCTGGGCATTTTTTAGAAGAAGGCACAACACACGGCCTATTAGCAAGAGGAGCAAGGTGCAGCGAGAACAGGCGTCGGTGCAGTCTGCATCTGAAGGTCCTACGGAGATCGAAATGCAGCTGCTGCGGCAAAGGCACCCTGCAGGGGGTCAACAGAAAAGTGCACACACAAGGAGGGCCGCACGGATGAGCAGTCGGCTCACACAGCTGCGCAGTTTGCTTTGGCGTCCTGTACAAACAGACGAGTGGTCAAGCTCCCCCGCCAAAGGAAGCACAGGAAAGGCTGGTGTTGACTGCAGCTTCCTTACCAACCCCTGGTTGTCCCGCGTCCCGTTGGAACTACGCCGGGTGGATCGTCTATTGGCTGCACAGGTGTATCGGGAAGTCGAGGCGGCTGTTGCTGCTGCTGCTTCGGCGTTGCTCAAACAGCACAAGTGGCTGCAACTGTTTGACTTTGCGACGACTCTAGGTGTTGACCTTCCTGCTTGGCTTCGGGGCCGCAGCAAGAGTGATTTGCTGGACCGCGTTAACCAGCCAAATACGCAAACGAACCAGGAACAGATCCCTTGGACAGAAGGGCTGGCAATTTCTTCTACAGCAAAGACAGTGCCGGAAAGAGCCGGACCCAGATCTACGACTGCAACTGGAGGGGCAGCACCAACTGCAGCTCAGGTCCTTTCCCGGCTTTTCTCTGAGGCAGTATGTTCCTTTACACAGCAGCTTTGCATTGGAGATATGCCCGTGTCTTTGTGTCTGAAGCAGTCTTTTGTGCGCGACTGTTCTCGGTTATTTATGGAGGAAAAGTGCCAACAACAGTCTCCTAGCTGGAAGGACGGGCTGCAGGTGGCTGCATTGCTGGAAACAGCTTGCAGGCAGTCACCAAAATACACTGCATGTGTAGTTCCACCACTGTGTAGTAACGGAAACAGGCAGCAGCAGGCTACAAGTGAGATGGCTCGTTATCTGGCTAGAGTGCTGTTGCTTTCGGGGCATCCAGTCTACACTTTGGCTCTGGCAGCTGCTGTCCGTGACAGAGAAGCAGCAGCACAGATACTCAGCTGGTATCCTCAGCTACGCTGCTTTTTTTCAACGACAGTTCTTGCGGCGTGGGCTGATGAAGCTGAGGGACCAGTAGCGTTCTCGAAAGGCCACGCACCTGAAGAAGGCATGGCAGGCGATTACTAAGGTCGTCTGTGTTCAACAACTGAACAGATAACAGCTGAATATCAATAGGGACCGATGCTACTGTTGCATGCGTAGGCACCCGGCAGCAGACGGTGATTAAGTGGCGCTAGCTTCTAATGTTGGCATTTCCACTGCAGGCTGCTCAGCATAGATACGCGTTCGCTCACGCTCGTCTGTTTTTCCCGGTAGGCTATAGCGGGGCCCCATGGGCGGGCCAGATCTTAAACTTTGCATTCAGTATTCAGTGCGTGCTGTTGTGGCACTCACCTGGGCTGTTAGATTGGCTTTCTGCAGCTTTTCATTGTAGGAGCATTTGTATTACACGATTCGTACTGAGGAACAACTCCTTTTGAAGTGACTATCTGAGGACGCAGTTCAGAATTCCCATTAGGTATCACTGGTTGGGTGCGTCCATGACACTTTTCACTACTAGTGTTTCAAAATAGCAAAGTTTATTGCTACCGGTAATTTGATGTAGCTGGAAGGTAGAATTTGAAGGGGAGTGTTCACCAGATTCAGGGAGAACGGATTACAGCGTCAAAGGCTACTATGATCCATTTTCCCTAGGATTTTCGTTACATATAGCGCTGAACATGGTGCAGACACACCAGTGCCCCTTAGTCTACCTTCTGGTCCCCTGTTTTCGTTATTAGCTGCTGAAGATGGTCCTGCTCCAGCACACTGATTGCCTCGACTTCACTTAGTGCACGGAGGTTCCTCCGCGTCGAAAAAGCACAATGAAAATTTTATTCTCCGAACCTGAATACTGTGACCAGGGACAAGATTGTGCCCGCAATACTGGCGCACTGCAATACCTCCCGGTCGCCATAAGCTTCGATAACCAAATGCAGCAAGCGAAAAGCGAACTTGTTGACCCTTTTTGTGATGGAATTACCCACAAAGAATGGTCGAATACTGCCTGAGCTACCAATTCTAGAACATGCTGTGGGAAGTGCCGGTACATTGAAAAGTGCCCATGCTGCTGCCATCAACCAAGCTTGCTGCGAATCATAAAACGTGAAGAACTGTACTGATTAGCCCATGCAAGTTCCTGTCATGCGTGCAACTACTCATGAACCTGTAGAATACCCTCACGTGCACAGGGTAAATTTGTTATACACTCGAGGCGATGCGCGGCGCATGAAAAGGTCGCTAGTAAGTGGGTTACGGATAGTCTTGCTCTGCCAGCCTACAAGATGATTCAGGGACGTGCTTGGTGTTTATTACTATACTGTTCGAGACGGCAGCAGCCGTAACCTCACTTTGAACCCCACCAACGTTCAACTCACATGTTTAGTTCTGGCTTCTGCGAATGCTTTTCCACAACATTCGAGAATAGCTCGCAGGATACGGAGATGAAGAAACATGTGCTTCGTATCCCCCTTCAAAAGCAGAAACATTTCTGAGGTTTCGTGTATGTAAACATTCCAGGACTGTGGCTCCTACAGTGAGCCAACTTTTCCTAGTGCCCTATGTGATCTATCCATTTTCGCGTTACTTTTGAGCGCCTGAAGAGCTATTTTGAAGGCTGTATCAGTCACGCTGTCTCTCCAGTGATCGCTGAATGCAGGAGGATGTGTGGGCAATCCGAAAACGATGAAGGCTCCAGAGAATCCAGGACAAACTAGACCGAAGTTGAGGACCTGACCACGAGGGAAGCATTCGTTACATGCTCTTGCTCACTGGTAGAATGAGTCACAGACATATACGATGACAAAAATCGTAGTCGTCCTCCCTCCAAAAATTCCATAGCCTATGCGTAAAAACACTATGCCTCTCTAAAAGGTGGAAAATGTCTCTCTTAAGCGAAATTATATCTTGTGGCGGCGGGCGCACTCCTGTCTTGTAGATGGCCAGCGCCGCGCTAAGACGCTTGACCAGCCTTGGAAGCTTCTTTTCAAGATCTCTCTTTCCATGATAGCTTGCGGGAAAATAGTACTCTGTACGGAAGCTGGCCACAAACAGTTCCCACCAACTGCTGGTTTCCATTTTCTCCTGCAAGAGCTCGATCGTACAGACCACGTAATCAAACATGAAGAAAAGTTCCGCCAGTCGTCTAGAGACATGGAAAGCGCCAGGTCTCGTAGGAGGAGTCCTAAGCCTGTGCAGAGCGTGGTTGACTAGATACTCGGACAGGCGCAAGAGACTTTCCAACTCAGCCGAGTTCAGTGAAGGCTTTGCAAACAATTCACGCATAGGCACGTATATATTTAGAGAAAAACCCTCAAACAAAAGGGCGGAGAATGCAATATTTGTCCTGAAACTCCTTGGAATATCGTTTGGATTTACCACTGGGAGCCTGACATATGGATGAGTGAGCATCTCCTGTATGCTCGAAATACTCGCTGGCACAATAGCCCTACCACACCTACCACACGTTGGCTGCATATGAGGGGTCCATAGTACTTGGACCCCTTGCGTTGATTGCCCAGCTTCACGCATGCTTTCGCCTTGAATTGTGGGCAAGCCTACATCGAGATAACCATCATTTCCATGCATAAGTCCTCCCTGTCCCTCCCCGTAGACCACCAATGGTTCCAAAGGGAGCCCAGTTGTACGCGATGGATATATTGAACCAGCGCTCGTGCCGGGATACGCTGTAGCTTGCAATATGTCCTCCGCTCCAGTCATGTATTGCAGGTGCTGCATGCCTTCTGGGTATGCTTGGAAAAACATATTTCCCGGAGAATGCACTTGATGGCCGAAAGTAGGATTGCTTGCCATCGTGCCCTCGGGTCCTCGATATTCCTGGGCTCCAGGCCCAACAACTGACCCAGAAGATTGACCCCCCGAGCAATGAAATTCTTTACTGTTGTCTGCAGGGAGGGATCCGGATATACTATTGAATGCGTCTTCTCTAGAGACTCCCCCAATATGGGTTTGCGAATTGGAGACATTCATGTGGGCTGGTGCGAACTTTCCGGCTTCTGGATGCGGCATTTGCGGCTCGCCGACTGAATAGATCTGCCATGGATTCGTTTCCAGCCAAGAATCAGGATTCAATGGGCCCAGTGGACTGTTAGTTGTGCCATCGCTAGGCCGATGGAAAGCATCACTAGTTGTCTGCTGTTGTAACACGGAATGTGGCAGGCCAGGGGGGAGAGGTGCACTTTGAACGCCATATGGTATTTGTTGTTCATCACTGTCAGAAACAAGTGCCCCAAAAGAATCCCTTAAACGGCTCTCTTCCTGGTTATCATTGACGGCATACGAAGCAGTTTCCCTCCAATCATTAGGATTTGAGAGATGCTTCGATAAAGTCCCCAAACCGTGCATGTGCCACAATGAATCGCCTTGGATCGCCTGTGGCTGCACACCTCTGTCTCGTTCAAAAGCTGCTGCAGAATCATAAATACTGGAGAGATACCAACCCCTCTCATTCGTCGTGGGGGTCTTACCGGTAAGTCCAAGCTCTTCTTCTAGCTCGACGCATTGTTCCAGAATATCCGATAACTCCTTTGCATCAGCTGTGTCCGACAGCCTGCGCTTCGCGAGCCCTGAGGTCTTTGCCTTGTTATGGTGGGAATAGCATAAGGCTACACAAGAAATAATTGCAACCAACGAAACGATAGATACCAGCGCCACAGTAATAAGCGGTTTGTGATGCGGATTCCGGCGCAATTTGCTTCCAAGCCTGAGCCGATGGCGGTCATAGTTGGGTGCCCCCACAAAGGGACTTGCGGACTGCTTAACTAGTGAGGTAGGGAAGACTGACGGGGTTAGTGGTTGTTTGAGTTCCCCCTCCTCAGAGAAATGCCTTTCTCCAACTCGATTTCGAGGCATTCCTAAATCACGCAGACAGCAAACAAACCCATACCTCGGAGTTAGGCGTTGAAAAAAAAAAGGTGGAATTCGCTTATATTCCTTATGAAGAGTATATTTCCTTTCGGCAGTGTGTAGGTGTTCACCCGATTACACACGTCTCGTGCAGGGTGCCGGCGGCTTTTGCTCGACAGCCGTGCACATCGATCTCTGGAATTATCTTGAAATGGTCTCGACAGTATTCAGTAGTCTCACATGTCTCCGTTAAATATAAAAAATCAAATTATTACTAGGTTCTGTCCAGAGGAAAAGCAGGAAAGTTCTCTACGCGTCCCCACCACTCTGCCGCCGAAGAGCTGCGCGTACCTGCCAAGTTTGGCACAGGCCCACATTGTCCCTTTCGTACGGATATAAAAGGTTGGCATCGTGCCATCAACCGTCATTTGATCACTTGTTATCACTACATATACAGACTTTATATTTCACAGGCTTCATCGACAATTTATGTGTCATCAAGCTAAATATCCCACCGGTCTACCAAGCAGCCGATGGGCTCCACTACAGGCATATTGACTGCTTCTAGTCTCAACCCTGCTTCTTACCCTCCCTCCACGAAACCCCTGTCCCAGCAGGTTGACTTCTCCTTGAGTTAGTGGCGTTAATTGGCTCACACTTGATTTTCTGGGTCCCGTTGACCGGCTTGCCAACTCGCGCGCTTCCGTGGGGCTGTAGAATAGTGTACAAGATGTTGCAAGTCCAGCGAGCGTCCTGGATTTTGTTAGAGGACTGCTAGTCTATTGCTTCTGTGGGGCTCCAGCATAGTCTGCCCGGTGTTGGCAAGTGCCGCGAGCGTCCTGAGTCTTTTTAAAAGACCGTCACGAGCTGCAATTGGGCGAAAAATACTGAGGAAGAGGGTCCCCTATGGCGCCTGTCATCCTTCCCGAGTCTCCAGCAGCCCATTCCCCCTGTAGCATACTCTGTGAATTGCTGGCAAGCCTATCTGAAGTGGGAGCATGTATCCTTAATCGGGTTTAGTGGGTAAGTGGCACGCAAGCAATAGTTCTCAACAACTGTCTGTAGCGCTTCTACTTACAGCCACAAAGGCTTGTTGGAATTTATACGTGGGCCTGTTTTGCACCTTGAATTGTAGGAAGGTGCTTTGCAACGCATGGCTGGCCGCCTCCTTCCGCTACTTCAGAAGGTCGTGCCGCTGCGCACAGAACGGGTGGAAGCTGGGAAGGACGCAACTGCATTTATGAGGATGCCTCATCTTATTTATTTTGGCATTGTTGAAGCTCACAATAATCCTCACGTAAGATCAAGTGTTACTCTTGCTAGCGTCACGTGGTCACTTGCTAGCGTCTCGTGGTTTGCTCGGTGTACTTGCGAGGAACCGCCTTCACAACCACAACAGGGTGGCCTTCAGCAAAGCAGTGAATAGTAATATAGGATCTTAAAAATATACACCAAATTCGTCTATGCCTTCTTGCAGGTCCCAGTCCATCCCGATGACAGGCATAAGACTGCATTTTATGGTTGCACTGGCAAGCTTGAGTGCGCGTTCATGCTATTTGCGCCCGTGGATTCGCCTGCTGAACTACAGTGACAGGCAAAACACGATTGCTTGGGCCAAATTGATGAGGACTGGATGGTCATGTAAGTACATTGCATGCTTACGTTCAACCGGAATCCGCAGAGGCGCCTACAGCATATGCGACGTTCTCTGCAACTGCTACACGCGACCAACTGACTCGTACAAAAACAAGAGTGTTCGCCTTTTTTGCAAGTTGGACTTCCTTGGGTTTCGTGTTTCGGCAGCGGGGAACCAACGAAGTCCACCGATAGAGGCCATTCGGAGGTGGCCTTTACCCCTGAACTGTAGTTTGCTCTGCGGCCGTTAGGCCCACGGATTAGGGCCGGCAGTCACGCAGGTAACACCTACGACATCAGTGAACTGGGAACCAGCGACAGATAGATATTTGTTGACGCAACAAAAGATTCTCAAGAATGAGGATTTCCGCTTCAACTGTATGCTTGTATGGCTCTCTGCCTAGTCAGCGGTCTACACTTTTTCTGATCAGTTACGGACCGCACATAGAACCTGTGGTGGGCACTCCTGACTGGATTTGGCGGCCATACTTCTCTAAATAAAATGTAACGCTAGACAACACTCCATACAAGCGCAACCAAGCCTTCTTGGCTGTGTGCACAACAATACGAACAGTTATGGAGGCCTGCCCGTGTACCATTTGCTTCCTTTCGCCGGTTAGGTATGCAGTGCCCACTTCAGGCAGGGTTGCCAAAATAGCCCAGAATATACTTCACACCCCCTTTCAGCAGCTCCAGGCGATTGAGCCGTAAGGTTAAGGATTCTTGGAGACTAGCGAAGTTGGTCAGCTCCTTATAAAGGAATCTCATATTAAGTACTCTCGCTCCGGCAAAGGAGCATAGTCATCGGGATGGAGTGAGTTGCAACAGTACAAGCAGAACAACACTGTTGCTCAGATATGCTGCAAAACATGCAAATTGTTATTATATTTTGATGCTACTGTAGCACAATACGGTCCTCGAGAAGGGCCGATGGACCTCGCCCGCACTAGCGTGCTCGCAGTATATGCACGGTACTATTGCGTGTGCTGCTCTCTGCGCGTCTTGCTTAAAAAGTAAGTTTCAGTGTTACCATTGCCGTATTTAAATGAATAAGCAAAACAAATACTCAAAGGTTGGCTTGCTGGTACTGATGTTTTGCGGAGCTGGTCGCATGCAGGGTCAAGGGTGGCTCCCCTCGTGGGGCTGAAAAGTGCAATGCCTGTCTCGGAGCATCCAACTATCCAACATTTGCTCATTTCCCATTTTCTTGAGACAGAAGCTCGCATTTTCTCCTGAGACTGCCGTATTTGCTCACTGTACGTCCTCTGGTTCCTCAGCCGAGTGGCCTTGTCGCCGCTTGGGTGCATTGTTAAGTCCGTAGACGCCTGCTCCGCCGTACCATTTATTCAGTCAATCTTCCATAGTTGGATTTTTTCGTCCGCATATGTGGTTGTCTTCTGGCCTTGCTTCAGCTAGGCCAGATACTTACAAGCCAGGAAGCAGCCCTGGCATGTTGCAGCCCACATCAGGAAGCCGAAAGTAGGTTGTACACCTCCACAGAGAGGTCCTCCGTATAGGCAGCAGCCAAAGAGCGTTGGGTGGCGAACTTGCCCACTAGCCCGAGTCACTGAGAGCAAATGCTTTGATGTCAAACGGTAAGCACGAAAGTCGCCGAGCCCATGCTTTCCCGTTGGGGAATTCTCACGTGTTTCGTTACTTCATACACTTCTTTTGTGTTTTGACAATGGCAGACACAACTAGCTGTCAACACAAAGCGCTTGGCCTGCACAACGCCGCAGTAACAAAACCACACCAAGCACGCTACAATGCGCGGCTGTCACGAGGGACAGAACGCCTGTTGTGCATAGCTTACCTCCTTGACAAGCATGATGTCGGTATTTGGTCAACGCTACGCTTGCTGCTGTGTGCAGCTTTAAGATGAACATGGGCGCTGTGTTCAGGGCGCTGCAAGTATTGGCGCAGCGTCATCTGAGCGACCACGTCTACCGAGTGCTTGTTGTACGTATATTCCATCCGTTCTCAACTCCCTTTAAACTGCTCTCATATGCGTCATTTCTAGCCGATACAGTTTTGTCCTTACATCCTTTTGTTCAGTCGTCCCCTCTGATTCTTTGCTGCTTCTGTGTGCATGCAGACAAGCCCAGCATTTCAAAGGTTCGCAGTTGTCTCCTCTCAGGGAGCTGAGGCCATGATGAAGAAGGTGACGGACGCAGCACTCGTGAGACCTTCAGCTGCACCAGATGCATTGCTGTGTCTGCTGTTGTTGACTTCCATCTTGCCGTGCTGGAGCTGCCGCCGAGGGGTTACGCGGCCAACTCTTCGTCAGTATTGCGATGGAGAATTATAGGGTTTATTTTCGAAACTCATAGCAGTGCATTTAGGTTCATGTGCGGCACTGGATCCCCGAAAGGAGTGCGGGGGCCTCATGAATTGGCTGCTGTTCCCTTGTTTATATCTGTTTTGTCCACCCTTCTCTCCTCTGTGCAGAAGGCGACTGAGACAGCTCGAAGAACCGCGTCATCGTTGAAGTCCAATAGCAATAGCAGAAGCAACAAATAGGTTTTTTTCTGAGATACATGAAGTATGTGGAGGCGGGAAGGAACTGCATCCCTTATTCGGAGCATCAGGGCGCGGCACTGCATGGCAGCAGCGGCTCGCCGTGCGCTCCATCGGCGAGGTGCAACCGACTGCATTCATCAGAAGGGTTTGGGTGGCGACGCACATGGCCTATTTGGCAGAAGCTGTAGCAGCTGGGCTCCTACAGGCCCTGGGGGAGTTCCTGAAGATGGCGAAAAAGGGACAGAACGGCGGAACGGCAGACGTGCAAAAACACGTGATTGTGTAAACAGTTCGAATAACACATCGTTTTGTACAGAGATAAATGCAGAAACGAAGACTCCAGAGGGAAGCGACAGGCCGTTCCTTCCAGCTGCAGTGATTGAAGGGGAAAAACCAGCAGCCCCTAATTGGGGCTTTGCCCCTATCCCCTTCGTGGCTTCTGGCCGGTCGATGCCTGGTCAGAGACTTCTGGCTTGCTCCCGCGAGGATGTGGCAATTCTGGCAAAAGCGGAGGCGAAGTACCCATCACCACAAGAAGTGGAGGGGGGAATAATTGTTCGCATTATTGCTGCTAAAGATGCTCAGAAAGTCACGTCCCCAGTACTGAGAGTCGTGAGAAACCGCCAGTATGGTATCCGCAAGGGTGAGAGGCTGCGTCTAGCTGTGGGCGGAGCCCTCTTTAGCGGTGTGTTGGCCGCACTCGGCTTTTGGCAGCTGCAGCGCATGCATGAGAAACAAGAGATCATTGAATACAGAAGGAACCATCTCTCCAGGCAGCCTATCGTCATCACTGCCTCCCCCTTCCCATGGACGCTCAGTGCTGCCGCCCACGCCAATGTTCGTGCAGGGAAGCGGAGCGAGGACCTTGCAGTAGAGCTCCCTAGGAGCAACACAGCAGAATGGCATAGGGAGCCAACGGCTGCTACACCATCCACCAACCAGAGGCTTCCCGCATTAGAATCAGCAGAGTGCCAGCGCAGTAGCTCTCCTTCCGCGCATCCTGAGCAATCTGGTGATGCTTATGCCCAGAAGCCGCAGGAAGGAGCAAAAGAGTTGAGAGCGGCAGAAAGACGAACACAACGCAGCGGTCGCCTGCTTGCCAGGGCCTCTGCGGAGGATGTGGAAGTAGCAGTAAGGGAGTGGGCGTACACCCCAGTGGTGCTCCACGGGGTTTTGGACAGCAGCACGGAACTGCTCGTGGGGCCACGTCCAGGATTGGAAATGGGGAATCCTGGGTACTGCATCGTTTCTCCGCTGCGGCTGCAGGATGGCAGCGTCATTCTTGTTAATAAAGGGCACCTACCTTTCAAGCTCGCCCACCTGCCACCTTTCCCCAAAGCAGTCGATGAAGAGAACAAACTACTTGCAATATTGCAAAGTCATCATTCACTGCAACGGCACAAGGCGACGGCTGAGCAGCATGAGCAACTTGTAGCATTACAGCAGCAGCGTAGTAAGGAGAAGTACGTGAACTATGGCGCACAACAGTATGTTGAGAATTTGCAGCGGCTAGCCGGCAGTCGGATGGAGCCCGTGAGCTCCGTGACAGTGAGAGGAGTACTAGAGCCTGGAGAATTAGCGAATTCGAGTTTCAAGGCGCTAATGTTGAAGAACCGGCCTCACGAAGGCCATTTCAATGTGTTGCACCCAGGGGACCTAGTAGAGGCCACTCCAGGCATTCCAAATAGGAGAGAGGCAGCACTCCTCATGGTTAATGCCTACTCCATAGTGTACGATGAAGATGTGCTATACCCAGCGGCCAGCGTTGGAGGGGAGGTGAGGGTGGCGAATCGGTTTATGAGCTATGAACAAAAGAAGAAGGAAGACTACCTGCTCTTCTACGCTGATGAACACACGCATTTCAACTACGCTTGTCAGTGGTTCCTCATGGGACTCTGCACCGTCGCAATGACTATTTATAAAATTGTGGAAGTGTCCAAATGGCGATGGTAGGCGGGAAACGCAAAGCACCGTGCCACACTTCAGTTACAGTAGCCATTCTTGCTACTGCTACTGCTAGACGGACCTCGGCGTTTGGGCTTCGGCGGCCGCATGTGTGAAACGAACATACAAATGACTGTTTTGTGAACGCTTCACTCGAAAAGCACACCTCCACCTGTTGCATGCACTACCGGAGGAGCACACACACACACACGCATACACTGGGTACCGGCTTAGGCCCCCAGGATGCTCCCATCCTCCCCCACCAGCAAACAAAACACACACTGGGGTCGAAGCTTAATAATTCCCCACCCGTCGTAACCGCGACTGCTGGAAATATGGGAGAGGGCTCCTCGTTGCAACCTTCATTTCGCAACCAGGTCCCATAAAGCATCCAGACGCGATTAAAAGCATCAACGGGCGCAGCAGCAGTCAGAACAGACGTTGTAGTACATGCTGGTCACGTTGCATTCTGCTAGGCTTTGCAGTTTAGTCAGATTGACCTTCCCACCCCTTGGTGCGCCTCGCCAGTCGATGGTACAATGGCCCTGCCCGTAGCGCTGCTATGGATAACAGCACTGGTCCTGTACCGTCTTCACCATTTCACGTTGCATCTTGCTCCTGTCCATCGAAGAGGCATCTGTCCTCACACTCGGCCTCTCGCCACCCTGCGATCGAGGACGAAGAGCTCGCGCCACGTCACGTTGCTTGCTACGTATGTCCCGCTTGGTAGCAAGTGCACCGCATGCCTCACCGCTCATTCAGCACCGTCGGCATCACGCACGCTGTTCAGTCTGCCTTCTGGGTGGTGTCTACTGTTTTGGAGGGCTGGCGGCTCTTGTTAAACGCATCGGAATGTTGCGACTTCAAGCCCATGATCGTCGACGTGGCCTTCTCAATTGCCACCTTGAGCTGGGGAGGGCAATGCTCCTTATACAGCTGAGAACACATGGGTGCTGCTTTTTCGTAGGCGGGGCAGATGGCATGTAACCAGATCCACCCAGCCCCTTTGAACTGTGGGGAAGCGAGCCAGTAAAAGAGCACGCACTTCATTTCGTAGTAGAATGGGAGGTACTGGAGAAGCAAGGCCAGAGGAGGGAAAGTCTCGATGCAGCATATCCATGAACACAACACCCAGAACATTACGTGCTGCAAGTGGTCGTTCTTCAGGGCCCCACTGGGTGAAGACTTCTCGTCAAGCAACAGCTGAAAGCTCAGCGATGCTGGATATACAAAGCAGACACAGAAACACAACAAGGACCCCAGAAAGGGGCCAAGGATGCTGAATGCCATCTTAATGGAGCAGCAGCCTGCACAGGAGTGCCAGGGGAAGAAACGAGGCAAGACAACAATTGCAAAGTTGCTGCCCTATGCAGGCACTGGAACACGAACAAGCTTCAGTGCGCCTCACTCTTAAGCGGCAAGATCAGATGTACCTTCAGCGTTCGCTCCCCTTTCCGAGCTACAGCCACACCGCCGCAACGCCGTCGCAGGCTGGTGCTGGGGCTTGGGGGTTTTGTTCAGGCGGCCGCAGAATCGGTGTTCGTGACAATAGACGTGATATATATTTATCGTACAATATCCAACTTCATTGTAGCGAATTTTGGAACAAAAGCGACTGGAACTTGCCTGTGCATGTCCCAGTCCGATGCCGTGGGGCCTCTCCACCAATCACACCGGGTACTGGAGGGTGCAATGAAGAGTGCGTTTTATGGGCTGTATTCTCGTGTCTAACGCACGTGCAGAAGAAATGCAGCGACAGAGTTCGTGAAAATATTTGCAATTACTACGCTGCTTGCCCATCTGCAGCATCTTGTATTTCAAATGCGCCGATGTGACACAGTGGAGCACGGTCTGAGTTCAACCGCGATTATTGTGAGCCCTACTAGAGCCAAGATGCTTGTAATGAGAGTTTCTTAAAAGCAGCTGACTTTTTAACGGAGTCTCCAGGCGCCCCGGGCTAAGCGGCTTGAGCGCCTGTAGCTGCTGGACGGGATGCGGTGTAGCATGTGTTGTGTCCAATGTTGCCAAGGCTCTGAAGAAGGTAAGAGCCATTAATCGGCCATGGCAGGCAAGCAGTAGGCAGGCAAATATTCTCCACAGTCGTATACAGTGTGCATGCTGCAGGCTTCGTTTTGCTGGTAGAAAGGGTTGTTTTGCACCGTGAGCTGCACCGGCGTGTCGTGGAACTCATGGGGAGGTGGTTTGAGTACTGTTTGCAAACTAAGCTGAGGGAATAGTCCACTTGTATCGTTCACACATACTTTCCAGCATTTAACACGCAATACTATGACTGCCCTGCCGCTTCACCACCGAGCAGGTGAGGTTTTTGTTGTAGGTCGGTGACAGGACATTGAAATCCGGTTCACTGCTGCGGTGGTCTCTCTATTGCCTAATCGTACGTTCTCGGCAGGACGTCGAAACGAAATGAATGTGGGAAGTACAATTAACGCAGCTCACACTTCTGCTACCACAAATGGGGTGGGCTATCTCTAAAGAAGTTCCTATGTGTATCCCATATCTGACAAGAAAAAAATAAGTCCTTGGTGTACTCAGAGCAACACAGAATTCTACATTCATAATGTAAAGCCTATCTTCTGTCGGAAAAATTCGTGTCACTGTTTTATTATGTGATGGTCTTCTTGCCATCTGCGTCAATGCCCTTCCTGTAGTACGCCTGCGCCGCTCAGCTGGCAATATGTGTAATCGTATGTTCCCCTGTTACAGGGGATACTCTTGTCAAGGAGCTTACATCGCTTACAGTCGACACACCCGAGCCACCTCGCGTCCTTGTCCTCCCCCGACATTGTGCCAAAACGTACTAGTTAAAGGCTGCTCATTTCGTTTTCTGAGCAGTTTAGCTTCTACCTAGTCGATTTCCTCATCAAGGTGTGGGGACCCTCGACACCTTGGACCAGGTGGGACTAACACATGGGGCATTCTATGCATTGAGCCGCTAGCGGGTGGGGTTTCCCTTGGTAGCTATTTGCTATCTAATACTGTTTAGAAATCTTCCACCGATTGTGCCTACTGCGGCTCCTCAAATCGTAGTTGGGTAGAATATTGCAAAACTGGTCTCTTCACAATACCTTCTCGACGAAGTGCATCTATTTCCGGGTCGTCCCCCGACGACCCAGAAATAGATGCAGGAGTGAAGAGCGAGAATGCTCCAAATCTGCGCAGCGCCTCTGCGCAGCTTTGGACCAATTTCGCTCTTCTCACCTGCATCTATAAGACTGTTTCCACTTCTCTGATCGTAGAGAATATAGTGACGTCGGGAGCGCTGATATATCCGCTTTCTCATCACTTCCCTGCACATGCATCTCAGTGGTGACTTCCCGCAGGTACATGCGCACCCTCCGCGAGTTCACCAACGCCCTGCTGAGGTGAACCTGTCCAATGGCGACCCCCGTATAACAGTAATATGATACGTGTCTAAGTTGATTTATATTTTATGCCAACAATCTTGCCCATGCACCTCTCTAGCGTCCGGTAAATGCAACCGGCGTCGGTGAGCTCCCTCAAGATTCCTGCTCCTCGCCGTAATTTTCGAGATCAGTTGCACTTCGCAACTTTGGCCGACTGGATCTCCAAAGCCCTGCTCATTAACAGCAACATGGAAAAGCACAATGGTGGATCGAGGAGGATCGCAGTTCGTGGTTAGCATCTCGTTCGGAACCATCATTGCCCCGCAGGCTGGAGCCTGCGGCACATCGTTGGTCACTGCTCAAATTTCATACGCCGGCAGTCCCGGATCAGGTGGCCTTGTTTATTCAAAAGGAAGAATTGAGCCTCTTCATACTCCTTCCTTATGGTTTTCTGAGTGCCGACTCCCCCGAATGATGTCCCGCTTTTGCCCTCTTCTGGATGGGACTAATATGCACAGCCCCAACATTCATACACTAATGCATTTAATAGTCAGATAATTTCAAATCCCCCCTTTTTCTCTGTCAACAGGGGCACTATAGGTGGTGGTTTTACTCACGATGATACATTACTCCGGATTTAACCCTTTCACATCTTGGTTAGCTCTCAGCGGCGTTGCCAGTACCATTTGCATTATTCACTGTTGTGCAGCAGCCCGCGCTGTGGTGGAGTTGATGCCCGTTGGCCGTACTTGTATCGGTGAATTATACGGTGGTAACCCGGTAATGCGGGACCTTGAACGTATCCTCGGAATACTGAGAGGTTCGGTGGAGCCAAGTACTCAGGGGTAGTGTTCTATAGCTCTTCGCTCCCAAGTCTTCACGAATCCTGAGCGCATCGGCTGAAGCACCTTGCGGTGCAGGAGAGGAGGCGGCCTGTCATGAGTTGCTGCACAGATTGCTTTGCGACGCACCTTGGTGCAACCCATGCAGCATGACAGCTCCACATGCAAACCTGCTCAAGCACTGTTGTGTTGCTGAGGGCTTCAAATTGCCTGAAGGCTGCCTACATGCGCATAGGTTGGCTACTAAGGACAGGCTACCGTTCAAATGCCGAATGTGGACGGAATATGTTGCACAGGCCTCCTTTCGATGTATGCACTAACACAGCACGTACTTTTTAGGCAATCCATCGGCACTCTGCAGACAGGCGTTGCCTATAAGTCGGTAAACATGTACAAGTTTCGGGCATATCAGGCCCCATAGAGCTGAGGGGACGGAGTCTTGTGCTTTAGGCCCGTCGAGAGTTGCAAGGCAGCCAGCAGGGAAAGTCGACAGCTTTCGTCCCCAACCAACTGCCCTCCTCGCCTTGTCGACAGTTTCTGAGCATATTTGCTCAGGGTCTTAAGGCTGGAAGGGAGAGGAGCGAACGTCCCTGAGCTGGAGAGTTTCCCGCTGTAACCCGCGACTCAATGAAAACACCAGGTCCGAGCGCAGTCATTACGTCTACGCCGTTTCTTCTAACGAAGTACACGTGAATTACGTGCCTGGGTCGTTGCATGCAGTTGTCACTACGCAGACAAGCGTTGCGGACCTCTGACAGTTTCTGGCCAAAGTAAGCCCTCCTTCAAACACGTCAACTGAAAACTGGGTTGCGGGGCGAATTCTAAATTCTGATTGCAGTGCTTCCTATACCCATACACACCAGCTGTCTTGTTCATTTACAAAACGATGCCTACTAGGAGTCTAAAATTTTTAGTCAAACTGTAGTCCTAACTGGGCGATAGCCCCTTCGCAACCTCCCCTCCATACATCCATGCTATCTCCGCAGGCCGCTGCCCCAGCGTGCAGAAAAACTTGCTCTTCAGCGCCTCCCCTTTTCAGATAGAATCGGAAGTGCCACAACAACGCCCGAAAGATGCCTTCTGGCAGCAGACAACTTATTGCGTTTAGGGCATATTTCTTGTATGCACAAGAATGTAACTATGCAAGCTCCTTGGGGCACCACTGGCCTAAGACTAACTGCAGGAGCAAAATTCCAGTGAATTCTTTAGTCTGCATCGGGAGCTCCTGGGGCGCCTGCGGAAAAGCAACAGGGGACACTACTGCGCATCAAAATGTTTCCGAAAAGCATACTAGATCAAATGGGCACCCAGCGCATCCACATCGTGCACTGCTCGACGACACCATCGGCTATATTTGGCATGGCATGCTGTGCGTTTTCGTAATTCTCTCAAACAAACGACTCACGAGGGGCAGGGCCGCCTGCTGGTCTCGCCATGATGATTTGATCAACTCGTAGGGTGGTGATTGCAGCGTCGAATGCAAGGCGACAGGCCCACGCTTTTGTCTGCATGTGGTCCAGAATGCCAGAAGCCTTCGCATCAACAGTCATGTTTACCTTCGGGTTGCCTGAGGCCCCCCGGCTGGACGCGACTGCACTCAGAAAGGCCTCGACGTTTACCCCCTCGAACACCCGCCCAGTGGAATGCGCAGCATGCAGTGCCGCCAGTACCTCTGAGTAAAAGCGCAGATACGAACACACGCATACGACAGCATGCTGATACAACCAAATTTGCATAATTGTCCTGCTGTGCTTTACTTATCAACCATCTCCCCCACATCAAAATACGCGAGAAGAAACGAGGCCTTAATATCGCCATCCTGCAGAGATTTTTGCATATTTGTGAAGACTGGTGCACAGTACAGCATTGGTACCGGGCTGGGAAGTGTATTCCATAAACAATTCAAGCAACTGCAAGACTATGCCAGATAAGTGGACACGAGAGACACTTACACAGGGGAAATAATCAAGACCAAGAAAGGTGCAGCTGGCTTCAGAGTTATCGCAGAGAGACACACGTTTAGCAGCACGCATACCGGGCTCGAGATGAAGCAAGTAAACAAATAAATACGCCGAACTTGAAAAAGGGACACGAAGGTAGAGACGGGATGTTACCTGTGGCGTTCAGACCAGCACTTTCCGCTAAAATTCTGGGAATGGCTTCAAAGGCTTCCGCAGCCTTTAGGACAGCATACTGCTCGACACCTGGCAGTTTCTCTGCAACCACCTGAATACAGAAGACCTTCTATAAAAGCGCAGATTTGGTGCTAAGTCTGAAAAGCAGCCGGTCGTTTGCTGCAGCAACTGAAGGTACATTGTTCCTGTATGACAAGTGAGCGCCACGGAAAGTCGGCAAGCAGTGTCAAAGTGCTTTTCAGTGTATCCACAGCAAACTGTCTATGCCTCGCTCGATAGCCACCGCTGGGCGGCCGCTCGCTACCGAGCTAGCTAGGATATTAGCTCGCTGGCCGGTCAATTAACTGGCGATGAATAAAAAGGCCTTATCCATAAAACAACCAAGAATACAAACATACCTGCAACTTCCTCGCGACCTCCATTTCCGCCGCTCCAGCCCCTGCGACAAAGCGCCTGTCTTTGGTCAGCGCCTTCGCGAAGGCGCAGGCATCATCGACGGCCTTCTCCGCCTCGTCCAAGACACACGGGGTCGATCCACGAAGCACAACAGTCTGCACGCGAGTGTCTCTGTCGCGAAACGCCACAGAAATACATGTAAACATGTCGGCCTTCAAGGGCTTAGATAGGTGAACTTGCTTCGGTAGTTTAGTACAGGGGTGTTGTCTGCATGCAAGTGTCTGTACCCCGATGTCCACTGCATGCAGCAGAAGTGACCAAATCAGAGCAGCTCCAACCCCAAGAAACACAAAACAAATATAAAGTTGCACTCCATGGGTCCGCCGCCCCGATCTAACGGAAACAGTAAACCTGGAGGCAAAGAAGAGCATAACAGCAGAAAAGTGCAACAACTGCACCTGGCTCACCTGCACAGGATCTGAGTTACTTTTGTACTGGAGATTTCGATCGTTCGAATCGATTCCGCTACTCCAAGCTCATCAGCCATAGGCACGCCCTGCATTATTTTGGCACAGAGCATGGAAGCAGCGGCCAAAAGTGTGTACACGCCCACGGCGAGTAGAGAGAGGCAAATGGCATATGACAATCGAAAATGCAAATTACTCTAATGCATCTACACTGCATCAAGTGCCATAAGCAGTGCATAAGAACGTGTTGTCCCAATGAAATGACAACACTTCCCGATCATGCAGATGAAGGTATCTATGCATGGGAAAGTGTAAGTAGTCAAATTGTTAAAGGGGAAAATGGACTATACACGACCGTGCACAAATAAAGCTTGAGGTCCCAAATGTCCATTCCACCCAGGCAGGAGCAACGCAGAAACGGACGCAAAACTCACCAGACGAACGAGGGCTGTCGCACCTAGTGCCCTGCACAGACGCCGAGTCTCAAATTTGGATGGGACCTGCAGCAGTAGCACCCACAAGCACCTACGACTGGGCAAACCCCTGCTTGCTGCATGCAGAATCTGCTGGCTTGGCTCATTCCCCCCCAAAAAAAGCCCTCAGCATCATTTCTTCTCTCGCGTGACAAAGGAGAGAGAAACACGAAGGCCACAGACAGAACGGGAAATCCGGGAAATCCACCACTGAGCGCCATCCCACACCGGCGCGAAGACAACAAACTAGTTCCTTCCCCAGCGGCCTCCCACCTTAAGCGTAAGAATCTCGTATTTGTTGCAAAAGTGCTGCGCTATATCCGCGATGCCACCTCCGTGCACAATAATTGCTTCAACGCCTGCAGCATGAAACCACAGAAGGCCCGTCGGCTATATGCAGAGAGTACCCAATCAAGGCAATTACGGGATATCTAGACGTAGCTAGCTAGCTGTATAGCTACGGAGGTTTGCCGGGCCTCTGCCAGGCCGCCAAGATGAAGCACCACGAGCTTGTATCTGTTGCGGCATCACCAACAGCGTCTGGTGGCGCACGCCCTCTGTTATCACACAACAGAAATAAGGAGATATAAAGTTGTAGGGCAGCAAGTAAGTACCAGCATTTTTGATGCCCTTGATGATATCCTCCATCTGTGCCTCCTCTCCCTTAGTGAAGTTCTTCAATTCTTCCGCAGTGTGAATAAGAACTGTCCCCTTGGCTTCGGTTGTAGTGCATTCGAGGCCGCAACCCAAGACCATCACCTTGCAGTTCGCCTTCGACTCAACAGTGCCTGCATGTAACATAAGCCAGTGCATGCATGAAGAAAACACGCCGTCTGATGTACGTGTTAGCTGGTGCTGCCCCCGGCACGCAAAGAAGAAGCCGACCCGCAGTATCGAATTTGTGCAGAGAACGGCGCTTGCACACGAGAGAGCAAGTCTCATTAGCTGGAGGGCGCAAAGTTAGTACGAGAGATGTACCGTGAGGTGGTTTGGTGATAACCATTCCGTTGAGAACCGTAGACAGACTGAGGCGGCCACCCTGCAACTTGGCAACCCGGATGTTGTCAGGGTCGAAGTCTTCAAACTTCGGAGGCATCACTGAGGCTATTGCGGATGCCAGCAACGCAGACAGACCCGCCTCTATACACAGCGGCTTGCTAGCCAAGACCGTTCTCAGCCCTGAAATGCAGCACTAACCCATAGGCAGCTCTACGCATGCGGCAGCAGCAAAATGTACATAAACCACAACCGAGAGACCTTGATACGGCCCATGTCAGCAGCCAGGAACAAACGGAGGAAAGGGCAAAGCGCAATACGCCACTGCCTCACGAGCAGCAAACAAACCTCACAGAGCGCATCCACGCATGATACACCAGGGTCCCGTTGTTCGCATGTATGCTTGCACAGCACAGTGAAAAACTGATGCTCACCGGGCTCGAGCTGCTTGGCATCCTTGAGGTTGTCGACGGAGTGGCAGGCGGCCTCCTCGAGGAAAGACGGGATCTTCTCAAGCGCCAGTTCGTAGCCTTGAATGACATCACTCAGATGCAGCCCCTGACGCAGCAGGTAATCTGCCTGAATGGATTGCGCAGGGACCGAGCAAATGCAATATTCTCTCTCAGAGGCAGGTGTAGCCGTACTCATGCAGTGGGCTCCACGAAAGCAGAAACTAGAGTGGCGGAAACAGCTCCACACAGCACAGCAACAGTACGACAGAGTACAGCAACAATCATAGTAGCAAGGGCAGCAGAGGCCATGATGGAGAAAGTAGCAGGAAGAACGGTCAACGGTGTAACCAAACTGGCATTGCTATTACGCAAAAACACTAGTCGCCTACATTCGTGAGCAGGTGACCGGCAATAACGATAAGGAAGTTGCAACCGCCTCCCATTTCTTGCTTTTGCATTTCAGCAGCCATCACGAGCAACTTCGCTGCGGGGTGCTGCACTTCAAGATCCCTGAGGATTGCTGCGGTATCATTTGTTACAGAGCGCTTTCCCCACGCATTCACGACCAGCTTACTCAGCCCGTTTGGGCCTGAATGAGACCCACAAAGGACACAGAAGCAACGCACACAGGCAACATGCTGCACAAATTAACATGCGAAATAACCAGCACTAAGGCGATGCTCTGCTACCACGCATGCGGCCCACCAGCTCGCGCTGCTGCAACCGCTGCGACTGCTGCGGCAGTTGTTGCGGCAACGTGAGCAGTTGCATTCGAATAACTCACCCAAAGATGTTTTGAGAATGTCTGTGAGGGTTTTGCAGGCTTCGATATTTTTTGCAGTCACCTCATCAATGCCTGTGAAGGTGCGGTAACCATCCTTTAGGAGGGCCCCAAGCCCGTGGCGCGCGGCGAACTGAAGCAGGAAACAAGTCAACCGACAGGACGAAAACGGTAGAGGAGATGTTCAGAAACATAGGACACACTGCACATCCACCCCGCCAGACGCATTGTTGCGGTTCATTGGCTATGTTGTGCTCCAGCGGACAGCACCACAACTGTAAAGCAAAGTGTCCTAAACCCCCTCATACAGCCGTGTGAGGGGTTTGATTAGTTTGCAAGCAGCTGCATGAAAACTAATGAAACATGTATTTCCACCGCATAATTTTAAGAGAAGCGGCGGCATCGAGGTACCGGCCCCCCCAGACACATTCCCCTCGGCTGCGCGTGCATGCAACCTGAAGCGGATCTGCATTGTGTTATGCATTGCCTGTGGAATAGAGTTACGAGATGAGATAATATGTGAGCGTTCGGAGCGGTTCTGTTCGGTGTATGTACAACTGGCATCCCCTGCGCAGTGAAACTTAATCTCGTTCTCAGGGAGGGTCCGCAGGGTACGCACCATTTCCAGGGAGAGTGAAGGCGAAAATAGCAGCCAAAACACAAATATATAATTCCTTCTAACCCTTCAAAGGAAAATGCAGCGAATCTAAACATCAAAGGCTCACGGGGCTCCCTCGCGCCAACACCGCAGCTGTAGTGCTACAATGTGGCTCAGGTGTGACCTGTAGGGGCTTATTAATTGTACGGAGAATAGATATTAAATATTTTGGGGATTAGGACATTATTAACTACAAAAAGGAATTAGTACTTCTAAATGTTCTAAGAATTGGGTACCGTAGATAGAGTCATAGCTTAGTAGGGTTAGCGAGTCAGTTACCCACACCTGCTGTGTAGTGCAATGCTTAGTCACTACTTGGGTACCAGATAGGACTTCTAGAGATCTAAATGGAAAAGAAATAGAATTATTATTTTATAGAAATATTATGTCTGTGAATATGGCATTTATGTGGGTAGCAGTTTGTAGGTCAGGCACCTGACTATGTGTCCCTGCTTTTGATATTTCCCCGCTGTCTTATAGGTCGGGCTCTGATCCCCTGTAAAGAACGGGGTCAGGTCTGATCAGTTAGTTGTATTATTCTGGGAACTTCCCCTGCTTACAGTAGAGACTCGAACTTGCCTTGGAATTTTAATTATTGACTTCTGGCAACTTGGGTAGTTAGAGGATCTAGTGCGGAAGCCGGAAGCGCTTTGAGATGGAACGTATGCATGGCTTAGGATGCCTGTGTACTACAATTGGGAGCTGTTCAGGGGACTAATATAAAATTCTAACCCAGTGACCTCCATAAATATACACTTCCCTGAAGGTAGGCGCGCCTCTAGTTGTAAACGATCAATTTTCTAACAAATGAAACTCTAAGAGGCCTCCGTGCGCATTGGCAACCAGTCACATCTACCCTCAGAAATGCGGTAGTGCCCACACCGCACCATACCCCGCACCTATCAAGCTCTGCATCATTACACCCCCGTCAATCGGGTTAGCTGGCTCTCCAGCCCCTTCTGTGTCCCTTTCGCAGAACTCGTGTTCTGCTTGCTTCACCTCCTCGGCGTCGTCCCGAATGGACTCTACATCAGGCTGCACCCCTGTCCTCAGTGGGGCTTCCTCATAGTCAGCTGCCTCTTCCTGTGCGGATCTGCTCTCACGCTTCAGAGTCTTTCCCCACCTCGCCACTCCGCACAGAACCCCTGTGTACTCATATGCATAACTTACGTCGGGTCTCTCCACCCTCGTACTCTCTACCAACGGATTACCCGCCGTTGCCTTCTCCACTCTCCATTTTGCTGGCTCGCTGGCTGGCTCACTCCGCCTCGGCTACCTTCTGTTCAGCCTGTGGTCGGCAGATACGGGGGTGTGGTTGGCAGACATTAGCTACCTCAGATGAAGCAGACGATCGAGCGCTCGAAACAACTCAACGACTGAAGGGAATCATGAATGTACAGCTGCTTTAGAGGAGAATAAATCCTTGCTTGTGTCCGTCCGCCCCTTCCTGTACCATGATGACTCAATGCAGTTGAATCGACAGATCGAATAAAACCGCTCGGACTAATACTACATACACGTCAGCATAGATGTGGCAGGAGAAGCCAAAACCAAAAGAATAAACGAAACGAGGCAGGAGGAAAGGGAAACAAAACTGAGTGTAAAAAGAAGAGGAGGAATCAGCAGTGCGATAAACAAAACCACAACGCGAGTGCGAGAAAGGCAGGGGGAGTCATATGAGTAAGAAGGCGAGAGATCAAAAAAAGGCAGGAGTTAAAACAAGAGCAGCAGCAAGAAGAACGTCGAAGTACGAAGCACAAGAGCAGACAGAACAAACATAGGAAGCTCAGGAATAAAACGAACGACAACAACGAGGATGAATAAGAAAAAACATGATAGGCAATATGTTGCTGCCATGGTGAAATAACACAAAAATGATTGGCAGGACGAGCACAACAATGTAGGGGACAGCTGCAGATTAGGTGCAGGTTTCTGCGCTGCACAACACCAGAAGACAACAAAGACCATCCGGTCAGCAACAATGATTAATAATGAAGAAATTTGTGGCAATTATAAAATAGGTAATACTAACGTAGAAGTAGAAATGCTGTGAAGAACAGAATAGACTGGTAGCATTATTACCACTAGTACTGCGCCTGTACTGCTAGGGAGTCATCACTACTATTCTTAATATTAGTACCATTGCATATTATTATTATTATTACACCACTTATTGTTGCGAAGGAAGTGCAGAAACTGTTGCAGCATATACACTTTGCGGAAGACAGCAACAAGCCGTAAGCCTTTCGTAACGCGCTTTCGACGGCACGGTTTTATCCCCTTTAACGTGTCTTTCCTTCTTTTTGTTTTATTAATACACTTGATACACTTGCTCCTTCTTTTTCAGCCAGTATATGCTCCGCCAACAGTTGTTTTCAACTCAGCTTTTCGCTGCGTCCTCTGGGCGACAGTCCCAGGTAATACGGAACAAAAGCAGCAACAAAGGGGAGAGTGGGCAGTGCTGATAGGGAAAGAATAACTTATTACCAAGGCTTACCGACACAAACAGTAGACAAGGGGCAAACGTCACTGCCATAACTAGTGTACGCTTCGCAACAACAGCTGAAGACACAGCCAGCCCTGAAATTGTTGGTCAGCAGTTTGCGCTGTAAGGTGGGGGCAGCGGAAACAAACGACAGCTGAGGCATCGAGAAAGCAAGCCAGTATGTTTGAAAGCATCATAAATGCTAGAGGGGAATGGCCATACAAAATAATGTGAGTACAATGCATAAAAACAACAGCCCCCGCGGAACGCTATGAGGAAGACGGAGGCAACCACACCAGTAGCAATCGACAGAACGAATAGAGAGAGAGGAATAAGAACAGAACAAAATGGGATACTGAAATAGGCACTTCGTAATATTTTGTTTGAAAAGTAAATCCAGACACAAATTTAGAATTTATTTTTCCTCCCCGGTGTTCGCTTCAACAATCGAGTGTTCCGTTCATTTTGCAGGTTGTTGCTGCCACTCCAGTTGCCTTCTCCGTTTTCTGCCGTTATTTAGGCTTTTACCTCTGTCGTTTTTGTGCATTTATAATTTTGTGTTTGAAATCTCATGCTGTTTGTACTTTTTCCCTCTGTTTCGCTGCCATCTGGCCGGCGCTTACAGGGGCCTCGGCGTTGGATTAGCTGATCTTACGTGTGTGTTAGTACTCTTCTTTGCGTGTTTTGCAGCAGTCCCCAGACAGAAAAAAGTTGTGTTTCTCAATATGCAATGGGTTTGGTGTATTTGCTTAGAAGGTCGGTTCAGTGGCCTGCCCTGAGGGCCCCCCTCTCGACAGCCCCCTCCTCGCCGCTCGCGGCGTTTCCTCTTCAGCACTACCAGTACGCCGTTTGCAAATCCACTACCCACCAGACGGCTTTTACGTCTCTGTGCGCGCTTCAGTTTCAATCCGCCGCCACCTCTTCAGCTCCATCGGCAGCGAACGGGATCCCCGGGGCTGTTACACAGGAGGAACAGCAGCCGCTGGAAGCAAACTCCTGGAAGGGGGAGGAGCATAATAGTGTACAAGAGAAGAAGAATGAGGTAGTTGAGTTGAGGTTTCCCCTGTCACTCGAACGGCGTTGGGATGAAGTGTATTGCAGCGATCTGTGTCTGCAACTGGACCGACTTATTCTGTCTTGCACATCAGCCGACGAAGTGTTGAGAATTGTTGCAAGTCATAGAGGAGCTTTTTTCGTCAAAAACCTCGTTTCTGCACTCAAGCATCTTGCGGCTCTTGGGCTGCAGCCAAGCAACAACGCGAACGTTTGCACATCGGCCACGCACCCGCAACAAAGGCCCAATGGCAGCAGCAGCAGCAGCAACGGCGCTGCAGCGGCAGCGTCTTCTGCTGCTACTCCCTTCCCTCAGCTGTCTCTAACGCTCCCCTCTCCTCCAACGTGGCCTCAAGAACCTCTGTCGTTATATCATTTCTTCTCAGCTTTGTCAGGAGATGAGGCTGCTGTCGAGAGGAGTCTGTCGCAGCGGAAAGAAGTAGAATCCATCGTTCGAGATCCCAGGCAGGTTGTTGTTGATTCTGTTGCTGCTGCTGACGCTGCTGCTCGTTCTCCCCATCTCTTCTGTTTGCCGTATTTCCCCGCTCCGTCTCGTTGCTTTTTATGTCCGTTTTGCCACCGCATTGATGTCTGTTTTCTTGTTTTTTGGTGTAACCCTTTCTTTTTATTCCTATTCAGGTATATGCTTTTGGTGCAAGACCTCCGTCTCCATCGAAATGTACTGACATTTGCTGCTGCTGCAGATGTCGTGTTGTCTTTGCGGGCCCTCAACCACCCGCACTACCCGCTGTTGTCTGCGTTGCTGCCGGCCTTTAAAACCGTTCCCCTTCCACCCGTACCTCCTCTCTACCAGCAGGAGCAGCAGAAGCAGCATGCCGTGCAACCACAGCAGCATGAGCATCATCAACATGAGCAGCCCGACAATGAGGTGGAGCAGCAGCAGCAGTGTGAGCAGCAGCAGCAGCAGCAGCAACATGAGCTGCAGCAGCAGGTTGATTTTCAGCAGCAACACCTGCAGCAGTTGGAATTGGCTCTGTCGGTTGCAGAGGCTTATGTGGGTTTCGGGTATAAGGAAACTCCTCTCTTTGAGGGAGTTCAGAAATATCTTCAATTAGCAGCAAAGCGCATATTGCAATTCGGTAGCAAAAACGGCCAAACAACTACAAACAACAGCATACCACCATTCACAGAAACAACAGCAACAGCAACTGCATTAACACCGGCAACCCTCTCAGCTTCCCCAGAAGCAGGGGAGGCTCCTGGGGACCTAGGAGCTTCTCTAGTTGGTTGCGGGGTACATAGAGAATTTCCATTTTCTGTTTTCCCCTTCAAGCTGTTGTGCAGTGCTTTGTTTGTTTTTTCTCGAGTTGCGCTGAAAAACGATGATGTGTTCAGAGCCCTGTGTTTACACGCAGCAGCCAACATGCGAGTTGCTGCAGCAGCAGAAGTGGCAGCTGCTGCGGAATTTGCGGCTGCTGGGGCCCCACACGCTGCTGAGGTGCATGCATGCATGCATGCAGTTGCAGAGGAGTTGCTGCGTCGTACTTCGCGGTTTTCTTTGAAGGACATGTGCGTCTGTTTCGCCGCCTTTACACAGTGCCTGCTGCACTTTCCTGATGCTGCCGCTGCTGCAGCGGCGCGAGCAGCAGCCCACCTCTCGTTGGCTGCAGCGGTGAGGCAGCGCGCCGTCATTACACCTGGAGATATCTGCAGTCTGTTGCGCAGCATTTGTTTTTTCTCGCCAGACACGGCGGGGCTGTATGCAGTGCAGGAAAGCCCCAACCCGCAAGACAACAGGGATTCCCTCCTCGCTGCTGCTGCACACTACCTGGAGGAACACATCGACTGCACTTCTCCTGAGGCGTCTCTTGATGCTTTGCTCGCCATAAGCGCATCTGCCGGCGCACCTGGTTGGTTCTACAGCTCACATAACAGATGCAGATCTAAATATACATGTTACGTATATTACGGATTATGTTACCTTCTGTGTAGTAGGACACGTATGTATCAGGCGCAAGCAGCAGGTGCAGATCCATGCGTGCTTGCATTGTATATCTATTCAAATGGAGTAAGTGGAGTGTTGCCTTTGTGTACGTTTACGGGATAGTGTATACATATATGTTGTATTCTTTGGGAATAATTCTTAAGTTTGCAATTCACACTACCAGGATTCAGGTAATCTGTGGGAACAGTTTTTCAGTACTCAATTAATGTGCGAGGATCCCTCGGTTGGGTTATTTAATGTTTACTATATACTCGGGGAGCATAACACCACACAGAAACCTGCAGGTAAGGGCAGGGAAGAGAGTGGTAGATTGTTTCGATGTTTCAGCGTTTCTACAGACAGCACAGGGATGCCGCGGCATCAGCATACAGAGTCGTTAGCCTCAAGCAAACACAAACAACTCTAGATATAAACCTGCACAAACACCTACATAGAAGCCAGCATGTGGCAAAGGCGGAGGCTCGCAACGGGGAGAATGCAGCAGCAGGAGATTTATGCTGGATTGCTGGCTTCCTGCTGTAATTTGTTTCGTTATTTTGGTCTACACTCGTTCCTGTGCACCTTTCGCACCTGCGACTTGGACATGTTTCTGTTCACTTGCCAGGCTATGTTTATTTCATATGCATTTTTTGTTTTTAATTGTTCGTTTGTTTCCGTTTTCGCTTGCGTGTTACTCTATTCCTTCAACTATTTCGCTTTAGTGCTGCCCTGTCGGTGCGTCTGGGTGTCTCGATTCAGTGATTAGGCTGTCGTAGCGTGTGGGTGTGCGTGTGTGATGTTGTGGACGGGTGAATATTATGAATACAGCGGGTTGTTTCATTTGTGTTTGTTGTTTGCAGCCAAACATTCTTACTGGATATGGTTCTTGATCCGTAAGCTCGCTCAAGGCACCTCGTGGGAGAAAAGACGACCGGAAGTGTTTTGGATCTTCATGTCACAGCAACTCCTCTTTCCTCCCCTCGACTACCAGTTACCGCTTAGGTGTATCCACGAAAGTGCGCAGACACTGAAAAGCGGGTATTCGCAGAGCCCCATTAAAAGGGCTCTTCGTAGTCACGCACGCATTCATGGGGTTTGTCTTAAACAGCTGCTGTATGAAGCGGCTATCAGCAGCTATTCAACGGGTTGATGACGAGCACTTGTAGAGGGATTTATCGGTCCTTGAGGCAGGCATTTAAGGGGTTGTTACGAGCATTTACAAAAGGGGTGGAGATAAGAAGTTGTATACGGGACTGTTCATCGACTATTTGTTTTTTTATTTCGTGGGGTTATCAATAAACAGTTGTTTTGTGGAGGGTACGGGAACAAGCTTTTACGGTGTTGCTCATGGAAAGATCATTGTTATGTCGTGCTTTTATGCGTGCTTATTGGTGCCAACAAACAGTTACATCATGGTGAGTTAAGAAAATTGTTTTTTACGATGTTGCTAAGGAACGTTTCTTTGTTCTATTACTACTGCTGTGTGTGCATCAGGTTTGCGCGCCTGGTGTATGTCACGAGGGGGGTTTTCAGTGGAGTTTCGAGAGGAAGTTGCTGCCGTTTCCTCCCTTCTTAAGTCGTTGGGAGTTCTGCACAAAACAGCTGTCGTCATTGGCGACAGCCCGCTCCCTGTAGATATCCTTATTCCAGCAGCAGATGGATCGCTGTCAGGTAAGACGGCCGCTGCTAATGCAGCTCCTGCTGCTCCTCCTCCTTCGGTAGTAACTGCTGCCAGCGGCTGCCAGCGGCTCCACTGCTCCTGCGTGTTTGTTGTCGGGCGTTTCTTGCCTATTTGCCCATTACATATGAATATGTATACATTATGTATACGTTATTTGTATCTTCATACTATTTAGGCTCTACACACTACATGTATGTCTTCTAACGTGCATATGTGCATATATGCACATAGATGTACTGATATAGATGCATATATATAATCATAACTCTTTTCGTACTACGCGCTGTGCGTTGTTGGGCTTCCTGTCGGTCTTTCTTCTCTTGACTGAGGAGGCGTTTAAGGGTTTGCCTTCCTGTTGTCTTCCTTCCTGCGTATCTCCTTGCTTGCATCTATTTGTTCTATTCCTGCAGCGCTAATAGTGACGCAAGAATGCGCAAGAAATACAATGGCTCTCTGCGGCGGCAGTCAGCTGCTGGCTGTACACCTCAAGTCGCTTGGCGTCGCAAGGGTATTGGCCATCAGCCGCAACAAATGGAGACGCGCAGATCCAGCAGAACAGAAAAACATCATCTTAAACCGACTCGAGGCACTCGAACGCCTCAGAATGGAGGAGCAGCAGCAGAAACAAAGACAACAACAGCAGCAACAACAGAAGCCGCAGCAACAGGAGCAGCACTCGGATCAAGCAAAAGAACAGTAATAGGGTTACCAAGAAGTGCAGCAGCGGTTGCCTCATTTGGTACAGCAACAGCAGAGTGATGCAGTGCCTCTTTCCTTCGCACCTCCTAAATATGGGAAGCAACCACATTTTTTTTATTATAAGTGTAAAGTTTTCTTGTTTAGGGTTTGGAGTCTCAGGGTCCCAGCGTTTAGGTTTTTTGAATATGACTAAACCCTAGCAGTTACGGTTAAGGGGTCGAGATTGGTGTAGAAACACACAAACGCATGCTGCATGCGGATCAGTTGAAATAAGAAAGCCGTGCTGGTGCTGCTGCTGTTGCTGCAGCTGCTTGTAGCTACAAATGGCGGATTTACTATATTGTGTATTTCTGCCTTCTGCCGCCCGCACCAGGCGGACCCCTACTGGATGGCTTATTTGCTGCATGCTGCTTTTAACTATTGGGTGTTGGGTATATATCCTTATATTTTTGAGCATGCGTATACCTGCGTATACATCTCTACATACGTAATATGTGCATATTGCATAGGGTAAAGCAATAGTTGCTCGGTGCACGGTGGGATGCAGAGGAGAATGTGGACTGTAGATAAGAGGGAAAGGGAAGCAAAACTGAAGCCTCGAAACGAATTAGAGTTTACAAAAAAGTGCAAAAAGAAGGGAGACCAATCAGTGGGCGAACAAAGCAGATCAAGCAGATGCCGTATCGAGAGTGTGTGCACTCTGCCCACGTTAGTAGCGTATCATCAGAATCTGTCAACAAAAGAAACCAAATGAAGTACAAGGATTAAAACATTCAACAAATGAAAGAAACAAATAAAATAAGGGCATAGAAACACTGAAGGGTTGCTGCTGCTGCAGGGGAAGCGGGCACCGGTCGATGACAGTTCTGGGCGTGGAGGCGCAATTGGGCAAGTCATGGTTTAGTATGAATCTCAACTTAAAACAGTTTCTCAGTCATTATTATTACAATTAGTACCTCATTTGTGAAATAATGTGAAAGAAACGTGGGGGGGAAATCTGCAATAAGGGCAACTTGAACATGCAACAGCTGCTGCGTTTGCCCCCAACTCCGTTCCTCTTCTGCCTGCGCATCGACCTGCACAGCAGCAGTCGTTGTGGATAAATAAATTAAAAATCGAGTGTATCGACAGCAGATTTTAAATACAAAGAGTGTTTTTAATTAATTCCTGACATTAATTTTCCCCCTTCTTATCATCAAGCTAGCCATCGTCGATCTCTAGCGGCCCGCAGCGGCTCTGAGCTGGCGCCGCGTTGCAGCTCCCAAGACACATCCTTTCTCTTTGTATTATCTGTGCTTTTGGGTACTTTAATAGAAATAATGACTTCATTAAGGCATTAAATAGAGAAGGGGGAACGAAAACAGCAAAATCAGGGGGAAAAGCAGCTGCTGCTCGCCTTTGTTTCGGTCTCGCCGCTCTCCGCCGAGGCCCGGCTGCCCGTTGGCGTTTGCTCTTTTTCTCTGTTTGTTGCTCCGATTGTTTGTTTTTGTTCCTTTTTTAGAGTTTTCGGGAACTGTTTGGGGTTTAGTTCAATGTTAATTTGAACTCTGAGGCTCGCTTCTCCCGCCACGTTTGGCCGTTCATCCTATATGTACGTACACTGCATCCTGCAGCCTCATGACCCTCGCAGGGAGTTCTCCCGGCAGGGGGGAACGTTCACTGTTCCCTCTTAGCTGTGGAAGGATTTGTTGCATATTTGCTCTGCTTTTTCATCTCCTTCTCCTCTTCTTCTCCTTGACTTGCACGGAAGCGCGCGCTCCCCTCAGAGTTAGTCTAGATGTCTCCGCACGAGGGGGGCTCGGGAAGCTCCCGGGCCTCGCTCCTCGTCGTTTGTTGGTTGGATGGACCCTGAGGAAGTTTTTTTTCGTTAAGACCCCGGAGACGTTGTTGGCAGAACGCGCTCGTTCTCTGCGCGCGATGGCCCCCGGGTGCGACTACGGGTTGCAGTTTCTCTACAGTGCAGTAATGGTGGCAGGGAAGCACACGCCACATCGCTCGTCATTAATTGACACGAGTATGGAGGACATCATGGTGGCTTTCTTTCGCCTTGCTAATCTCGAGAAAACCAGGTTCCCGCTGCAGTGGTACGCAATAGAGACTGCGTTAAGACGGTCGCATGCAAGAGCCATCCAAATGGCGCTTAGAAGGCAGCAAGCAGATCAACAAGACTATGAAAACGATCCTGATCGAGAGAAACCCCTCGACTTGACGGTTCCTGAGTACACTTGGATGCTGGGGCAGCAGACGCGCGACGCGGAGTGGTTCTTCGACGGAAATACCTTTCATAAGAGAGGCGAATTCACCATACCAGACAAACTCACCGATCATGATATCGGGTTTTTCAAGAGTTTGCCATATAATATCGTGCGCGTAGCTAGAGGGATTGAAAGAGAAACACCAACAAAGAGCGTCGCACACCTCATTGAAGAACTGCGGCAACGAGGTGTACGGACAGCCCACGATTTCTTCGCGAAGACGAACTTCCTTGATCTTCTGTTTTCAACCAGCGTAATCGATGAAACTCTTATTCAAATCGACATTTTATCCGAATATATTTCTAATTGGCAAGCATTTAAAGCAAACGAACTCAAACCACCGTCAATTCCTCTAGGAAATGGCTTACCCGATCTGCTTCAGACGTTGACAAGCAAAAAGACCACCAAGGAGAAATATCCAAAATGCCCAACAATGAAGTGCTACCTTGAGAGTGTGTGGCACCAGAGATCAGAACATCCTATTGATAAGGAAGATAATAAGCAAAAGGACGGAAATGAAGAGAAGAAGAAAGAGCCATCAAGCGAACCTTTTGCAGAACTGCTTATCAAGAAAACCACCGCAAACTCCCTTAAAGTTGTTGCCATTGGTAACACCGGCCAAGCCAAATACGAAAAGAGTAAAGGCGTCATGGGACGCATTAAGAGCGCCCTTAAGTTAAATGAACTTGAAGAAACTGTGAATGCAATGAAGATCTGGCACGAAAAGGAAGGAGTCGATGTTGCCCTAGGACTTGGTGATTTCCTTCAACCCCCAGGCATCCTCTCTGTTAGGGAACCCGGCTTCAAGGAGAAATGGCATGACATTTTTGTTAAGGTAAATAGCCTTAGATATAGGGAGGATATTTGTATATTACATTCATCATCATGTACATGCAGCACCACATAGATGTATTAGATGTATACATATAGAATAGTGTTGTTGTATATGTGGTCTGTTGGCAATATATAGATCTACAGGATATTTAAAGGTGCTTATTGAATAGAGAGAGCCCTTGAATAAAATTCATCGTGTGTGCTATATATTGTATGCATTATTTAATAACTAATACATAAATAATTTATATGGATATACTACTGTGGGGGCATATCAATCTAAAACCCTAGACATACCCAGATAATTTGTTTTTGTTTCCTCTTATATTTTCTTGCCTTATTGGAGAATGAATGTGTCGTTGTGTCGTATGCATTGCTTCTACCATATTTTATATGTTGCTGCTTACGTGCCTGCATGCATGCATGCATTCAGGAAGCGGGGCTAGATATTCCCTGGTACATGGTGAACGGGGAGGCGGAGAGTACGATTAGCAGCTCGGCACCGTATCGCTACCATTATACACGTCAAGATGCTAACTTCCACAACCCCAACTGGCTGTACAAGTCAGTTATTACTATGGTGGCAAACCTAACGACTGCAACTGGCGGCACAGAAGATCAGGAGTTTACTGTTCACGTTATTTCTATCGACACTTGGGCACTTTTCGGAGGAACCCCATTCTGTGAGTTCCGTCAAGCGATGCAGCTTTGTACACAGTGGTAGAAGCCTGCAGACACGCATTCGCTGAGCTTCTTTCGTCTGTACACTTGCTGCATGTAATTTAAATATACATGCACGTAATCGGGCTTGCATTGCGTCACGTTGGAGCTGCAGAGGTTGTGTGTACAGTCAGACAGAAAGAACACCGGTCTTCCAATGGCTCAACCAGCTTTCTCTCTGCATCTGTGCATATGTGCTGTACATCGGTATAGTTACGTATGTGTGACGTCGCTGTTTTTATTTGTGTTTGTATATGTGTGCTTGTAGACGACAACCTGGGCCAGTATCAGAACAACATGATAGCACTCAGCAACGCATTGTACCACTCTGCGAAAGCAAAGGCAGATTGGATCATAGTGCAAGGCCACCATCCGTTGACGTCGACCGGGCCTGAGGCAGAGGAGGCGCGTCTTACATACATAGACGACATGGTGAAGTCGAGTCGACCTCGAGGACCTGAGCACCGTCTGGTAGATCTTTTGACTTCTTACCAAGTTGACGCATATATATCTGGGCACGACAACGTGCTGGAGTATGTCTCGATGGCGGACTTGGACAAGAACAGCACTCTCGCATTCATTACCAGTGGCGGAGGCACGCGCATCATGAGCGGCATCTTGGGTCGCGGCTGGTTGGGGAGACTTCGAGGAAGGCTGTTCCCTCTGCTCTGCTGGTCAGGCAAACGCATCTTCTACAAACTCGACCCCGGTGGCTGCAAGCCCTCGGAGAAGGACCAGGCGTTGGCATACAAGTTCTATGCTCCTCAGGGACCTAACTGGAAGATTACTGTGAAAGAGAGGATCTTGAACACCACAGGGTTCGCCAGTATGAAATTTACGAAAGACTTCCTCATTGTTGACTTCGTCAGCAGCGGCAGCGGCAAGCCTACCGGGCGTAGGCTCCACAAGCAAACAAACAAAGCAGCTCGTGCTGTGAAGTTCGCTGATTTCTGGGAGGAGGCGGACTTGAAACTGAAGGAATTGAACATCGATCATGAGGCTTTCGAAGAAGAAAACAGAGAACGTGTTGCCAGTGAAATCGCCTTCCAGACCCGCACACCTATCTTGGCCGAGCGACTGCGTCTGTTTGAGAGGGAACTGATGGACATGTACAATGAATATCAGCATTTGAAGTCTAAGAAGGCGATGTACGAGACGATGAATGCTCAGAAAGCAGCAGCTCTAGAGGCTCAAGGGGAGAATCTCAGGGAGTCAGAATTGAGTGAAGGAATGTATGAACAGACGGAGCGCATAATCGAACTAATGTATGTCATCGCATCGCACCATGGATACATGTGGGAAAGATATGAGGACCTGAAGGCGCAGAGGAAGAAGCTGCCACCTCACGACGGAAAGCACGCAGAGGCTCTGTTGAAGCTTGAGAAGAAACTGGTGGAAGTAATGAGACAACGAAGGGAATTGAACAAGAAATATGTTGATCAGGGCAACCACCCAACAGTAGCAGACATGGAGCAAATCAAAGATTATGCCATTAAGTCGCGTATCTTGAAACGGGACATCAAGGAATTTGAACAGGTAATGAAGGAAGAGGAGAAGGCTGAAGGAGGAGAAGAAAAGGAAGGAGAGGAGAAGAAGGACGGGGACCCAAGCAAAACAGACACACAGAAAGATGCAGAAGAGCCTGAAATAAAGCCTCTGGATCAAAGCATAGAGGCAAGATTAGGGAGGAAGCAACTTCAATTAAAGGAGCATGAGAGAGTTATGGCGAATATAAATGCATTACCTGCAACAGAAAAGGAGAAATTAAAGGAAGATATAGGTATGCTGGAGCGACAACATGAGCGTCTACGTGCAGAAGTTGATCGTCTTAATGGTATATTGAATAGGAAATATTGGGCTGCAGATAGACGACCTTCTGAATTATGGGAAAAAAGACTACAGAAACACGACCTAGAACAGACACTAGCCCAATTAGAGGCATACAAGGATTCAATATTAATGTTACCAAAGGTACAACGTAGAACAAAAGACCTAAATGATGCAGTAGCTAGTATAGACCTACAAAAGATAGATATAGAGGAGCAATTATTGGAATTATCTGATGAATTATATAATACAACAGCAACAGTATTGCAAGAACAATTCATACAACAATTAGATAAATTACGTGAGGTTTCCTTGTTAGTAGATAGTCGTAATACTATGCCTCCTGAGGCATTACAGGATCCAGAGATACAGAAAAGTCTAGATGAGGCAAAAGAGGCACTAGAATTACTGCAGCAAGAAGTAGATGCAGCAGATGAGGCATTACGTAAGGAATTAAATGATCAAGATGAGTCATGGATAAGAAGAATGATTATTCGTGGTGTAGATATGAGACAATTAGCAGAAGAATTCTCTATTGATGTAGATACAGTTATACAAGAAGATATTAAGGAAAGAAAAGATAATCCTTATAAACAACTTGCATGGGTACAAGAACAAATAGCAATATTTAATGATAGATTACATAATATATTAAGTTTACCCCAAGAAAGACAAGAAAAACTTACTGCAGATAAAGAAAAAACAGAAACAAGATTAGCTGAACTTAGGAAACTTGAGGAAGAAGCACAGAAAGCTATTGAACTCAGGGAAACAGCAGCAAATGCAGCAGCAGCAGCAGCAGCAACAACAACAACAACAACAACAGCAGAAGGAGAGAAGGATACAATAGGAGAAAATACAGTAATTGGTGATAAAAAAGACAAAGAAATACAAGAAAGGGAAGAAGAAGAAGAAGAAGAAGATAATAATACTACTACTACAACTCCTTCTCCTGTTTCTCCTTCTTCCTCACAAGACAACTCTCAAGAACAGCAGCAAGAACAGCAGCAGCAAAAACAGCAACAGGAGCAAGAACAGGAGGAGGAAGAAGAGATTGTGCCAATGATAGATGATGATGAATCTGTCTTATCCACAGCAGCAACAGGAGAATCATCATCATCATCAGCAGCAGCAAAAGAAACAGGAACAACAACACCAACAACAACAACAGAAACAGAAACACCAGCAGCAGCAGCAGCAGCAGCAGCAGCAGCAGCAAGAGCAGCAGCAGGAGAATTATCTTCATCATCAGTAGGAGGAGAAATAGATGAAGATGATGAAGATTTAAAGTTTGAAGATTTACGATTTTCTTCTTCGTCATCAGCAGGAGAAGAAGGACAAGAAACAAGAAGATTATCAGCTACTACTCCTCCTCCTCCTCCTCCTCCTTCTTCTTCTTCTTCCTCCTCCTCCTCCTCTTCCTTTTCTTCTTCTTCTTCGCCACCAAGAGAAAAAGGACAAGAAAGAAGAAGATTAGCAGCAATAATGGATTGGTTTCAGCCTAAGAAAGAAGAAAGCCCCGTAAAAGAATTACCTTCTATAGATTTAGGTCCTAAGGATCCATGCGAAGGGGAACCAATGTTATATATTATAGTAAAAAAAATAATAAATGCAGAATATAATGCAACATTTACAGAAAGATGCAAGAAAATATTCGCAAATAGGATACACAGACAGCAGAGAAGATTCCTTGGTCTATTTGATGATTCAGGTTCCCCTTCTTTTTATGAATTACCTCATCCTTTTATAATTAAATCATTTAATTCTTTATTTAATACATTTAATTATAATTCTTTTATTCATTTATTAATACATATTAAATATAAATTAATTAATATTCATCAATTTATTCATGTTGCTAATTATGATGATATTCAACAACAAGAACAACAACATACACCTGAACAAAAAGAAGAAGAAGAATTTATTCTTAATGATGATGAATAATTCTTATTTATATTTATATTCATATATATATTATATATATATTATATATATATTCTTTATTCTATCCTATTATATACATTTATAAATTACATTTAATATACCCTTACTACAAGGGATTATTATATATATATATATATATA